GTGAGTCAAAGTAATAGTCCTTGTCTTGGAATGAGATGAGGAGCCGGGCCGGATGCAGGAGTCGGAACTTTATGCCTTTTGTGTACAGGGCATGCTTAACGCCAATGAATGACGCTCTCTGCCTGGCCAGTTCAGCACTGATGTCCGGGTAGATTCTCAGATTGGTGCCGCGGTACGTCACCTGATGGCTCCTGGCCCATCTCAGGACTCTTTCTTTCTCCTGGCAATGGAGGAGCTTAACAATGAAGGCCCTGGGTTTCTCTGTAGCGTTGTGACCCGCTCTGCGAAGGGAACGGTGGGCTCTCTCTATCTCGGGAGGACTGCTAAAGACTTCAGAGCCTGTAGCTGCCATCAGTGGATTCGCCACAAACTTAGCTGGATCTTTGCCCTTTTCACTACCTTCAGGTACGTTAATTATTCTTAGATTGGACCGCCGCGACCTATTTTCGAGGTCATCGACTTTCTCCAGTAATTTTCCACACTGGGACTGGAGACAATCTCCAGTTTGGCGAGCTTCCCAAAGTTTTCCCCAGTCAGTGTTTCTGTCTGGGTGAGGCAGTTATTGAAAGATTCTACCTGTTGCCCCAGAGATTCCAGAGATGACTCGAGAGATTCTGTTGACTCATTTATCACAGCAGCTACATCTGTCTTCAAATTTTCTCACTGTTAGTATTTCGAGGTCCCCTCTGGAAATCAGGTTGTTGTCGTTTCTGGCCTTATATTTAGCCATGCTAGCTAATTTAGCCGGCTTGTTAGCTCGAGTTCCGTGTTGTTTCTGCTTGCTCATCAAGTATACTCATCTTCGAGTTAAATAGACTATCAATGTCCAATTTTAGGTTAGACACAGAAGGGAGTAGTAATATTCAGCTCGTTCAACGGTTAATTACAAGAAGTTCAGTCGGAGCTCCCCTAGACACATCCGCTCATCATCTCGCCATGCCGGAAGTTGCTCCCTGTGGTTTTTAAATGGAACTTGATGTGTTATTCTTCTTTTAGATTTTGCTACTGTTCAGCACTTTGTACAACACTCCTGTTGTGTCTAAAATTGCTATACAAACAAAATGTTTTGAGTGTGGTATGAGTGACTGATTAAATGACTTAAAAAGGACTTAAGCAGATATGTGGAAGCTCCATACCTCTGGTGTTGCAGGATTGAACGCTACGCTGAGCACCGTGTCAGAGTGTCTCTGAAGCCTGTGGAGGTAGGTGCTGCTACGGATGTCATAAATATAGGCCTGAAATAAACGACACATTAATGAATAATAATTTGAATTAAGACACACCCGAAAATTATATATATATATATATATATATATATATATATATATATATATATATATATATATATATATATATATATATATATATATATATATATATATATATATAGCAGGAAGGGACATGTTTCCCTAATGAAGGCTGCATTCCATTTCAATTCTGTCAGTGGGCCCCAGGGCAGCTGTGAATGAATGTAAAGCACTTTGGAGTCCTCTGACTCATCTCAAAGATGCTATACAAGTGCAGGTCAGCATTAATCAAGAGCTGCTTGTTAGCATTTTTACAGAACAATGCGTGCACAGCTGAAGGAGTGGAAAGAAGCCTTCTTTGGGAAAAAAAATTCCAAAAATTAGAAATTTTCTTTTAATAGATCTAAACAAAGCCGAACAAATTAGGTGCAAAAATGTCCTAATCTTTAAGCTTTGAGATTAATTATGCCTCATTTCTGTTCCATGTGGTTGATGGTTTGTGAAAATGTAAAAGTCTCAGCTAGAGAAAATACCCAGTGGTTGCATTGATGTCTCCTAAATATATATTTATAAGGTAGCTTCATTTATATGGTTGGTATTTGGCAGTTGGTGCAAAATGCTTCTGCAGGGTTCTTAACTGGGTTGAACAGACTCCATCTCCCCTGTTTTAAAAACTCTAAACAAGACTTTAACGGTTTGTGTTTGCTCAGAACAAAATCAGTCAGTTTTAAAACAATCACATTTACTTTGTACCACAGGCAGAGATAAAAACAGATGTGGGGATGTCAGTTACCAGAAGACGACTCATCAGATTCCTGCAGCTGTTCTATATTATCTGTTGCTTCAAATGAAAAAAGAAGCTGTATCGAGAGGTTCTTGAACATCTTGATACATTAGGACAAGTACAAATGCGCATGGCTCATAGAATCTGGATAACTAATAATAACTATCAGTACTATTATTCCTCTGCTTTCAACAAATACATAAACCAGAAGAAGAAGGATGGGTTGGAGAGGGGAGGCTGTCCTCCAAAAATGTTTTGACAGCAAGTGTGAGGCACAACAAGGAAAAGCAATTAAAGATTTCAAAGTGGAATCGGAAAAAACGGCTGGAATCCAGATGAAAAACATCCAAGAAAACTGTTCCTTGCCTTAAATGGAAGTAAAACTGTTAAAGGTCCAAGACGATAGGCAAGCACTCCGGTAGCTTTTGACGAGGTTCGGTTATATTGTAATAGCAGCGTGAACTTCTGTGAAGTTCAGCAGCTGGATGTGAAAAAGCTGCAGTGCTAGATGAGAAAGTTCTGGAACAGGAATTTTAAAGTCTAGGACGGACAGAAGATCTGATTGGTGAAAGATCAGAGGGAGTGAGAGAGAGGTGAATAGATACTAAAAGAATTATGACACAAGGAGAGGAGACTTTAGAGCGACATGAATGTGAAGAGAAAACTTTTAACGTCTAACAATTGCATCACAATGACTCCGTTAGGCGGGATGAGAGGGGTTTTTGATGCGGTCGGAGGATTTAAGGTGGCTTCTGTCTGTGTGTGACTGTTGCCCCTCTAAAGAACCACTCACCATATAAACACCATGTCTCTTTCACTTTGTTTGACTTACTACACCACAGACGGGTTTATTGTAGTTCTTGACAACAAAACAGACGACAAACTGTTATGGAAATGTTATGATTATTATTTCTTGACCATTGATTCAATCACCTGAATGTAATGTATTTCTCTATGCCTAAATGCATGCTCATTTATTCAGACACAACCACACTCACACTGACATTCCCACACACACACACACACACACACACACACACACACACACACACACACACACACACACACACACACACACACACACTTTCTTATCTCATGTTATAAATAAACGGAGATTTCAGGAGCTCGGGGCAGTAGCCTTGTAGCTTCTGACTCCTCATTGCAATCTGGATACTTGTCTGTCATTTGTTTATTTTTCTCTGGTTGCAGGCACTGGGGTTGTTGATAAAAATCCTTGACACAAACAGATTTATATTTCCTAGTGAATCAATCAGCCACAGCATTACAACCAGAAACAGATACACTAATTATGAACATGAACCCAAAAAATGGCCACAGACTAGAATTTTACCATCTGACCTCCAAACGCCTTTTGCAGGAGAAAATAAATGTTTGAAGTTATTTCATAGAATCCGTAACAACAAACAAAACTTGCTTTATTTTACCCAAAATGTGACTGAAATATCCATTACAACCCAAATATGGGGAACCAAACAAACAAGTTTGTTGACATTTGACATTGAACATTTTTGAGAGGATATTACAGTTTTGCAAATGCAACTGCTTATAGGGCATTAAAACAAAATAATTTGGAAAATGAAGGCAAGTTATTTACAAACCTTTTTATACAGATATAGTTGGATTTCAGTGATTAATTATAATGATTGTAATGAACCTAGTTAGCATTGAGAGGCAACAGCTAAATAAAAGACTGATAAAATAATGTTTATTTACAACTAAACTGTTCCTTGAGCTACTATGTGAAACTTTTGGGGGGCTCTCGGTGACCCAGGAGACCTGAAAAATGACTGAATACTACAACCCCATAAAAAAGGCCTATGATGTAAAGGCTGGTTTTCCCAGCCCTCTCTGCCATGAGTGTGGATGAAAAAGGAACAGGGACAGGGACTGTCTCGATGGTTGTAGAGTTTGCAGACAAACGAGGTAGAGAACAAGGACCAGAAGACGTGGATCGGTCTGACATACATTCTCGATCTGGATATTACCAGAACATCCTGGAATGTGAGAGGTGCTACTACATTCTTCCTTGTTCTTTTCCTTTTGTCCAACGGCCCAGCATTGTTCTGTGGTTAGCATCACCGCAACCAACGTTTATATATTGCCGAAATTGAAGTGGGCTGGATCATGCAGATTTAAGGCAGTGTGTTTTATTTATGATGTGTTAAACCAGCTTTTTCAGAACAAACAGTTTCTCCATCGCCTTTACAGCATTACTCATTTGCATAGACAAGCAGTTCAGAGACGGCCCAAGCATTTGGTACGCTATTGGGCAGAGTGGTGGTTTAACCATTAGGCATAGGTTGGCGGCTGCCTGGGGCCCCCTAGCCCTGATTGCTGGCACCCCTCTGTTAATGCCACAATGGACTATTCCTTTAAGACTCCGATGCACGAACAGGAAGTGATTGGTAGTAATTCCACTCTTGGAGTTATCCTAGTGGCTCCAATAAGAGGAAGAAGCAGCTCGCTTCATAAAAGCTTTTATCTTCACTTCCAAAAGTGACGTCGTTTTTCTATGTGAACATCAAAAGGAAGCAGAAAGGAAAGACAATGGAAAATGTTTAAAGGGAGAAAAACATTGACAAAATGGAAAATAGAAGAAAAAAAGCTAAAGCACAGGAGCACTGACAGGAAGATGAAAGCAGAGCAAATATTGAAAGCACTCAAAGGGAGAGAAAAACACAAAATAGAGGACTAATAAAAAGTGAAAATAACTCATGTCAGAAGAGGGTAGAGTTTCGCAAATCCAGTTAAAGATGATTGTCAAAAATTTTGTGTAAGGGGGCCCCATGTCTGGGTTCGCGTTGGGCCCCCAAATTGCTAAATCCGCCACTGATTGGACACACCAAGCTGCATATTCAACAACAAGATAAATGTGGTTTCAATTCCACTGACTTTTTTAAATAAATAAAGAATGAGACATATTTAGTATAAGGTAAAAAAAAACTCACACATTTATCCTCAGAACCACAAACAATGAAGCGTCCACAAGGTGAGAAGGCTGAGGAGCATGGGTGGCAGCGATTTACGTGGTTCTCATAGCGACGTACACACCTGACAAAAGGATACAGTTTACACACAATACAATCTGATATGTTGTAAAAATCCAAGTTTTAGCACTTTCCTATTTTATAAACTTCTGAAGTAACTAATGAGAAGGAGTTGACACTGGTGCCTTGCATGCAACAACGTGTAATCTTTTCAATGCAAGCTAAGGCTAGCTAGTCCAGGGCTGCCATGAGGGATGGCATGCCGGAAGGTCTTTGACTTTCACATGTTAAGTCCATTAAGGTGCGATAAAAGTAACGATCACAGAGATATTCTACATCTACAGAAGCAGCGAGTCACTGAGGTAGACTGTATGTGAAATGGACTAAACGAGTTTAGAATATTGAAGTTTAGACTGCGTCAGAACTTTAACTTCGGCAGGCTGCACACATAGCTGACTCTAAAACAGAATACCCTTCCCCAGCCATCTTGGAAAATTTCTTGTGTCCACCATGTGGGAAGCACACTCATAGTCATGCCTAGCCTGCAGGCAGCAGTAGTTTCCCAAATCATCTGAGTTTTTGTGGAAAAATATTCCTTGTGGAACAACTAGGTGTTTAAAAATAACCATTTTTTATGTCGTCCTTTGCCTGTGTCCTACGTAGAGCAGTTATTGAGCTTGTAAGCACGAGCAATTGTAAACACAGATCGCACATGTAACAGAGTGGTTTTGTCGCATGCAGTAACGTTGCAAAATCTAAAACCACCCGCAAATGCTGACCACATAGAATTCTCAAATTTCCACTTTGGTCAGAGTTTGTGAAAGAATCTTGTTTGGAGTAAGAAGCCTAAAGCCTGATTCATGCTTCTCCATCAGCTCCGCAAGGGACAGATACGCACGGATTGACGGAAGCGTTTTGCTCTCATATTTCTCCGTCTCCTGGGGAGCGTTGTAAAGCAATTCCCCGGCAGAACAACAGAGGGCGTAGCGCTGTTCTGTGGTATCCTGTCATGTATCCGGTCCAAGATAGTGTGTTTATATTATGTTTTTTTGTATATGAGAGACTTTTTAACACTAACAAATTTGTCACTCATCCTCCTCCACCTCTTCATGCGCTTGCCACCTCCAAACCCACGTTTCCTGTCATTTCCGTCCACAGATAAAATGCTTGCTGCGCATCTTTTCACTCCTCCAGTCACGGGGGAATTAAACGTTCGTATTTTTAGAGTTTTTTCGCGAGGTATTCTTCAAGCTTCTCCATGTCTGCCGCTTGTTATCCTCGGCTCTCATTATGTTTTTGAGGGTGCAATGGCAGCGCTGTAAACAACAGCGGCGTCCTGACCAATCACAAGCTTGCGTTGTCCGTCTCGACTGACGGATGTTTAGAAAAGAGAGCTCGACTCCGTCCGTCCTTGCGGAGCTCTCTGGCAGGCCCGCAGGGACGTTGCGTGTCTCCGCACTGACGCAGACGGAGAAGCATGAATCAGGCTTTAGTCACGCTCATCTACCTCCAGACCATGGGTCCCCAGAAATAAGAAAAAAACGAATGCTAATTAATGGCGCTATAAAAGCTACTTTCTAATACCGTTTGATGTGTGCCATGAATTTCACGTATGATGTCCGTGAATTTTAAAGACACTTTCTGACGCCAAGAACGAAATAGTGGCAAAAGTTATTTTAGATTTTGTGGGAAAACACGTTTAGGACTACAAATATTCATCTCACCAAATTGACATCATCAAACCAGACCCAAAGAAGAAGAGAAGATTAGTTTAGCGAGCTTTGAGTCCTTCTTCCAGAACGACAGAAGGAGCAGTAAACATGGAGAAAACCACAACAAATCTGGGCCTGATTTGTAGTTATTTTAATTACAAATTTTTATTAGTTAACAAATCTCAAAGTACATGACAGACATAGTCAAAACACATGTTATTTTTCATTTAACTTGAAGTACAACATATGTGTGATTTAGGACGTAGGGCGAAGCGGATTAGGAAATAACTTTCATTCATTTGCAATCATTTTTGTGTTGTTCTGAGGACCCATGAGCCGACCGGAAGGGGACAAGACTTAGGCTCCCTAGATATCTTCACTTTCGCATGGATGAAAGGCCAAACCATGAAAAAATATCCTCGTTTTGTGGGATACCCGACTCTGTCTGTACATGATCTTAGCCTAATGGTATTTGTTTCATGCTTTGCTGATCACAAAAGTATTTTATCTTGTTTCCTGAGTTAAACCGTTGAACTAATGTTCAACTAACACATCATCCCCATCCAACTTGTTAAAATCGCTCTAACAGATGAGAGTAAAACCTCATCTGAATTTCTAGGTCAAATGTGGATTTAATGTTTGGAGTGAAGAAGGAAAGATGCTGGCATGAGTTCCTCAAAGACACATTCTTCATGTTGCTTGAGGGATGACTATGGAATTTTCCTGATGACTAACACAGACTGCATTAGAGGGTTTAATCCTCCAAAGTGGGAGCCTATGTGGTTACTGATTCCACCTCAGGACTCGGTGTCAGTCACTTAGGTAATCAGCAGGCTAACCACGAGTCAGTTCTCAGAACAGGTCAAATTCAGAATGTGTGCCTTTAGAATGAATTTATAATTATTTAAGTGACTTAACTTCTGATGCAAACAGTTTTAAATACCTAATTGTAGCCATCAAACTAAACTCAATGCCTTATTAATAGGTCTGATTTGTGTGAGAATGTGTGAATTTGGATTTCTTGAGTATTTTTAAATTTATTAATTATTACTTCTGATCTGCTCATCAGCTCGCAAAAAAGAAAAGGAACCACTCATGGTTTAAAACGATTGGTTGCACCAATCTGTTCAGTTCGAAATGAAAAATTAACCCCAAATCCATGGGGGAAAAAAAAATCCAGGAAATTATTTGGTCCTTTTCTCTGTCTGGGATTTACATGTGAGTTTGGCTCGCAGAAGCAGAGAGACTTAAAGACGTTTTAAAGATGTTGGAATGTCCCACTTTTCATTCTGAATACTAGAAGCTGCTCAAACAGGAAGTAAGTTGCTTTTTTTGAATTCTCAGAACGTATATGTATAGATATTATTTGTCATTTAAATGTGAGTTCAGTTTGCAAAAACAGAGAAGTTTGATGCAATTGAAAAGGCCCCACTGTCAGCTAAAATTAAAAAAAATTGTTAAATCAAAGAGTACAAAAAATCTATCAATAGAAAATAAATGTATTTTTACTTTTTATTAGGGCATTTTCCCAGTCAGACCAGTAATTTAGAAGTGAAAGGGCCTTGAGTTCAGTTAAACATTGACATTTCTAAATAAAATGTTAAGACCAGCTATAAATATTTCAACACTTTCCACAAAATGCATAAAGTTATTAAGTATGTTAAAGAACCATTCCAGGAAAATCTTCATATTTTCCTATTTACATCTTACTTTTATCACAAGTCTAACACAATAGGTGGATAAAATTATATTTAAAACACACATATCAATATTAAAAGTGACTGAAGTACTCCCATTAGTTGCAAATCTCACACAGAAAAAAGTGAAATGTTCATTTAAGGGTGCTGTAAATCACTTTATAGTTAGAACCAGAAAATATAACAGGAAGAACGCCACTGGCTGTTCCCACCTATTGTTTTGGTTTTCATCAGCTCTAAGGGCCTGCATCTGATGAGACATTTCTAACAATTCAGCTGTTTGAACTATAGGCTGACATGAGGCACAAATAATTTTCAGACAGCAGTGAGGTTTTGACAGTCTAGGGTGAGGAGTTTGTAGAAGAAACAGGCTCAGACATGAAGGAATGCAGAATTTGATCATCCATTTTGTTAGGCCAAAGAGAACAACCTTAGATCCAAAAAAGGTCCAAATGAATTATTTCTCTTAAGGACATCTGCAAACAAGGGACCAAATAAAACATCCTCCACTCTAAACTAGCAAGCGCCAGTTCAATCATTAAGGAAGGATTATTTGTGTAAGAAAAATGATTTGAGTTAAGTATTGCAGATGAATGAAAAGTAAAAAAAAAAAATTACACAGCATTATCATCTAACTTCAAAATACCATGAAAAGGGGGACATATTGTGCTGCCACGTGGGTCTCCACTGGCTCTATAAACACTCCCGACATGAAAAAAATTCCATCTGTTTTCTCTCAGTTTTTAAATTTTGCGTCTAAAAAAGCAGTTTCAAAAAGTCCCCTTTTGTGATGTCACAAATGGGAAAATTAGAATAGAATCGTGTCTCACGTACAAGAGAGCTTTTGCTGGAGGAGCAGTGGATCTACTACAAGCCCCTCCTGGATATCAGAGCTTCTCAGCCAATAGCAACCAGAGCATAGAAGGGATGGGCGTGGCCAGCTCCAGCTTGGTTTCCTAAAGTGACAGAGCCCCAAAACGCCTTATTCTGGAAGGTACTAAAACTGTCAGGGATAAAAATGCTGAACTCACTTTATGTGGGAGGGTTTTAGTGTAAAGAACTTCATAAACATGTTTTGCGTTAACCATTGAACTACTAAAATTTAAGGAAAAAGTTACATGTCCCCTTTAAAGAAATCAACTCTGTATGGAATGTAAGAGTTCTAATTAATTTATGTTAATTTATTTCAAATAAAAGATGATTCTAACTTTCACCCAGAATATTCTAATTGTACAAACCTCAGTGTGCGAAGGTCCCAAAGCTTTACACCATCTGTGATTGCACTGGAGAGGAAAAGGTTGTAGGACTCTGGGGTCTGTCCAGTGAACGCAGATCCCTTTGAAATAAAGATATTAATAAAAAATTATTATTATTAAAGCTGAGTGATTAACCAATGCTTGACGAAAACTGTGTTTCCCAACATTTACTGGAATAATTTTACTTATATGCAGTATTTTAGCTTTAGGACAAGACTCTTCTTCACAGTTTTTGCATCCAGTTTATTTTTGTAGTTTTTTGCTATTTCTGAGCTGCTGTTGATAAATGTGCAGAGTGTGGTTTGGAACGGTCTACCTCAAATAGTCAACCCTGAAAAAAGTAAAACCATCTAAATGGTGCAACAACCTATCCTCTCTAACAAAGCAGCATTTCATACAAAAATGATTGAAACCTAATTCAAAAGAGCAAAAAATAAATAATAACAAAAAAAAAATCATTGCATTTTTAAGGATTGATTCGTTCCAAATGTGACATTTTTGCACATATCCTCAAATAATAAATTTCATTTCAAGTGAGGAATGAGCTTCGCAAGATCAAGGTGCATAAGGCTGCAGGCCCAGATGGCGTCAGCTCCAGGCTCCTGAGGTGCTGCGCAGATGAACTGTGTGGCATACTAGGTTACCTGTTCAACCTGAGCCTATCGCTTGGGAAAGTACCACAGCTGTGGAAGACATCCTGTGTGGTACCGGTACCAAAGACCTCCCATCCCAAGGACCTCAGCAGCTACAGGCCGGTAGCCCTCACATCGCATCTGATGAAGACACTCGAGAGGTTGGTTCTTAACCATCTGCGTCCCCTGGTGAGGTCTTCGTTAGATCCACTACAGTTTGCTTACCAGCCTGGCATTGGGGTGGAGGACGCCATCATCTACCTTCTGCACCGAGCTCTGACTCACCTGGAGAAGCCTGGAAGCACTGTGAGGATCATGTTTTTTGATTTCTCCAGTGCTTTCAACACCATCCAACCACGACTTCTGAAAGATAAGTTGGAGCTATCGGGAGTGGACCACCACATGTCTCAGTGGATACTGGACTACCTCACAGAACGACCACAGTATGTGAGGTCACAGGGCTGTGTCTCTGACACGCTGGTCTGCAGTACGGGGGCCCCACAGGGAACTGTGCTGGCACCGTTCCTTTTCACCCTCTACACTGCTGACTTCTCCATCAGCTCCCCACGCTGCCACCTACAGAAGTTCTCTGACGACTCTGCCATAGTTGGCCTCATCACAGGTGAGGATGACTCAGAGTACAGACAGGGGACTCTGGACTTTGTGGACTGGTGTCAGCAGAACCATCTGCTGATCAACGCCGGGAAAACCAAGGAGTTGGTGGTGGATTTCAGGAGACGCAGACCCACCACAGTGACACCGGTGAACATCCAGGGAGTGGGCATTGAGATAGTGGACTCTTATAGGTACCTGGGTGTTCACCTGAATAATAAACTGGACTGGAGCCACAACACGGATGCTCTTTATAGGAAGGGTCAGAGCAGACTCTACCTGCTGAGGCGGCTGAGGTCATTTGGGGTACAGGGAGCACTTTTAAAGAGCTTCTATGACTCTGTGGTAGCATCTGTCATTTTTTACAGTGTGGTATGTTGGAGCAGCAGTTTATTGGCAGCTGAGAGGAAGAGGTTGGATAAACTCATCAGGAAGGCCAGCTCTGTTCTAGGATGCACCCTAGACCCAGTGCAGGTGGTGGGAGACAGAAGGTCTCTGGCCAAAATAACATCTCTGATGGACAGAGTCTCCCACCCCATGCATGTAAATGTTGCTGAACTGCAGAGCTCCTTTAGTGACAGACTGCTGCATCCTAGATGCATGAAGGAGCGTTTCCGAAGGTCCTTCCTCCCTGCAGCTGTTAGACTGTACAATCAGAACTGCTCCCAAACAAAACAGTTGTCGGCATCAGTGCTGTAATAACTTCTACAATTATAACTTACACATTACTTTTTCTCAGCTTATACATGCAATAATTTATTGAAGGCTACATGTCTACTTTTTAATGAATGGGTAAAAAATAAATAATCTGCACTCTTTTAATCATCTTAAACTTTTAAAACTATTTTAACATCTTCAGTATCCTGCTATGCTTACACATTATGTGTGCGCCTATATAAACAACTGTATTGTACTCTGCTCTGGTAACTATTGTCCATGATGTAAATAGGTAATAACTGTGCTTCTGTTCTGTGTCCTGCATTGTTTGTATATGTGTGATGTTGCTGCTGACACAACCAAATTTCCCCTTGTGGGACTATTAAAGGATTATTCTATTCTATTCTATTCTATTCTATTCTATTCTATTCTAAATAATAAAGTAAATTTTACCATATTTGCACTTGGAACAAATTTTTTTACTGAGGCATTTTCCGTCCTCTACCACCCTGAGAGAGGGCCCTTCAAAAAAGTGTAGTGTTTCCATTTTGACGTCTACACATTGATTCCGTTTATGACTTCCAAACCAAGTTATCAGATGATATAGTTAAACATCGGAGTGAGCGGGAGAGAGCGTGCAGCTGTGGGGTGTTTTTGTTTAGATTTCCATTAGGAGTGTGAGAACAGGAGTTTGAGAGAACATTTCCAGTTCTATTTTCCGAGAAGTCCTCTGCTCTGATGATTTCCAGGTGAATTTCACCAAGGAGACCATGGAAACTTCAAGTAGGAAAAGTTGCTTCTGAAGTGGCAGTTCCTGGTGTTTGCTCTGACTTGTGCAGAAAAAAGAAGAAGAAAACCGTGATCTCATGAGCGTCTATGCATGGGCAATCCTTAACCTTTCAGCCCCGCAAAGGGCCCCCCGGCTCCACAGAAGAACTCCCCATTGATGCAATAGTCCAGCTGAAACAACACACCACAGGCTTTCCACACTACGCAGCACACAAAAGCTGGCATGACAAAAAACAGGCACATCTGGCCTGAAAGAATATAGTCAGCTGTGCAAGAGTCAATAGCAGCTGAATGGGTTAAAGCATCTAATCCGTGCAGTGTATCCAACTAATCCTGACCTTCCATGCAGGGTGAAACATGCAGAAATGGCCCAAGTGAAGGGTCACTGAGCACAAGGCTTTCTAGCAAACAAGTTGCAGAAGCATCTGTGGATTTGTGCATAAAAAATAAACTGATGGAAATGCAAAACAAAAGCTGGAACATGGTTTATTTTTGCACTTTCATGCCATGTGTTGCTGTTGTTTGTGGATCACGAGCACAGCAGCAGTCTTCTGGTTAAACACCAGCTAAATGGGTGTGATGTAGGAGTAGGCCCACACAAACCCAAACAGCATCATGGAACAGCGAGGAGGACCGTCCTCCCACCACCACTGGTGACAGCCTTAATCCTGATACAGCAGCGGCTTACATTCCTGCATTCAAGATAAATGATACTGATGATGATAAGTCCTGTCTGGGTGTCATGGAAACTTCTGGGTAACCAAGATATTTTTTAAAAACTATGACCTTCCTTGTTCACACCGCAAGCTAACACTTTCATTTCCTCAAAGGTGATTTGGGGCTTATGTAACTGGTGCAAAAAAAAAAAATAAATAAACCTTGCTGATGTCTTATATAACTATATGATATCTGCCAAGTAATAGTTTAAGATGGAAGATAGGGCTCACACCACTGATTCAGGCCAAGTCAAGCTAATTCTTTGCTCTGTGGGTTTGATCTATGTGTCAGTCAGTCTGCGGGTGAAGTGATGAAATGTCTCCATTTTATTCCATTCACAAAGAAGTCCTGTTTGCCCAAACTACAAATGATAAAATCATAAAAAATGAGAATAAAAAAAACACCTTTTGTTGTGTTTCACATTTATATACAATGATTCACAAGTAAAAACTTTTGTTTACATTTCAAAAATAAAAGCCTGCCAAACACAATTACAGGTGGTAATAAAAGAAAAGCCACAATGTGGAGTTTTGAACCACTAGGGGCAGTGTAGGCTCATGTAGTGAAGCAGAAAAAGAAGAAGTGAGAATCGAAGATTGATTCTGTTCACTGTTTAGGTAATTCCCAATACCCACACTGCAGCCTATGGTCCTCTGCAAAGCATACTTGGAAAAAATGCAAGTAAGGTTTGAGTGTGTATTAAAGCAATGAAATGTGATGTCACATGCCCACACACCCGCAACCCAGCCCCAGGCTGGTGGGCAAGAAGCCGGCACCGACCTGTTGACCCCAGTTGTGTTTATCTGTCACTTTTCAATAAACAGCAGCAAAATAAAATCTATCAGCAAGGTTAACACACGTAGAGCTTAAGGCTGCACAAGTAGACGAAAGAAGGACGCTGAAGGCAGTGGTTACCGGCTAATTCACCACCCACAACGTGGCAGACAAGGTCTTATGATGGAAAAAAAAGATAAATATCTTCCCCACATGTCCAGAAACAAACAAGTTATACCCATCTAATAACGTATATGCTTTTATTATATTATTATGCACAACTGCAGGGACGAGGAGCCGGGAAGAACCAACCGACCGAGCAGAACCAGTAGTGGGGAGAAGCTGTGCTGCCAATCAGTCCTGAGAAATAAATGTGTGTGAAAGTGTGTAGTGCTGTGTGTGACCCGTGGTGACACACTTGCTATAATAATTACACAAAATGTGTTGTGTAATTGGAGCAGGCAGCCCCTAATCTCATTGGTTTGTGTTTTGGTTTACATTTGTCAGAATAAATGGAGCATCCGTTAATCTCCAAAGAAGAACGGCGTCATGCTGATTGTTCAACCTTAACCCGCAAAACTTAGAAGAGATCCGGTTACACCGTCGATGGTTCGGCTATGTGAAGTCCAGATGGTTGGTTCTGAGTACTGTCCCCAAAGTTTGTTGGCCATTTAAAATGGATCTGGAAGCTTTGTGCTAAACACTGTTAGCTTTAAGATGTCTATTTTTTGTTCTTCTGCACAAAGATGTGTTAGGCAATCTATGGTAGTAATATCTAAATCACTAGGGTTTTTTTTTGTTAGCTTAAATCAGCGATACAGCTCTGGATAATGGCTGGAGACGGGGTTCTTGCCCTCCAGCTTGTGTGGATGTACGCAGTTACTCAGATATAAACAATAACTTTCAATTGGTCTAAAGTGAATCTACCAAACAAGCACATTTTTGAACCCAACATGGTCATAGAACACTCATCCCTCCCCTCAGCTATCTTTCCTGAGACACTTCTGCTGGAACTGGAAACCCATGATACTGGAGGACACAAGATAGCACTTGCCATTTTCTAGGTCCATGACTTCATATGGTGTTTTCCTTCTGGGGCTCTGCTAGTTTGTCCTAAAGTTGAAGTGGTAGCAGCCAGCTGTTTCTCCTTTTCTGATATTATTGAGCCAAGACCTCTCACACCAGTGGTGTTTCTGTTGCTAAATATGTGCATGCGTAATGAATGGAGGACCCACGGAAGTGCGGGTCGGTGGGACCGACAACAGGATGGTCCAATGGTTGCTGTGGTTGGCAGAGGTTATTAGGCAAATGCGAGAAAAACACATTATTATTTTCTTTATATCCACAATATATTGATATATTATGTTAGACATTAAGAAATAGGGCTGGGCAATATGGCCTAAAATCAATATCACAATATATTGAGGATTTCACCTTCGTCGTCGTCGTCTTCCTCTGCTTATCAGGGTCCGGGTCACGGGGGCAGCATCCCAACTAGGGAGCTCCAGACCGTCCTCTCCCCGGCCACCTCCACCAGCTCCTCCGGCAGGACCCCAAGGCGTTCCCGGACCAGATTGGAGATGTAACTTCTCCAACGTGTCCTGGGTCGACCCGGGGGCCTCCTGCCGGCAGGACATGCCCAAAACACCTCCCCAGGAGGCATCCTGACCAGATGTCCAAACCACCTCAACTGACTCCTTTCGATCCTAACGATGCACAACTGCAGGGACGAGGAGCCGGGGAGAACCAACCGACCGAGCAGAACCAGCAGCGGGGAGAAGCGAAAGGAGTCGAAAGGAGGATTTCACCTTGATAACTATAAATGGATAACTACAGGTATGCGCAGAGACAAAGGCTGTCCACTAGATGGGGCTGTCACATGTATTACGTTGAGTCACATTTTTTACATGACTCAAGGTGGTACAGCTTCCTAAAGGGACATGAATGTTGCCAACCAACACACATCTTTTCATTTTTTATTATCTAATGTATTGACGTGGGAAAAATTATCACGAAAAGAATCAGAAATTTTGATAACGATAAATTTTCGATATATCGCCCAGCCCTATTAGAACCATAAAAAATGTTTTTAGCCCATTTGTTTCCCAAATTTGTGACAGCAGCTTTAATGTTCAAATGAGTTTTTTTTTTCTCTTCTGAACATTTTATTGGTTTTGGAAAACATTTAAATGATACAGTTTAACATGCATTTGGTCTGACCTTGTTCTGCGTTATACAGTGGGTGGCTCTGCTGTGGGCATCAGGCAAAACAGAGGCAACTGAGCCTTTGTTCATGTCCAGAACTTGAATGGAGCGATCAGAACCAGACACCAGAACAATATCTGTAAAAACTGTCAGGAAAGGTCAGGATTGGCCCATTTTATATATCTCACACAACCTGATTGCTTGATTTCTGTGCCATTTCATTTTAAAGAATGCCTTTGTATCTAACCTTTAACTGTGAAGCACACCAGTGCAGAACTATTCCTGACAGGTTCAAATTCATTCCAACTTAGATAAATATAAACTATCTGATAGCCAATATGGATTCAGATCAAAAAGATCAACATCACTGGCATTAATTGAATCAACTGAGGAGATCACAAATGCTATAGAACGGAAACAATATGCAGCCGGATTATTTCTGGATCTCAAAAAGGCATTTGACACAATTAATCATGACATATTAATTAATAAACTGGAACAGTATGGGATAAGGGGGGCTGTACTGCAATGGGTGAAAATTTATGTAAGTGACAGGAAACAATTTGTAAAGATGGGCAACTATTCTTCATCATGCATGAACATTGCTTGTGGTGTTCCACAAGGCTCTGTACTGGGTCCTAAATTATTTATTCTTTATATAAATGACATTTTACAAGGCTTCTGATATATTGAAATTGGTATTATTTGCTGATGATACAAATATTTTTTGTTCTAAGGGAAATCTGGGGGAGCTGCTGGGTACAATTACTTTAGAAATGGACAGAATCAAAAAATGGTTTGACAGTAATAAACTGTCATTAAATTTAAGTAAAACAAAAATAATTTTATTTGAAAATTCTCTTATGAACAAGTGCAGATCAATATAGACGATGTGGAAATTGAAAGAGTATTTGAACATAAGTTCCTAGGTGTAATTATAGACGATAAATTAAATTGGAAGTCACATATAAAGCATATCCATAATAAAATTTCAAGAAGCATATCAATATTGAGTAAAGTAAAACACATTCTGGACCAAAAATCACTCCGAATTCTATATTGCTCCATGATTGCACCGTATTTGTACTACTGTGCAGAGGTTTGGGGCAATACTTACAAATGTTCATTATCATCAATCTATACATTACAAAAAAGGGCCATTAGAATAATTCATACAACTGGCTACAAAGATCATACCAATCCACTCTTCTTAAAATCTAAAATTTTAAAATTTCCAGATCTGGTGCATTTTCTCACGGCACAGAATATGTATAAAGCAATAAATAAGCTACTTCCTGACAACAATCTAAAATTATTTTCTAAAAGGGAAGGGGGATACAATTTGAGGGGTGAATTTAACTTAAAATATCCTTGTATCTGTACAACATTAAAAAGTTTTTGCATTTCTGTGTGGAGTTAAGCTGTGGAACAGTTTTAGTGCAGATATGAAGCAATGTCCAAGCATGAGCCAATATAAAAAGCAGTTTAAGGATTTGGTTTTTGCAGAGTACAAGGAGGTTGAGAATTGATGATCTTGTAGAATATTTTCGTTGACATAATTGTGCACTGGTATGTTGCGGTGGGTATCTCTATGTTATTAAAAATATACAGGTCATATATACTGAAACTATAAGGAGGATGTCTGTAGGTTATTGATTGTTAGAGTGGAAAGGGGGTGGGATTAAATAAGCTTAAGCTTCTTCCTGCTCCTTTTTGAACATTACTTGTAGTGTGTTTCTTTTTTTGTTGTTGTTGTTGTTTTATTTGTTTTTTTTTTCTCTGTCAATTTTCTTCCTTTATTTTTATGTACTGTTTTTTTTTATATTTTCAAAATAAAGATTCAATCAATCAACTTAGCCCGTTTCACAGAATTTACTGGAGTCGGTAAATGCACTGTAAACCCTAACAAGGGTTTGGAATGCAGACATTCCTAAAGATAATTATAGACACCTAAATGCTTTACAAGTAAAACCCGGAGGCTTGATGTGAAGACTTTTTGAGATTGTTGTGGGTAACATGGAAGTTGTCAGAGTAGATGCTCTAAGCAAGAGGAACAGGCTCACTGTCAGCATCAGTGTGGTCCTTACTGTCCCACTTCCTGCTTCAAGAAGCACAGCAGCAAGAAAAAGGATACATGACAGGAAACCATTGATGGCAGATAGTGCAGTGATGCCTGTTGATGTGGTTATGCAACTTGCCAGTTTGAAGACACTCCGCTGCTTGTATCTAAGAAGAAAAGTAATCAAACAGTTGTGTCATTTTCATAAATGATTTTAACATATCACATTTTATATTTGTTTGAGCTTTTAAACAGCTTTAGGAGAAGAAAAATAGATGCTACATTTTTGGTTCTTATAATATACAACCTTTGTTTGCAATTTAGCATATCAACCAGAAAAAAACCCCATAAATTAAGAGCCCTCACAACCTAAAAAAAAGGACAAATGTCTAATATTCTAATGGGTTTTACCACCAGAACAAGTTCTGACAGCCTGCAGCACTCTGAGCTGATTGGATGTTAATCGGTGTCAGCAGCATCTGCAGAAACAGCTACAAAAAGCCAGGTTTCTGCTACTAATAATCGCTTCCTAAACAGTTTACACAAATGTTAAAACTCTATCATCTTCTGTCAGCTAGAACATTTGTCATTTTTGGGTTGCTTAAAGCAGCTTTCCGGTATTTTCTACTTTCAGAAATTATGTATGATTTGTCAGAAATCCGTAAAAGTGATTATCTCATCATGTACTATGATATAATGTAAGCAATATGTCTTTTTTTTTTTTGCTACGCCCCCTGCCCCGCAGAGCTCCGTGCAATAGGAAACTGACCGCCGACCAGAACTAATGAATAGCGTTAGACTACCACTTATTTGCTTCAAATTTAAGGAATACCTCGGCTGATGCAGAGTTGATGAACTTTTCACGGACAAGTCTCGAAAATATAAATATATGAGAACACAACATGACATGAGAACAATACTCGTAAAACAATGTGTTTTAGCTCTGTTTGTCGGCTACTGAATCCCATTTATAAACCAGAAACATGAAGTTGCAATCTTAAAAAAAACAGAAGGAGCGTGATATGCTTATCAGCCACTGGATGGTAACATCGGATAAGAGAAATACTCCGGAAAGAAGCTTTAACTGTAGATGGATGCCTAGTAAGAAATTGATAAAAGGACAGCCTGTTCTTCAAATATTCCTGATGGAGGCAGAAAAAGTTCCAATATCAGTGAGTAGATGACAGCAAAAGCTTTAAGTTACGTTTTGATGTCATCACGAGTTGTGTCCACATCATACAGGTACAGGTACAGAGCGGGTCCAGATGCCAAGAGAAGAAATTTGTCAAGATAATAAAACTGAGCTCCTCTAACAGGTTTGGAGAACATGTTGTCACCCTAAAGGGAGGAAAGGAAAAAGATAAATCACACCAGTACACCTACTGACATTTTCTTTTCACTGGTAATCACATCAAACCTTCAAATGGGGAAAAAAATGAGGAGGTGCTCATATTTGTTTTTAATGTAAAACAGAAATATGATTTTAGGGTTACATAGAGACACTTTCTCATTTGTTTTTATCATTAGCGATCACATAGAGAAAAGGACTTAAAATAAGAGGGAAAGATGACTCAGCAAACTTATAATAATCACTGATTTATCTTTTTAAGTTTCACACTTCAACAAAATATGTTTTTCTCCATTCAAGGATGATTAAACAATTTACGATGCAAAAAAACATTGTTATTATGTGGCAATTTAAAGATAACACTTCATAACTTTTTTCTCATGTTATAATAGTTCTACGTTCCTTAAACTTTTAATTTGAAGTTCTCAACACAAAATCCCTGTTAATTAAGCAATGTTAACATTTTTATTAATGACATTTTCATTACCTTCCAGAATGAGCCATTTCAGGGCTCTGTATTCTGGCCACGACCACCCATACCCCACTCAGTCTGCTATAAGCTGAGAAGCGCCGATATCAGGGAGACACTCAAAAGTAAAGCCGCTGCGTCTTAGCTTTGTGACATCACAAATGGGGACTTTTTGAAACAGCCTGTTTTAGGAATATATCTAAAACCAAACACTGACAGAAAACGGATGAATGTTTTTTGTCCAACATTGGAGTGTAGGGGTTGTACAAAATAGTCGACTAGTCGACTTCACGGCTCTGTAGTGACTTTTTATGCCTGTCATCAACTAGTCGCTGTCACGTGATAATGACTGACAAGATGCAGTCCTCGGAAAAGACAGCAGGTGATGAGCCCCTGCGCGTCTGGATCGAGGCGGAGGCGACGCGCTTGCGGTACTGACACCGGCGGTAAAACGGACATTTAACCAAACTGTGACCTTTTCCCTCTTGCAATTTAACCTTCCCTTCACCCCCATCCTAATCTTAACCAGTTTGTGCATGCAAAGCTCTGATCATTGACGTGCGCTCCAGACATTGCGTCCTGAGCACCGCCAAATCAGGTGTCACCACCTCAAAAACAAATTAAACACGCGATCGTTCATGTCGGCTCATTTCCTTTCATGTTTTCTGTCTGTTATTTGTGCCTGATGTGTTTCGCTGCTGCGGAGCGAGGCACATCACCTGTTGTCCTCCGGTGATGCACCCCCAAGATTCCACTATCTCCGCTCCGCTCCGCTCCGGCATGAACTCCGCAGCAAAAACGGTCCCGTTGTAGTCAGCCGGCGAGCAGCGGCACTCTGCTGTTTTTGCGGTCGGTAGATCTTTTAGAACTGCAGTTCAAAGGTAACTCATGAGGTGAATATATATGAACCCAGGTAGCAGTTTTACTTTAGGATTGAGAGGAGATGCAGGAAGATAATAGACAGACAGGACAGAAAAATAGTCAAATAAAAACAAGTTAGTTTTTGTACCTGGTGGTTGCAACAAACAGACACCACTGAAGGTAATCAGAAGTGAGGAACAGAAAATGAAATAATTATTTTAATGTTTAGAGCAGCAGGAAAGGCAGGTGATGTATATTCACCTCATGAGGTACCCAGGCGCATCAGTGAGTTTGCGGCTGCTGCGCAGGGGGAGGGGGGAGAGGACTGAAGTAGGATGCAGAAACTACCGTTGTTAAAAGAGATGTGTTAACTTAGAAAATGTGGGCGCAATTTTAATTGTCAAAAACTCCAGCGAACCTACCGAACGACCCTCCCCCCCACCCCCACCCCGCCGCCGATTCCGGCGTATGACGTCATCAACGACTAGTCGAAGTCGACTCGACTTTCATTACTTGACTGTCGACTTTAAAAAAAATAAAGTCGTGCAGGCCCTATTGGAGTGTTTGTAGAGGCAGTAGAAACCCACATGGCAGCACAATAGGGATGAAAAATGCAAGTTTTGCATAATATGTCCCCTTTAGGAACATTCCTTTACTGAGTTCAAAAATAATGATTCAAGAATACAAGAACACCAAAACAATCACGTGCTAAAAATCAGCCAAACATTAAACTAAAGAAATGAAACTATGGATGGTTAGCATAAAATGTAAGAACTTTCAACTGAGAACAGTTAGTTTTATTCAGCATAAGAACATATAAACCTCTAGCCATCTCTATAAATGTCCATTTCAATATTGTTAGGTTGAGAAAAGGCTTTTATGAGTTTGGGATGATTTCAGCCCCATTAATTCAACAAACAAGATCAAGAATTTGGGCTTTGCCTTTGAAATAAAAATAATAATGATAATAATAATTCAACTATAGCGGGGGTCTTTATGCCTGCATTATAAATGTTTCTCACAGGGATATTTTTTTAAATGATGTCACTCACAGTTGTTTTCTTGTAATCATGGTTGATTAAGAAACAACTAATTTTGCATTTTAATCCAAAGTGACTTAGGTTTGGTTCACATGGCAGGATAATCATAGCAACTTTTAACCATCCTCGCTCCTACTGAGAATCTTAAAGTTGCAAAACTTAACTGTACTGACCCTAAAGATAATCTTAACAGATAATCTTACTGTGTGTGGTGTGTATACTCAGAAGGATGTCAGCACCGCTCCAATCATAAATACGTGCTTTGAAACATGTTGGATAATCTTGGTTTGATGTTCAGGGATAAACAAACATGCTCCCTGTTGAATGTGATGTCTGGCCAATCAAAAACCGAGTTGGTAGAAGGGCACACCATGCTCCTCCTCCACTATTTACTTCTAAGTCACGTTTCATCTAGCGAGATTCCTCATCTGAGCAGATAATGTCTGTGAGGGAAAGCGGTTTGTGTGTAGTATTTGTCGAGCCGCTGCACACCACACACTGTAGGACCAAAACTGGTGTATAAAGGTCCGGGAGTTGACGTCACTTCTCCCAGCATGCAACAGTTCAAATCAAACGGCGCCATCTTGGCAGGCAGTAGCCCGCAGCTGGGCTATTTGTTATTGTCAGAAAACTCAATCAAACGGGAAATATGGTAGATTCCTGTTGTGCCCCAGGATGCCAGAACAGACGCGGACGACATAAGGAATGAGCCATCTACAGGATTCCCCAAGATCCAGAACACCCAAACATTGGATCATTGTAATAAAACGCGCTAGTGACCGGGCTAAAATGAAACTGTGGGATCTCGAGAGTAAAGGTTTTCGCTTATGCAGCGACCACTTCATATCAGGTACTTAAACCAATGTTTCCTCAACTGTATATGGTGTTAATTTTAAATGCTTTTATTACGATTCTTAGTGGGCTTCCTAAACGTATTATGGCGTTGCTTTTTCCGTCTCATTACTCAAAGCAACAAGTAAACATCACGTAAAACGTTTCCTCGTGATTTCTGCGTGCTGCCATTTACTTGCCGTTTACCGGCTAAGCTGTATTTCATTTTTAAGCAATGGTTGATCAACTGTCAGATCACACATAAAAAGCACTTTGGATTGCTATTATCTGTCTCACCGAGACAGATCTCAGACAGATCCTGAGACGCTCCTGCCTGACATATTTATTTTATTCACGGGAAGAAATCAGACTAGTGATTTCTCTTGGCATTCAGTTTATACATTCAAACAGCACAGCACTCTTTTTAAACTTCTTACATGTAAATCTATGTTATTTTTGTTTAATTAGTTTAATAAATTATAAACGTCAGGGTATCTCAAATCCGGTAAGAGGTCCACCCCGACAGCTTCTGGCATTTTTAAAATGTATCCCGGGGCATGGTAAGGGTCGGAGATTAATTTCTGACTATATAAAACGATTTCTTTGGTTTTAAAGTGTGAAGTAAACTCCGACGGAGTAAAATCCAACCTGACACCGTTCATTTTGTTAACTTTGTTGCCTGCCAACAGGCGTCTACTCTCTGAGGGTCACGTGACATCCGGAGCTCTATCCTTGATTTTTTACCACCTCGAGTTGGGTCTCTGGTGCTTTTAAAACTGTCCAACTATTTTAAAATCCTGCTGTGTGAAGTGGGCTTAACATGCATGTTTTTAGTCTGAAGGAAGAAACCTGAGTACTTGGAGAACACCCGCACATGCATGTGGGGAACATGCTAATTCCTCACAGAAAAGCCACAGCTGGGATTCGAACCCACAAGGCAACTTTGCTACAAATACAACACCATGTAGACAAGAAGTGAGTGAGTGTTAGGACTCAGAATGAGACATGTGTACAGGAAGGGTTAATGGTTTGAAAATCTGAAAGCTAGGTAGAAAAAACAAAAGTACAGGTATAAGTGCAGATGCAAGGATGCATTACCATGGTAATAGCTGGCACGGAGCTGCCATTGGTCCAGATTCGAACCGACCGATCATCTGATGCACTCAGCAACCACTGTCTGCTGAGGCTCCAGCTCACACTGCTCACTGGCTTGTCGTGACCTACATTCAAAAGTAGAAAACTCAAATGAGCCTTCTTATATAGTTTAGCAGTCCAAATATTTACTTTTATGGCACTGTTCAGGCAGCCAGACACACTAACGACAGCAGGCTTGTCACGCCACCTCCACTTCTCTACTTTCTGTCTCTGCTGCCTTCTTGTGGACAATCATTTTCATATAGATTCAAGCAAATGGCTACCAAATAAATGTGTTTTAGGAATGAACATCTTAATTTTACCAGTAGGTTTTCGGTTGACAACTCAGGGAAAAAAAAGCTAGTTTGAGAAATGCTTAATTCTGTCAAAAATAACAAAAGTAAGGTAATTATGGAGTATAAAAAGCTGATTTTAAAATATAATTAGTTAGTAATTCTTCACTTGATGTGACAGATGCATTTCTGAGAAGAAACGTGATTGAAAAGCAAATCTATAGAAAGCAGAAAAGATAAAAGACACCGTTTCACCTCTATAGACAGTCGGACATCCAGCAAGAGATGACTTGTACAAAAACAGTGAGCAGTCGCCAAGACCACACAGGATTTGTTTTCCATCACCTGGGAGGTGGAAGAGAAAACACAATTGTCTTCATTAGAGTTTTTTGTCAGATTTATTACAACCACAATTAGGACAACAGTTTTCTTTATTTCCACAGTGAGGGGTTGTTTCTGAAGGAGGACGGTTGTTTGAAATTCTCTTAGAAGAAGCTCACATTCAGCTCCAGCTTTGATTTATAGTGTCCTCTTCTTCCAGGACAAATGAAATTATTTTTTCCCTGTTTTTATTGGCATCATGATTGAAGTTAAAAACTATAAGTGCACCACAGACGAGTACCTCTGCTACATGTCAGTAACCTCAAAATGATACCATCGTACATACAGTAAGTCACAATACTTCATATTTCACAACACCCATTAAATTATTACTCAAAATTTTAAAAAACACAGCTAAGATTAAAGCAATGTCTCATTTTTTATTTTATTTTTATTTTTTTTAACTCAAATTTGTAATCATCTTTCATTTGTTTTATGGTACTGTATAATTTTAAGACTTTGTTGTTCTGATTTTAATTTATTAAATTACTGTTTTAAGCTCATTATGATTTTTTGACTTCATGTGAATACTTTGTAATTTTTGGTCAGCGATGAGTGCTATACAAATAAAATTTACATACTTAATTTATAGATTTCTTTATGTTGTTTTTGCAGGGTCAGTGGCTTAAATTGTAAAACCCTGTTCTGTATATTTACTGCTGCAAATGTGATTGTGATTATTATTAGATGGTTGTTTATATTTCTTTACTACTTTTTTGTATGTATTTGAAAACGTGCACAAGTTTTGAAGTTTCTTCTACGTTGAATTGCAGATGCATAAAAAACACAACAGATTTTTCCATAAAGGAAAATTTTGTTAATCTTTTGTACATTTTAACACATTTTAGCTGTCCTTGATTTCAAGCAAAACATGTGCTAAACAAGTGCAGGTCAATTCTCATTTCTGTAGTTTGTTTCATGTTTAAAATGAGCAGTGTTCTGCTGTTGAATTAAAGAGGTAAAAAGCAAACAGGCTACATGACTAATAAATGGCATTTTCTACTATGACTATTCACAGGTGATTTACTTGATTTTTCTCCACACTTTATTTCAAATCACCATGATGGAGGGCCCTACATACCTATACACCTATACCTACCGACCCACCTACCTACCTAGAAGAAGAAGAAACAATCTTATAGCTCTTCTCAAGACAGAAACCATGAGGCGCCTCAAAAACATTTTTTTAAGAAATAAAAATTTTTAATAAAATATATTACTAAAAAATATAAAATTGGGAAAAATACAAATTGTGATTAAAAATGTGGAGAGAGGGGAAAAGAAAATTAATAAGAAAAGGTAATCAGATGGTCCAGGGAAAGGTATTTTGGTAGAAAGAGCAGAATGAGAGGGTGGTGATGAAGGTCACACCAAAGCCTGAACAAGTATTCAGCTCCTTTTTAAAGGAGACCACTAAGTCCACTGATCTCAGGCTCAGGAGGAGAGAGTTCCAGAGTCTGGGGGCCACAGCAGCAGATGATCTGTCACCTTTGGTCTTTAGGCTTTTGCGCAGTACAACCAGTAGGCTTTGATCACTGGACCTCAGGGACCTGCTGGGTGTTGGGACTGAGATCACCTATGTATGATGGTGCTTGTCCATGTAAGGCCCTAAAGACCAGAACCTTCCTACCTGCCTAAAGAAATAGTTCATATTTCCCAAATATATTAATTCATTTTCAATTTTATTATTTTGTTTATTCCTTAACTAATTAGTTTATAACTCAACATTAATTAATTTGCTCATTTATTTATTGTCTATTTTGGAAGGAGTCCTCCATACTCTTAGCGTATAATGAGAAATGTCATTACACCAGGGCATTATCTGTTTTATAATTTAACCAACATCGAGGTTATGACAGTTACAATAACTGACTCACCTGAGTACTGAAGGCACGAGACTTGTTTGTTGACAACGCTGAGATCAATACTCGGCACAGTTGGGGCTACACTGCCTGCTGGGTAACTGCTGTGGAGGAAACCCCTGAATGAAAAATCAGATTTACTGTTTATGTCAAATAAAAACTTGTTGTTCTGGTTTTTTGGTACTATTTAATTCTCTGCTTACCCATTTCCTGTTGTCTTTTTAGCGGGAGATGTTTTCTTAACATTTATTTTGGGAGCAAACATAAATCTCCTGAAAGGCAAAAATGAACAAAAAGGCAAATATTACTTATTTTCCTAATGCATATTTTAACAGCATTTTTCTCCTAATGCTGTTTATTCATTTAAGACCAAGACAGACAAGAGTTTCTAGACTTAGGTGTGATATTTATCAGAATGACTCTGCTCAAATTTGGAATAGTCTAATGAATTCTGACTTTGCTTTCTTGCATTACCTTGGAGCGCTAGTATATCCAGATGACTTCACCTTTGAGTGAAAAACCAGTGGCGTTTCTTTTATTCCTTCAGTGGTAAAAAGAGCAGAAAAACATGTTCATAGAAACAATATGACAAAAAATAAGCATTGATAATATATGCAGCTGTATAATTTATGTTAGCAAAAATCATTGGGAAGTTTTTAAACGTCAACCAAATATGCAAATAGTGTTTAGTTTAGTTATTTTTTATTAAACTTACCTAAAAAGAAATATCTAAGTTTTAAATAAAAATACCTGGCTGGGAAAAACTGGCATGTGTTGCTGGTTTAGCTGGTAGACCAGCAAGCAATGCTGGTTCAGTATGCTAATCCAGGATGGGATGCTAGTCCACCAGCTAAACCAGCACCAGAATTTAACATGGTAACCACCTATGCTGGTTTTTTCAGCAAGGTATTCACAATATAGTGAGCCTAAGTCGCTTCTTCATCATGGGTGCCCGGAAGAACGAAAAAATGAATCAATGGGGCTAAAAGAGCTATTTTCTAATTCGCTTTGCCATACGCCCTGGATCACAAATATGTTGTACTGCAATTTAAATGAAAATTAATGATGGGTGTTTCGACCACGCCAGTCACGTACTTTGAGATTTATCAGCTTGTAAAAGTTTGTAATTAGCATGACTACACTCCAGAAAAAAGCATGTCACATATGTGATGGTGTCGGTACAGGATCTGCTCGGGTGTAGGATCGGCTCGGGGTCCTTCGACTGCCGATGACGTCACATTACTGCAAATCTACTCGGCTTTCACACATACGTTTTGGAAAGACATCAGCAGTTTTGTTAATAAATTCTTGTTTGTTAACACCTAAATGTTTTCTTTATAATTGTAATTTGTTAATAAAACACCATATTATCTTTGATTGTAAAGAATGTGAAACTGCATTAAACCAACATCGGACTGACAAAAACTAGAACAGTTCTTATATGTGAAGCCATATCTGTTTGTATTAATGTGGAGTTCATCTGTATATTTCCTTAGTTGTTATCTAAATACATTCTTTGATTCAAAATATTGCTTGGTGTCTTTCAATAAAGTTATTATATTTTATTTTGCCCCATTTCATCAACATCAAGAGCTTTTGAGGGTCACCGTTTATCACTTGCTTATATTTTACATTTCCTTTAGAAATTCAAACATATTTTCTCCAAAAAGTGTTGATTTTTGGACTACAGGACTACAACCGCTAAGACTACGACCGCAAATTTGTTCTGACCAATCAAAATCATAACGTGATAACGTAACTTCCGTAAGCTTCATGCTCAGCCAATCAACTGCATTGACGTCATCGGCAGTCGAAGGACCCCGAACTGATCCTGCACCCGAGCAGATCCTGTACCGACAATGGCACCACATAATCTCCTCTCCCCAAAGTAGCTGCTACTAACCAAATGGCCAGATTTAAGGTGGTTCTTTCCTCCTGTCGTAAAGCTTGCTGAACTTACAGCCATTTTCTCTCATTTGTCTCCGTGTCTGGTTCGATGACGTCACTTTCGTGAAGCGCATTTGTAGTCCTGGACTTATTTTCACATAAAACCTAAAATAGCATTTCCACCCGTTCGAAAATAAGCGTGTTCTTGGTATCAAAATGCGTCTTTAAAATTCATGGACATCATGTGTGAAATCCATGGCACAAAACAAGCAGAATTACAAAATAGCGTTTTTAGCCCCATTGACTTGCATTTGCTTTTTTTGTTATTCCGGGGACCCGTGGTCCGGAAGTGACTTAGGCTCCCTATTCAGACGTCTCTCCTCTGATTGGCCAACAGCAACTTGACTCTTCCTCTGCGTCCGTTCACTGTGCATTATTGATGTTTGATCTTAGTAAATATCACATTCAGGCTTGAGTTATTTATAATTATAAAATGTCAACATTGCATTTTTACTCAAAAAAATAAATGTGCTACAGTTTTCTGACTTTTGTTAACGAAGCCAGTGGAAGTGTCACATTGCAGTCAGAGGCTACATTTAAACAACATGAATATTAATGAGTAAAAGTCCTAATCCTGCAGTTTCCACCATCTACTGTATTCCTCCAACAATCTTCTGCACCCTGAAACTGGAACAGGAGAGCTTTTTTTCCACAGAAAACTACTTACAAGGTATTTATTCATACTGGAGACCACAGCAGATTCATTGAAGAAACTAGTGAATGAGACCTTTAAAAACTTCTCTACATTGAGGACAAAGTAATGGTTGAGTGAAACATGCAACTAAACCCATAAGAATAGTCCACCATAATGTGTTTGTGACAGAAGTCATTAAACTGGATATGGGCTTTTTGAGTTCTTGTAGAAGAGGGGTTTAAGGACCATTGGATGACCTCACTCTGCCGAGAGCACAAGATCAGCCACAAAACAGTGGGATGTTTTATTTTCCTCGCTGTCAGATACAACAGTGAGCTCACTTTCTCCGAGGGCCGAGGCTATTAAAATATGAGAGGCTTTCAAACCTCTCAAACACACGCAAGAAAGAAAATGTCTCAGAAAAAAGATATTTAATGCAATTGAATCCATCCGGCCAAAAACACAAAAAACATGATCTGATTTCGTTCTGCGTTGACTACGCTCAGCAGTTTTGACTGAAGGCTATAAAGTGTACAAGATAGTCATCAAACACTGCTGGATTAATTTTGCATGGATATTTGCAGCTGGAGGTACATTTTATTTCTGAAATAAATTAGTGATGTTGCATTTCCTCTGGTGTTTCCATAAAATTCATATTTCTCATATTTTCCTTTTAATTTTATTTGAATATATTGGATTTTTAAATGAAGCATTTATTCAGCTGGAGCAATAAATTAACATTTACTGATTTTTTTTAAAGGTCGTGGGACTCTGAAAAAATATTTTAATGAGTATTTCTAATTATAATCAGTCATTGTGATTTTCTTAGTAAGTTTTCATGCAGGCTGAACATGAAAATAGTCTCTTACACCTATCTCCTGCGTTAGCTTCTGATAGAAAAAAGACAATGAAACTCTAGGATTTGAAAAGCCTGACTGATATACGTCACACTGTCAGAAAACTTGATTGTGACCTGTGGAAAGTTGGTCCACTCCTTTTCAATAGCTGTGCGAAGTTGCTGAATATTAGCAGGAACTGGAACACGGTGTCGTATACGCCGATCCAGAGCATCCCAAACATGCTGAAGTGGTGACATGTCTGCTGAGTATGCTGGCCATGCAAGAACTGGGATGTTTTCAACTTCCAGGAATTGTGTACAGATCTTTGCAATATGAGGCAGTACGTTATGGATGAATGGCACAACAATGGGCATCAGGATCTCATCACGGTACCTCTGTGCATTCAAAATGCCATCAATAAAATGCACCTGTGTTTATTGTCCATAACATACGCCTGCCTATACCAGTACCCCACCACCACTCGTTCCGCAATGTTGACATCAGCAAACCACTCACCCACACGACGCCACACATGCAGTCTGACATCTGCCTTAAACAGTGAACTCATCTGTGAACAGGACGCCTCTCCAACATGCCAAATGCCATCGAATGTGAGTATTTGCCCATTCAAGCTGGTTACGACAACGGACTGGAGTCAGGTCCAGACCCCGATGAGGATGACGAGCATGCAGGTGAGCTTCCCTGAGATGCTTTCTGACAATTTGTGCAGAAATTCTCTGGTCATGCAAACCGATTTTTGCTGCAGCTGTCCGGGTGGCTGGTTTCAGGCAATTCTGGAGGTGAACATGCTGGATGTGAAGGTCCTAGGTTGGTGTGGTCACATGTGGTCTGCGGTTGTGAGGAAATACTGCCAAATTCTCTAAAACGCCATTAGGGACGGATTATGACAGAGGCATGAACGTTCATTTCATGGGCAACAGCTCTGGTAGACATCCCAGCAGTCAGCATGCCAATTGCATGCTCCCTCAACGGTGTGACATCTGTAGCATTGTGCTGTTTGATCAAACTGCACATTTCAGGGTGGCCTTTTATTGTGGGCAGTCTAAGGCACACCTGTACATTATTCATGGTGTCTAATCAGCCCCTTGATATGCCACACCTGTGAGGTGGGATAGATTATCTCGGTATATTTTAGAGCCATGGGTTTTTTGTGAATGTAGAAAAAGTTTCAGAGGTTTTAGTTCAGCTCATAAAAAATGGGAGCAAAAACAAAAGTGTTGCATTTATATTTTTATTCAAAAAAGATAAAGGCTGACTAAAAAAAGATAAAACTCAGCTCTTTAGGCTAAAGAGCTAATTACCTGGCAATATTCACTTGGAATTTCTCAACAACCCCACAGACGCCCTGCTGTTGTTAAATGGTCATTTTGTTTTATTGGGCCTTAAAACTCTCGTGACATATGCTGACATTACATTAGACACTGAAGCACGGTTAGAGTCAGACAAATCTCCATGTGGCCGCATCTTCATAAAACCACAGAAGCTTGCTGCTTACTCTTTGCAAGTTTTTTTTCTCAATCAAGTGTAAAACATCTAGTCAGGAAAGCGATTCTTTATATGTGAATTTTTTATGCAGAGCAACTGCTACTGTCTGTTTACACCTCTAGCCAACAAAACATCAGCTTCTACAGCCAGCTGGTTCAAGGTCCTAAAAGTCCTGCAAGTATTCAGCTCACTAATGAGTAGCCATTTGAGTTTTTAATGCAGTTTAAACAAAAACTTTGACTTTTCCATTAACATACATTTTCTTTTTTTATGTTTTCCAAATGCAGGTTAATGCCAGATGTGACTGACAGAAAATGGAAATGGTCAGATGACTACAATTTGGTTATATGAGATAAAGAGAGGGATTAATTCTGATGGAAACAGTTTTAAAAAAAGTATCTACAAAGAATATTTAGTAATATGGCAACAGCTTTCAAAACTGCACTCTCAGCTCTTTTAAAAGAGCTTATTCAGACATGTGCCAGACATACAAAAGAAGAAAATTTTCCTTTCCAGGAGTCTCAGGGGTTTATGGTGTAATTTGTCTACGGTTCTGCAAATATCTTTAAGGAGATGCTTGGGGTGCACGGTATGAGCTAGCGTGTAAATGTTTGTGGTTATCTTTTTCTTTTTTTTTATCTTGTACAGCATTTCTTGGTTACACAGAAGATCCACTACATAGTCTGGTGTGGACAAATCCCTAGCACTAACCCACAAGCTCCTGCAGCAGAAGAGGTTCAAGCTGTCATAATGCGCCAATAGACAATACATGAGTCCACTAGAGCTATAATCTGGGCTCATTTATGAGCATTTTTTAGTACAAATGTGTTCAAATCTAGACTGGAAGAACATAGAAGTAAAAATTAAAGGGATAGTAAGCAGTTTGGCTTGCTTTTGGCACCCCCTAGTGTCCATTATTAATTATCTGTGGTCAAAGCAAAAGTGAAACTTATCTCCTTGCTGTGTGTTAATCTTTTTAACACCTTAAAATAACTCAAACATCTCCTCAGCCTTTATTAGTTTATACAGGAGTGGTTCATCACTAAATCAAACAAATCACTTGTGTTCATCATCTAAAACATGCAGGAAACGTGCTGGAAGTAGACTGTAGTGCCTGGCAGGGGCGGATTTAGGACTGAAGAAGATCCGGGGCCTAACACACACACGCGCGCGTGCACACACACGTGACACGCACTAGTCAACATCATATATGTCTTGTACCACATAATTTGTAATCTGAAGCTACATATTAAGCATTTTCAGGGCAGTTCCTGTTAGTGTTTAGTGTGAGATGCTAGTAAATATTCCCTTTCTTTCTCCAACAACTTTACCTGATAGTAGGCTAACTTTAGGCAAACCAGCAGCACAACAAATATTTTCAAATAAGACTCACAAACCTGAGTCAACACCAGTCTCATCAAAGCTGGGGTTCTGTTGTTGTACTTTTTGTCTAAAAAACGTCCTTATGTCCATCTTCACTCATGCATTTCAGGCAGAGAGTAGAAGAAGCCGGCTGCTGAAGGGCTTCTTCTTCAGTGGTGGAGGCTCAGGCAGGCTGTATACAAACTACTGCCAGCTGCTCCCTCTCTGTTGGACTTTGGTACTGCATGTTACTTCAGCGATTTAGATCCGGGGCTTTTCATGAAACATCCGGGGCTTCAGCCCAAGTAGCTGGGCCTAACGCCGCCCCTGGTGCCATGTATGTAAGCTCAAAATCCACAGGTGGCAGCCCGGCACTCTAAAGTTGCAAATATGGTATTCTGGCCATAGAGGGTGGTAGGGGACTGAGTGACATTTCATTATCCATGTAAAGGGTCATCTTAGCACCTAGTGGCTCAAGAAAACAATTTTAAAATATGAAAAAGTTGCATAGCATTCCTTAAAAGAGCAAGTAACATCTAAATATACATATATATATATATATTTTTTTTTTCTGATAAGTGTCTAATAGTGCTGTAGACATACAGTGTGTAATCACTATTTTAGCAGTTTAGTGCAACTTACTTTAAATTTAATATTTCAGCCCAAAACTGAAATTATAGCTCCATCTTCAGGTTAAAACTCTGCTCCACACTGATTAAGAATCAGCCACAGCTGACTGCTGTAGCTCTTGCAGAGTGACTTCAGTGCAGTGCAACGTGGCTGCACTACACTGGACTCCTGCTGAGTCTCACCGCGCCTCCACCTCACTCAACCACTCACCTGACACGGATGACACATTGGCATTGGAGCCGCTCGCCTCCTTAAGAAAAACGTCCTCCTCCCCTATTTTCTAATGACAGAGGTGAACAGGAAATCCTCCTTCCTGCAATCACTTTCTGTGTCTATTCGTCTCCTGAACGACAAGTCTGCTGTTTGCGTGTGCTCGTGTGCGCACGCTTGTTAACAAGTTTTTTTTCCGACTGAAAAACTATGCGAGCGCACACAGGGGGGTGTAGGGGGGTGACGCTCTCTTGGTCCTCCAGACCACGCCTTTTCCCCAGGTATTTATCTAACACGAAGTCTGGTTGAAATAAGTCTCCACCCATGCCTTGACTCCCACTTTGTCACACCTGTCCTGTCTCCTCACTCTGTTTAGCCCTGTGTCTCCTGATTACTCCCACCTGCCTCTCGTTTTCCAATCACCCACGCTCCCAGCTCCTCCTGTATTTAAACCCTGTCAGTCCTTTTTGTCTTGTCTGTTCATTGCCTCATTGTCCAGCATGTTTTATATTAAACCTTGTTAAACTGTTCCCGTCTGCCTGCCTGCCTTCTTCCACAGCGTGTGGATCCTCACCTCCGGCTCAACTCACCCGCGCGTTGTGACAGAATGAACCGACCTCCTGAAGGATCCAGCGGGGAAGTCCTGCCCTGGGACGGTCTGCTCCCAGGGCTCACCAGCTTCAGCTCCACACCATCTCCTCCACCATCTTGCCGCAGACGCCGCCATCAAACCTCAGCCTCGACGATCCCCTCCACCCTCCCGGAGCCAGACGGGGGGTTGGGCTGGGAGCCACAGCTGGACCGCTCTGGCTTTCTGGGCACCAGACTGGCGGCGTGCTCCCCTGGAGTTGGTCCCCGGCGCTGGGAGGGAACCCAAGCCCCGCCGTTACCGCCAGCCAAAGAGCTGTGCCACGGGCGCGCTGCGAATCCGGCTGACGTCACTCCCGGCTGCATCTCCTCCCACTCCAGGGGGCAATGAGAGGGACCAAACCGTCGGTCAACCCGGCGGAGTTTGCCCTTCTCCAGGCTGAGCTGGTCAGTCTTAAAAATCTCATCAGCCTCCGGGAGTTCTGGCTGGACGTTCTGTCCTCCCTGCTTCTCCAGGAGGCGGTACTCCAGTCAGCGCCTTCGGTCCAGCCAGCATCCCCGCCTGCAGCAGCACCGCCACCGGTCCAGCCAGCATCAACGCCCGCAGAGGCTCCGCCCCCAGCCCAGCCTGTCCAAGAGGCTCCGCCCCAGATCCAGTCGTCGCCAAGTCTGGCGCTTCCAGTCCAGTCGTCGCCAAGTCCGGCGCTTCCACTCCAGTCGTCGCCACATCCGGCGGTTCCAGTCCAGTCAGAGCCACGTCCGACGCTTCAAGGCAAGTCGTCAGCGCCATGTCTGGCTCCTCCAACCAAGTCGGCGCCAGGTCTGGCACTACCAGCCAAGGTAGCAGCTCCGCCTCTAGCCAAGTTGGCGCCTCCAGTCAGACGCCGGCCCCCAGACTCCAGCCTCGCCTCCTGTACCCCAGACGCCGGCCCACCAGACTACGGCCTCGCCTCCTGTGCCCCAGACGCAAGCCCCCCAGACTACAGCCTCGCCTCCTGTACCCCAGACGCCGGCCCCCCAGACTACAGCCTCGCCTCCTGTGCCCCAGACGCCGGCCCCCCCAGACTACGGCCTCGCCTCCTGTGCCCTAGACGCTGGCCCCCTAGAGTCTGTCTTGGCCTGCGTTGGGCGTCCGGTGCCGTCCTTTAGAGGGGGGTACTGTCACACTTGTCCTGTCTTGTCTCCCCACTCTGTTCAGTCTCCTGATTACTCCCACCAGCCTCTCGTTTTCCAATCACCCAAGCTCCCAACTCCTCATGTATTTAAACCCTCTCAGTTCTGTGTGTCTTGTCGGCTCATTGCTTTATGTCCATCGTGTTTTATATTAAAAACCTTGCTAAACCATTCCTGGTTGCCTGCCTGCCTTCTTCCCCAGAGTGTGGATCCTCACCTCTGGCTCAACTCACCTGCGCATTTTGACACACTTTAAGAATTGCAATAATGAAAGTCACAGGAGGACTCACCTAAACTAAACTAAACTAAACAGAAGGATGTCATTAACAGAAAACTTATATTATGTACACCAAGTTCTGTCAACTGGTTCCACTAAAGTTGCTTGAATATAAAGAGTAAAGAGTAAATGTAATATACATGGTTATGTAAAAAATACATTTATATAACTCTTTACATTTAAGCAACTAGGTTTAGTAGAACCAACTTAGTTAAGTAAAGTCAACATTTCCATTCTTAGAGTGTAGCTCTTGTGTTGATCAGATTAAAGATACACTAAGTAACTTTGTCACATTTTTAAGTCATTTTCTCTAGCCAGTAACTGCTAAAATTACCCTCAAATCCAAAAGGAGATGGGTATGCTCAGAACAGACAAGCTAGAGGTGGTTGGTGAGTCGACATCGGGAAAGCGTTTTGTGATTGGTGAAAGCTCAGAGAAAATAAGGATTCCAATTGGATGCGAACCACCTACCCATGCTATTGCAAGCATAAATTGAATGTACGGTTAGCTGGTCTAAAAACACGAGTGCATTGTGAGGAGAAGGGGAAAACTGTTCTTATATTGGATGGATCAAACAGCAGCTCCTTTTCTAAAAACTGTACAAACAAACGTAAAAGATAAATGGCTTTTCAGGCAAATGAAGGGCTGCTGACCTTTCTTTTGGGGATGATTGGGTTCCTTATTCTTGAGAACAGCATTCAAGGGGGATTCAGGCAGAGGAGAAGAACTAAAGACAAGGACAGAGGAGAAGAGGAGGGGGACGACGTTACTGGAAGTTTAAGGGCAACACTTTTTCCACTGGTAGTGATTGTTAGTCCCTCTAATTGTGGGCGCTGTAATATTGTTGACTCATGAAAGAGCATATAGCAGGGTAAGTTAATATGGAAATGTTAGAGTCAGAGGGCCCTACAGGCAGTAGGGCAACCAAAAACAGACCACACGTAGTATTCTACTGTACTGCTGGTGTGGTCAAACAACTAAAATGAGCAACAAAAGTCATTATAAGTCTTGTTGTACCAAGGTGACTACTTTTTTCTTTGGTTTTAATGGTATATTTTTTTAGATTAAAGGGAAAATGTTGTTATAATTTGTTTTCTGCTTTTCTTTAACAAATAGGTTAATTTTAAAAAGGTATTTTTCCCCCAATTCTGTTGATTGCTTTAAATTTTGATCATGATTCTAAAGTCACTGGTAATTTGGTACAACTATACAAAAGAAAAGAACTACTGAAAACATCTTTTGGTTGTTCCATGTGCTAACTGTTTCAATACAAATGAACAAAGTATACAATAAAACAAACTATTTGTATTCATGCTTAATAATAGTCACCAGTTTCCAACATGGAAAACTTGGCTGCAGCTTCTCTTTCTATGATTTTTTTATTTCATAAATAGATTTTTTTACTCAATCCTGAAGAGTAACTGCAAAACTTACTAGAGCACTGACAAATCACTTCAACATAACTCCAGATGTACCTTGGAAACACAGAGAAGCCTTCATCGTTTTCCTCAGACCTCTGCAGGTGCGCCAGAAACATCTCCAGTAAAACCACACATGGAGTAAACAAAGAGCTGACTAAAGCCACCATCTGAGAGGCAAAAAAATCAAGTTGAAAGGCCATCGTAATGCAGCAATAATGTGGATTGATAAATTATTGGAAATACTCACAGACTTATCACACCCTAGAGAGAAGGACCATGACCCAGCTGTGGCGATGCTCAGATCAGAGTTATCTAGACAAAATTATGTTCATTGTGTGTTTTATTACATATTTATTAGAAAGGTTCAAAAGTGAATTTGAGGAAACATGAAACTCTGCAGCTCTCTGCTAACCAGAAACTGCACTTTACTCTGCCGATTGCTAAAATAAATGCCTACAGTTAGCTTTTTCAGTTTGCCAATCATCATTATAAAGCACAAGAGAAAGAAAAAGAAGGTTACTTTTTTGTTGGAATAATGGTGGAGCCTGGAAGTAAAAACAAGAGAGTAATCTCTTTGGAGGCATAGCAAAGAGCTAAAACCAAAGTGAACTTCAGCGTGGACTAAACTCATTTGAGGGAGCTAAAGGAGGCTACAAAATCATGGACTGATGGTGACCTGGCTTTGTTGCTACTGGACAAGTAACTTTTTTCACGCCTGCAGCAGCGTACCCTTGTTGACATGACAGCGGGACTTCCCATGTAAAGAAGATCCGCTCACCTGTTCAGTTCTTTAATCCATCGTCACAAACTTCTATCATCCTATCATCCTTCAGTCATCCAACATGAACCAGTTAGTTTACTCTTTTTTTTAAATAACGTAAATAGGATCTTTTAAACAGAGTGTTTTTGTTGTATGTTGATCCACTAGTTTTATTTCACTTCAGCATTTACTGTCTGTGCTTGTTATTTTGTTGTTTTTATTATTATTCTCTTTTAACTATGGCTACTTGCTGCCTTTTCGATAAACATGCTGCTTTTGTGATCCGGCATTGTTGAATACTTTATGTACTCTACAATGTTTTTATGTGTCTTTGAAGAAAGACTAATTTACAACTGGCACATGGCTACAAATGAAAACTAGCCGATGGCTAATTCTGGCATGTTTCAGCATGTCTGATGTTAACATGCGCTTTCCTGATTAATAAATAAATGATTGATTGATTGATTGATTGATGATTGATTGATTGATTGATTGATTGATTGATTGATTGATTGATTGATTGATTGATTGATTGATTGATTGATTGATTGATTGATTGTGTTCCATATTCTTTCTTTAGTTCTGCTATAACACTGCTTATATCAGATATCATGGGAGAATTTTTACCACCCAGCTTCAGCATTTTCTCCCATATGTGGGTCTGATTCAAGTTAGTAAATTTAAGTTCTTGATCAGATTTGTTCTAGTGTCATTTTTAAGGACTTTTATTTATAGATATGCTGTTACTGGTTTATGAGTAATAGAAAAGCTAATAAAAATTATACAAACAAGGGAAACTGGAAAAATGAGAATACCATGAAATAGTACATGAATTTCAGTAATTAGACCGAGCCACCATTTAAAGGCTCACAAATTCTTTGCAGGTGTTTTCTATTTGCAATTATACATTTTGTCATGTTCTTTGCCCTTTTTGTCCCCATCCCCCTCCAGGTTTCCCTCCAGGTTCCCCTCATGTATCCCCTAATCTGCTGTGCCCCTTTTGGTCCCCAGCTCCCTCCTGGTTTCCCTCATGTTTCCCCCTAGTCACTTTATACTTATTCCATCCCATTTAGTTTAGTCTCCCCAAAGATTCCCTCTCTTTTGGTTCCTGTCTCTTTAGTTCCCCAAGCTGAAGATTTTGTGTTTGTTCTGGTGTCTAGTTTCAGGTTTATTAGTTCTCTAATCTTTAGTTCTCTGTATAGTTATATTATCCAGTCAGTTTCTTCTTTTAATACAACGTGTTCCTTCCCCATTTAGTTAGTCTCTCCTGATCCCTTCAGCTCACACTCCCCACACACCTGCTACCTGTCTCCCTGATTGCTTCCCTCTGTGTATAAAACCCTGTCTTGTCTCTCAGTGAGTGTCGGTCCATTGTTGTGTGTCAGCATTGTTTTGGTCCCTCGTCCTTCTCTCTTGTTTGTGCTCAATATTGAGCTTTGGTTTTTTGGCTTCCTGAGTTTCAGTTTTCAGGACTGGCATCCTGCATCTCTCAGCGTTTTTGTGCTACTACCTTAATAAAAGGATTTAACTTTTTTTTTTTCAACCACTCCTGCTCGAGTCGTTCTGGTGTTCTGCATCTTGGGTCCTAACCTCCTCCTGCTCTCAACGTGACACGTTTAAGTTGACTGGGGTCTTACTTAATATCACAGTGACATTTGAATAGTTTAGATTGGTGTAATGTTGCCTGTTTGTAGTTTGAACTTCTCATTGGCCTAGTGGTAGTGGACACCCTGAGAGTGGTTCAAATCCCAGAAGGGTCATACCAAAGACTTGAAAAATGGGACCCAATGCCTCCCTGCTTGACACTCAGCTGTAAGAGGTTGGATTGGGGGGGTTAAAACACCAAAGAGTTCCCTGCCAGTGCTGCAGCTCCCTGCTCCCCAAGAGTATGAGTCAAATGTGGAGATGTAATTTCACCAGTGTGTGATTATGAACTATGGGACTTTAACTTTCCTTCTATTAGGTGCCCAATTATTCCAATTATTAATTTTTATAGCAAACGATTGGACATACATTTTATTATGTTCCAGTCTATTTAGTCATTAATATTTTAGTATTAAAGTCATTTATAGTAAATTAAGTAAGTTCTGTTAAGAGGGGGATTCCATTTTCTTACATATTTTTATGAAAAAAGTAACAAAATATGTATTTCTCCCAGTAATTAGTTACTTTCATAATCTACTAACTAACTCAGTTACTTTTTTGATGAAGTAATTAATAACTATAACTAATTACTTTTTTTAAGCAACATTCCCAACACTGGATATTGGTCCAATTTATTTTCTTGAACAGTCCCACTGTGAGACTGCAACTATTATTTTTTAATTATTAATCTGGCATTTTCTATGTTTCATTTTTCAAAAAGTCAGACCTTAAACTCTAAAGTTCATCGTCACATCTCAATGACAAGAACAGCTGGGGAAACCTACCTTTGAAATGCAGCACTGTTAGGAGTTGGGAGGTATCCGGGTCCACCACGTACAGACCGTCAGTGCTCCCTACACAAAACCAGCTGTTGTCTCTGCAGGGGCCCATGCACACAGAAACATATGGAAAATCTGTGTTATAGAATTTCCCTTAAAATATTTTTTTCATACCATTTTGGGAAAAGACAATGAAACCTCAAACTGAAGAAAAACATACTGAGCTGACTGAGTGGTGAGGCACCACCACTCTAAAGATCTCATTCAAGTTTCCTTATGTGGTGTCTGCTACATAAACCCTGGAAAATAGAAATTGCTGCTATGCAGAGCAGAGGGGAGCTTTGTGTGTGTGTGTGTGTGTGTGTGTGTGTGTGTGTGTGTGTGTGTGTGTGTGTGTGTGTGTGTGTGTGTGTGTGCCTTGAGCTTCATGCTGAGGTAATAAAATTGTGAACAATTACATTTTAGTGCACCGCTATTTTCATGCTGATGACCTGCTTATATACAGGATGGGACAATTGCCACCATTTAGTTTGGAATTTTAATATTTTAATGTGATAATTGTGCAGCTCAAATTAGTCCGACACAAGGGTTAAGGTTTGTGGAAAAATATTTAAATTTGGTCCTATCTGGCCTTTAAAAGTGTGAAAAGAATCATAAACAGATTCAGGATATTTTGTTGTGAATGTGCAAAAAACATATATTTCTTTGTTGGTCAGATCTAACTATAGTAAGAAATGTACAAGTAGATTTTAATAAGAATTTCAATCAGGGTTCTGAATTTCAGAACTCAAAAATTTTGTGGCAACTGATTGCCTCGTCATTTGAAAGTTCTGGTAACTTATTTGGTTTTACGATGTAGTCTTGCTAAGATTCTACAAAAGTGTCCACGTTGTGAGGTGTGAAGCCATTAACACATCAAGCTCAATGTAGTGTTACGCAAGACAACTAAAAATTACTGCTTTAATTACCCAAAAGCTAAAGGAATTTTACACTAATTCGCTCAAAGGGATTGGGTACACACTTCCTGTTTCAAAAATAAATGTTTTCACCCTCTGAAGGCAGGTGTTGCAGATTTGCAACAGTTAAAACTTACCCAACTGGTTACTCCACATAGGTATTTCATGAGCATTTTTTTAACTCAGAAGTACCCCTGAAGGACTTAGTTGTTCATCCTTTTATCAAAACTTGTATTGAGCCTGAGAGGGGTTTGCGGGGAACTAATTCTAAAGTCCATTTGTTTGCCATTTGTGTCATTATTTCCTTTTTCTTTTGTCAAAAATTTTTCTTTATGAGGTTCTTTTTAAAATACTGACTACATGATAATGACAGTATAGGAAACTTAAATCTCCTTTCTTTCCGATCGGCTCATGGGTTTCTTGAAAAACAATAAAATGAATGCAGGTCAACCTAAGGCCCTGTCCACACGTAGCCGGGGATTTGCCAAAACGTAGATATTTATTTTTCTACGTTTTGGCCTGTCATCCACACGAAAACTGAGTTTTTTCACACTAAAACGGATCTTTTTAAAAACTCCGGCCAAAGTGAAGATCTGCGTTTTCTCCGTTTTGGGTGTCTGCGTGTGGACAGACAATACCGGAGTTTTAAGGTCCGCAACGTCACTTTCCGCGACAAAAAAATGCTGACATCACGTATGCGACCTGTGTTTACACTAGCCGACAGCATGGAAGCCCTCAGAGCTGCGCTCGCTTTATCAATTGTCCAAGCGCTTTTTGCTTGTTTGTTTTTGCAAGCGGAATTACTGCTCCTTGCGGAAGACCACAGACGAAGGACGAGGTTAAGAACGGGGGAAGTACTGCCGCCTACAGGTCTGGCATGTCCTTAACAACGTATTTATCCGGGTACGTGTGGACAGAGTTTTTTTTTAAACGAGGTGGTGTGGATGCAAGTTTTTGGAGGGGTGGATATTCGTTTTTTAAAAAAACAGCCACGTGTGGACTAGGCCTAAACGAGCTTTTTTCTAATCCGCTTTGCCTTACGCCCTGGATCACACACATTTTGTACTTCAATTTAAACTAAAAGTAATGATGTGTGTTTCAATCACGCCAGTCACGTACTTTGAGATTTATCAGTTTTTAAAGATCTTAGTTAACATGACTGCAAATCAGATATCGGCGCGTCGCATATGTGATGTCACCACAGAATTTCCTCTTCCCCTAATGGTAGGCGTGAATTTGAGCTGGCCAATCAGTTGGCAGTGGGTGTGTTGGGTCAGTTCAGCCCAAAGCGGACCGCCTAGGGTAGAGGGCTGAAAAAAAACAACCGCTTGAGCACAGAAAAAAGCAGGCTACCCATATGTGAACACTTTATACCATACTTGGGCAGGGTAGAGCCGGCCCTGATGTGAAAGCAGCTTCAGGATCCCTGTTATGCTTTGTATTAACATAATATTTTACTACCACACATCAGTAAAGTTCTCCCTTGCCGAAGAGGCAAAAAAATGCATCAGACTGAGTGAAAAACATCTGTTTTCACACAAATCCACAGAAATGATTCCCTAACTAAAGGTTATAATATGACACATCCCTAGTTCTGCTCATCAGATTGCAATAAAAACAATTTTAATAATTTTACTCACGTGTTTTTCTGAGAATCGAGGTCTATAAATGAGCTGCATGAAGACATTTGGACAACAGGTTTTGAGAGCTCCACTTTATCAGCCACCAACTGTTCACAAACCCCTAGAAAAGAACCAGCCCCCCCAAAAGCAAATAAAAGATTAATGTATACTTAACCCCAAATAAAGTTTTAAAGAAAATGTTTGATCAAAATCTCAAACACAAGCTGCTGCAAGTGGGCCCCACATAGACATATATGGGTTAACTGTATGGGTGCCAACAGGGTTTTGTCCATGGTTTCCATGGTGGGCCCATAGGGGTTTGCCCACATAGATTTTAATGGGTTTTCAGAGGAAACCAGATGGTATACATGGACCCATTAAAATCTATGTGGGCAAACCTCTGTGGGGCCACCATGGAAAATGCAGAAAAATTTTGGTGGCCCCCTTTTGTTTTTCTTCTTTAACTTGAATTTATAATAATCTTTTATTTGTTTTGTGATATTTATGATCATTTTATAATTTCGTGACTTAGATTTTCTGATTTTAATAGATTTTACATTTGCTGTTTTGCTTTTAAAAGCATTTTGATTTTATTCTCTTTCTGTGACAAGTGCTATATAAATATAATGTAATTACATACTTATATATATATATATATATATATATATATATATATATATATATATATATAGAGAGAGAGAGAGAGAGAGAGAGAGAGAGAGAGAGAGAGATGATAGATAGATAGATAGATAGATAGATAGATAGATAGATAGATAGATAGATAGATAGATAGATAGATAGATAGATAGATAGATAGATAGATAGATAGATAGATAGATAGATAGATAGATAGATAGATAGATAGATAGATAGATAGATAGATAGATATGCAGTGCCACCTATGCATGCTGGCTGCCAAATAATAAAATCACCTTTGTGATGGCTCAAAGTCTTCTGGCATTCTTGATGTTTTCTTTCCATTTTCAGAAGGTCCATTTTTGTCACCAAGCGGCACTTGTGGTCATTGTCAAAAGAGAAGCACCACACCTAAAGAACAGTTTTTAAAATGTATGCAGATGTCTATTTTTGAGCTTTGGCTCTCAGTCACTAACCTGTCCATCAGCTGAGCCGGTGATAAGATGCCTGTTCTTTTCTAGAAACAGCGCACTAAGCAGAGGCGATGCTAAAATGTTGAAAAATGAGACAGTTCTGTTTGGTTTTATTTACTAAATCCACTCATTCTGTGAAATTTGGGGAAATTGTAGGAGTCATTTCCCCCCATTATTTAAAACATTAACATCTCACCTGAAAGCACAAATGACTGGTAGAGAACCGCTTCAGTTTTTAAATCCCAAACCTGGAAAGAGACCAGGTTAGGAACTGCAAACTCAGGTTCAAAGTAGTCCAAAAATCTTTGCAAACCAACATGTTAAAATGTTTTGCATCCACACCTTAAAGGTGCGATCCTCTGATGTGCTGACAAGAATATTTCTGTCCCAGGGACAGAACTCTGCCGATGTTAAAGGTCCCAGGTGGCCGGTCAATGTGCAAATGACTTTCTGCTTCTGAAATGGACAAAATAAAAGAATGAAACCTGTCCCTTTTTAGCTGATAAATGAAAAAATGGAGGGAAAAGGATGTAAAAGTAGTTGATTGTGAAGAGCATACCTTTGAGTTGAGAACATATATGACTGCACCTGAGCATGCAGCCACTCTTTCATCAGAGAAACAGAATGAGAGATGGATAACTTCACCCAGCAAAGTCCCAATAACCAGTCCTGTTGCGATTTCACCTAAACAAGTTAGTTTAAATCCCAAATGTGGAAGCATTTGTTTTGTGAAGATTTTTAAGATGAGAAAATAATCAACACACACACACACACACACACACACACACACTAAAACTTGAATATTTTACCCTCTTGTATTTTCCTCTGACAATTTTCCACATCCCAAACAATGACGTAATCCGCAGAGGCGGAGCAAAGAAGCACAGGTATGTTTCTTTTACCAAAGGTCATGGCATTTATGTCGCCATGGTGACCTGTTAACAGCAGTGGCTGTAAAGGATGCACACAACTTTCATTTGTGAGTTTTTCTTCATAATGACAGTCTATACAAAACCCAAACGAATCGCTACAACAAACCTTTTGCTGCAAGTCCGTATTATTGTAAACAAGCACTTCCTTGCTTCTTAAAGGCGCAGCGCAAAAAGAACGAGAACAGGCGAGCTGCTGGTGAGACAGAAGTCTATCACAGGTCAAAGAGAGCTTTTCGGAGATCATCTCTGGTAAATAGTAAGCTTGGTTCAATAGAAAGTCAAGGAAAATACGTTTGAAACGAACGGTAGCATTAGCTGTGACCTTTTTTTTTTTTTACGCTGACCCATGAGTACAAACGTTCGCGGTTGCTAGGACACCAATAGGATTTCCGCTAGATGTATAGATCGTCTATTTCACAAGCTGTTGCACGCTGTTAACCCCTTAACGCCGATTGTCGTAAATTCGCATCAAAACTGATCAAAACCCGCAACCGCTCCAAATGCAACCAAAATACAGAATGCACCTGAAAGAAAACCCACAAGTGAAAAAAAACCCATTTATAATTATAATAAATTCAGGTGTTTAACCATTTTAAATGCACTGCCTCGTGGTGTGATTCTTTCAAATACCGGTCATTATTATTACATTTCCTCATTTTCTTAATGTATTCACATTATAATGTCTGTAAGTGGGTTTCCTTTCCAATGTAGTCACTTTTAAACACCTGTAACACCTCGCTTCACCACAAGATGACAGTGAATCTTCACTTTAGTGGGTTTAATTTTTAATTATTATTATTATCATTATTTATTTGTTTATTTATTTATTGCATTGAATTGACTGTTTTGGACATTTTTGTGACAGATTTGTCTCTGAACATCGACATAAAATGCGTGTCTGTGTATCTGAGAACGTGAAATAATAAGGTGAAGTAACATTTCGGCACTAGGGAAAGGATAAGCGGATCGTACCGTTTGAACAAAGGGCATTCTGGGTGCTGTAGTTCTTGCTGTAGCGAATGTGACGTTCGATGCCGTAGTTCTTGCTGTAGCGGATATGACGTACGTAGTGGTTAGCTGGTAGCTGGGTGTCGTCTTCAGTCAGCTTTGCAGTAGTTGGATGAATCGGTCGACGTTGACAGTCCTTGAGATATGACAGTGCTTTTGTAGTAGAGGGCTAACTTTAGCTAAACCGTTAGGTTGAGACGTCTACAGACACATTGAACGAAAGGGGGATTTAGTGCCAAGGCGTTTTTTCTTCATCAAAGTTTTGTATTTCGTTAGCCTTTATATCTTTTTGTTAAATTACCCTGGGTTTTTTGCGTCCTCTGGTAAAGGGTGCTAATTTAACTTGAGCTAAATGGCTAGCTAGCGCTTTATCAACTTGTGAATCTCCCAACTTGTTCTCTGTGAGCTGCAACGACCTCTTTTCATCTGGGGAAGTAGCTAGCGGGGGCTTGTAGCCTGGTCATTCAGTTAGGAAGCACAATAACGTGCTTTGAGAGCTAGAATAAGTTAAAGTGCTAGTAAAGGGGGCTAGCCAGTTTAGAATATGAAAGGGGTACAGTCTGACACTTTAGGTTTTGTTCCTCAAAAAGATATTGTGTACAACAAACTTTTGCCCTACGCAAATAGGTTAGATGATGAGTCCAATGAAATTTTGAGCAAAATTAAGGGAAACCTGGGCCGAGCTGTTCAGCTGAGAGAGATATGGCCCGGTGTTCTGTTTTGGACAAGAAAACTTTCAACGTAAGTAACAAATAACATCATTTTTAACGTAATAATAACATGTTTTGCCTGTATCGTTATGATTTTTAGTCTAAACCACCTACGATGATTTTTTTTTACCTGTAGACGTGCTATTTGATCAGGCTGGTGATTTTGTTCATTGCTTGTTTTTATCGTTGAAACAAATGGTTTAGTTGAATATAATTAATTGTTGTATGGTGTGCTTTCATTATAAATATGTAGTGATTATTTCCACATTAACAGCATGTGTGTTTGGTTAGGTTACTAACAGGTTTCATAACTAGAGCAGGGGGTTGTTAAACACAGCATGACCCAGACACTCTAGTAGTTCTAGGTCATCGTCGTTTCCGCTCTCCCTTATTTTCTCTTTTATTTATTGATAGACTGATCGATACATATTATCAAATCATCACATAAGGTGACCACTTAGCTGATTAAAAACTTCATTGATTTACGAGTTTCCATTTAAAGTTGCATCACGTGATCACTGGGACCATTCATAACACGTCAAGCATGATATGTGCAGTGTCATGAACATGGCGAAGGTTATTTTTGAGCGGTTTCTGCCTTTATTCTGTTATCTGTTGGAAAACTGGGCAGTTTTTCCACATGACAACTGTTGTTATTTACTGATTACAAATTAATTATTCATTATTAGCACATTATTAGCACCTTTGTTATTTTGTATAAAGAAAAATGACATTAGAAAAGAAAGCAAAGGAACGATTCATTAAATTTTGTTTCATTTGTCTTTGTTATGTTATGTTATTTATTTATTTACTTTTAGTTCTTAGTACTGGCTCGTTGTTGTGTCCAGTGACTCACTGCCGGAGATAGAAAGTTTACAGCTGGGGTGAACTACATTGCCTGTAGCTTTGTTTTGGTGTAGCAATTAGAGCTGCAGAGATTTTTATTTCTGACTTTAAAACAGATATGTGTGCTTTTGTTTGTTATTTGTAGAGAATATGAAATTGATACTTATTTAATACTGTGAAGTGTATTTTTAAAGCAGTTTTGTTCATTTGTGTGCTTAAATCTGTTTAATATCAAGGTACATGAGACTGTACGGAAGGAAGTTCAGCAAAGAAGACCATGTGCTGTTCATCAAGCTGCTCTATGAGCTAGTGACGATCCCCGGACTGGAGATCAGCATGATGCAAGGGCTTTCTCGCCTTCTTATCAACCTTCTCAAGTAAGAGTGTGCTCCATCTGTTTTCTGTGCAAATGCATAAATAACTGTTCTGTTGTGATCTTAGTTTATAATTTGTCACCATATGATGAGCTGTATGAATGTGTTGTTTATTTTTTTTGGCGTAACAGGAAAAGAGAATTGTTGTCGAGGGAGGACCTTGAGTTGCCATGGAGACCGTTGTATGAGCTGTATGACAGAATTCTGTTTTCCAAGACGGAACATCTGGGTCTCAACTGGTTTCCCAAGTATGCCTCGGCTCCATGCTTATGCTTTAATCTCATGTGTTTATACATTTTAAAGTTTTTATTTTTTTTTTTTTCCATATTCTTATGCTGGATTACAGAGTACCAGTTATGTCTCTGTAGTCTGATATTGGGTGGCCTGTTTATTCTTTACAGTTGTGACTAAACTGATTAATGTAAGAACTGAAATGTTTTATTTTATTTTTCTCTTCTTTGTGGGAGAAGGCTTTCTGCTGCGTTTTAGCAGAACTGCATTTTCTTTCATTTAAGTCCTATTGTCTGTTGTGATAATCTGCTGATGTGTAGTAGTTTAACTAACCCAACCCTTCATACAGCTGAGGTCACTCTTAGATTATGATCTTTGGCAGTTTGAATAAAGACAAATTGTTAGACCTAATTGGGTCATTTAGAGAAGCACAGAAGAGTTGTTTTACTTTGTCCACCTTTTCAACCTTCTATGATGATCAGAATCTGCAGTGAGCTGCACGTCTAATGGGTTTTTTGTCTGATTTGGATGAATGTGCAACACGTGTGGAAAGCTCACAAGAAGGTCTTAGCAAGCAGTGCGTGGTGCTCTTTTATGGTGCTATGGGAACATTGTATGTTTTATCAGAAACGGGCATAAAGGCAAACTGCTTTGGTTTATTTGCACAAAACTACACCCTGATAACATAGATGTGAAAAACATTGGTGCACAGCATGTTTATTTGTGCGTGATTGGCTTTTTGTTGTGTGCTGAAAGTGTTCTTTATGCCTTTGTCTCTTTCTACATTCAGTTCTCCACGGCCTCGTTCTTCTAAACTCATAATGTTAAAATTGATTCAGAGGTGGTAAGGACAATGCTTCTTTGTGTTTTATTTAGAAATTCAAAGCTGAATACACTTGGATGCTGTTTATTTGTATATATTGCATGAAAAAAAGAAAACTGGACACCCCATATTTAGATTGTAACAGAAAATATTTAAAAAACTTCATCAGTGTTAACATTTCACTCATATTGGAGACTGTCGCACTGCAGCTAACACATCTTTTAAAATTTTCTATCCTCCAAAGAAACAATCAAATTATGTAATCTGTGTTTTCTAGCATAATTCTCTCACGTGTGTCATGCTTTATTCCCAAGTTTTCAAACCAGATTATGGGGCACCAGTACTGCTACAAAATAATAATACCTGCTTTTACAACACATTGGCTACCTTGCAGTAAAGGTTGCCATCCCTGCATTACTAAACATATTTTTTTGTGGCCCATGTTCCTGTAAAGTTATCCCCCCTGCCCGCTGAAACGCCGTACGTCAGAAAGCAACATTCACTAGAACTCACACACTACTCTTTAAACTGGACGTGCATGTGTTTGAACACCTGCTATTGGCTGTGTGTTGCTGGCCTGCAGTGGTAAACACTGAGCTGTAAACATGCATTTAGGTAGAGTCGCCTATGATTCAGTAGGTGGGTCTTAATGGTAACGTGGGAATAAGTCGGAGTTTCTCCAAGACACTCATGTCTTTACTTTCAGATGAAGTGTGATAGAGGGATTAGAAGCAGTGGTTAAAACCGTTTCAGTACCAAAACTCTGCATCTGCCGTTTGTGAAGACATTTGTTGGATGTGTGTGATCCATAAACGTTCTTTTTTATGTGAAACCACTTGCAGAGTAAGATTATGTCATCCAAAAACATGTCTGTGTATAGTTGACTGTTGGTACAATGTCATTACAAGGTAATCAATTTGCCACGGTGTATTTTTATTTTTATACGGAGCTAAAGTTGTATGTGTTAAGAGACAAATGCATGCAACAAAGCCAAATAGCCCTTGTGTGAGGATGTTTGTTTTACTAACATTGGTGTTTCCCCAGAAGGTTGCTGAGAGTTTCCCTTTTCTCTGTCACAGCTCAGTGGAAAGTGTGCTGAAAACACTTGTGAAAAACTGCAGACCGTGAGTACTTTTTCTAATCCCTCATCTTGTGTTGTCTCATCATTTACGCTCTTCTGTGTTTTGGTTCAAAGTAAAAATCAGTGAAAACTTATTTTGTCAATCTTTTGCTAACATTTCTTTAGCTAATTTGGCAGTAAGGGCTCTTAAAATGAGACGCGGCTGAAACGCCTTAACAGCAGAAAACTTTGCTGTCACCAGCAGGCCTCAGTAATCGTGTTCTCCAGAGTTGTGTGCATCTTAGGCAAGCACCAGGACTCCTACTTGAGTTTGCTCTTACAGTAGTTGGATAATCCTATTACTTCATCTAATTCTGTCTACTGCTGGAGTTTCCTGTACCTCTGAGTAGAGAGAGTGATTTGCTGTGAGCTGCTTAGACACCGCGTATCAGCAGTAAGGAAGGGCAAAAGGTGCACTGGGACATTTTTAAGTCCTTGACTAAATGTGGTAGCAATGAACAGGTCTTTAGAAGAAAGGATGTGCTTTAGTCAACCATGTTACGAAGCATAAAACCACCCCCCAGTGGACTCAAATGAGCCAAACGATTTAAACTATTGCCTAAAAATCTGCTAGATCTGATGCTTCCTGGTTGTGGGCATTTGCTCCACTGCTGAAACACCAGTAGTTTCTACTTCCTTTGGACACTGGTGCCCTGTTTGCTATGTGGGAGGAATGTGAGCCCAACCAGATCGGAAACATAGCGGGAAGTTGGTGGCATGCGAACCATAACCAAAGAATCTCCATTTCCAGTTCCATTTTCTTTGTTCTTATTAAAAACAAAACCTGCCACCAAGGTTCTTGATCTGATAGGTGGTGAAAGCGGTTTTAGATCCATCTGTTTATCAGATTAAGTGCTGTGTTTAATAAGTCATTTGCTTGTCTTTGTTTGTTCAGGTACTTCTCAGAGACTGCTACTCAGGAGATGCTGGATGAGTGGAGGCCACTCCTCTGTCCCTTTGATGTCACTATGCAAAGAGCAATCAGCTACTTTGAGCTTTTCTTACCTACAACTCTGCATCCTGAGCTTCATCACAAGGGGTTTCAGTAAGAAACGTCTCCTATATACAGAAGGCATCTATTATAGAGCTCCTATGTGACGCCATTTCCTTTTGTTAGCTCAAAGGTTCAAACATTGATCTCCATCTGAAGGGAAACGAGGGGAATGAATGTCCTCTGGAATTTTGTTAGCCCTTTGCGAGGGTACAGACTCCTAATATAGACGTCATAGCCGTGCTGGCAGGAATAACAGAATAAGTGTCTGTATAAATATGCAGGGGGGTGTACCCAGCATTGCGCCATGGAGACGAGCTCCATAAAAGGCAGCCATGGCCTTGTCCTAGTTTTCTGTTTTCGTGACCAGTTGTAATAAATAAAAAGATGAATCAGTTCTCATTATTGAAGGGTGTGTGACAGCTGTTTGTTTCATTTGGCAGGTTGTGGTTTGATGAGCTGATCAGCTTGTGGGTGTCTGTTCAAAATTTCCCAAGTTGGGAAGTTGTGAGTAGATGGAGTTAAAAAGATGAAAGTACATCCCAGAATTTCAGTTTTTCCATTTGTAACGTGTTGTTTTTTTCTTTTATTTTACAGCACCTGGTGAATCTCTTTGCTCGCTTGGCAAACGACAACATTGGCTACATCGACTGGGACCCTTACATTCCTAAGGTGTGTTGTTTGGGTTTTCTGCCACCTATTGTGCAACAGAGGACTTGTTTGTTCTGTAGCTTGTAGCTCATGAGCCCTCGGATCGTGTTTCATCACTTTTGCAGCGCGTGTGAGAAACAACCTATCCAGTGTCTCTTTTGACCTCACTCCCCTCAGAGGGGAAGTAACTCTTATCACACATCTGTTCCCGCTGAGTGAAGCTACCGTTTGTCACTGACTGAAAATACCTGACCAGTTGCGTCCATTTGTGACATGATGTTGATCGATTTTGCTGTGAATGAGTTCACATCCAAAAATTAATTAACAGTCTTTTTTTTCTTCCTCACTTTAGATTTTCACAAGAATTCTGAGGAGTTTGAACCTTCCTGTGGGAACCAGTCAAATGATAGTACCACGCTACGTTACCATTGCCTACGACATTAACCACGTGGTGGTTTGGGTGTCGTCTCTACTGGTCAGATCATTAAATAACGTTAAATTCAGTGTGTTTACCGCATGATCGTTATTGTTCACTGATCAACATCGTGCCAAATTCAGGGTGGACCCAGCAAGCAGGCTCAAGCTCAGCTCAGTGGCCTCTTTAACAGCATCACATCCTTCTTCCATCCGTCAAACCACGGCCGCTGGCTGGTGAGTCACTCGTTGTTCATCGGCTGTCGTGCTAAAAACAAAACTTTTGCTAATGTTGCAAATCTTCAAATGTATGGGAACATTTGCATAATTGAAAGCCAGGAATAGTTGGATGTTCTTTAAAGTGGAAAGTCAGAGGCAAAAATCTGATGACTAGATCTCAAAAGACGATTGCCATTATGTTACAGAAAAGGGACGATTGTGTTTTGCTGAATTCGTTTTTGTATTATTATTTATTTTTTGCCTTTGCTGTGTAATTAGTCCCTGTACACACGTAGCCAGGTATCCCGCTAAACTAAGATATTCTTCTGCGGTTTGGCCCGTCATCCACATGAAAGTGAACATCATAAAAAAGGATTTTTTTCAAAAGCTCTTACCAAAGTGGAGATTTGTGAATCTTCCATTGTCAGCATGTGTTTGTGGACGTAAGCAGCCGGGGTTTTAGGATTGGTTAAACTGCTCTGACGTGTGTTTACACCCTGCTCAGTTATTGCTCTGTAGACCACAAGCAAAAGACCGAGTTAAGGACCACCCCTTACCGGCGGTAGTTATTCCACGTCCAAGGAATGTTTCACAGCAAAGACGCCGACTATTTTGGCAACCACTGCCACCCACAGGCTTGGCATGCCAATTAATGTACTCCCAATCCACTGGATTATTAGCTGAAAACAAGGTGATGTGAACTCAACGTTTTTTTTATTTATTTTTTACTTTATATGATAACTTATTTTACAAAAACCTGGCTAAGTGTGCGCTCGGCGTAATCGCACCGCTTCTGGCTTTACGTCTGAATCCGACATTACAGTGACACAGCACGAAAGAGTCACCGTGACGAAAGACGATGTGCGTGTCATCATTCTAGGAAGTCTCCTGCATCTTGTTGGTTGTCTAAGTTTACACCGATGGCTCGTTCTAAAATAACAGTTGGACATGTGAGTGAGATGGCTGCTGAGCTATTAAAGGTCACTGGCACCCTGGTCACATGCCTCTCTGCTTTCAGAGGTGGCTGGACTAGATCTGAAGCTACATGGGCATCGTTGCCTTTTCTTTTAACACAGACACCTTGTTTATTACTGGTACTTTTGCCAGGAAGGTGAGTCTCTGTGCTGTTGCTTGGAAACACGGGAAACTAAGCCAATTATTTGCTGTTTTATTACATTAAAAAAGATCAGTCAACAGACAAATATAAAATAATATTAAACAAAGCTGGAGCCTGAGGACAGTGTATCCAAAATAGTACAAGTACAACACCTGAAGTGTAGTTTGAAAAAACTAAAAAATCAATAAATAAAAAACATTCCTTAGTGATTCAAAGAGCTTACAGATCACATGGCTAGATCAGTTTCATGCAGCACTTAAAGTATATTTGACTCATTTTACTTAACATCTTTTAGCTTTCACCAGCACATCAATATCAGAAGTCACATCCTGAGTGGCGGCCAACTTCAGGATGTGATTCAAGTTCTTGTGTGAGCCTTGGGCGCAGCTTTGTTTTATTTATACTCATTACAGAGGAAACTTGCTCACAAAGATACGTTTATTTTCACTCTACATTGTAAAGTATGAAAATAAAGTTTACACAGCCATCCCGTGGGCCGGATTTAACACATTTGCGGGCCGGATCCGGCCCGTGGGCCGCATATTTGACACCCCTGCTTTAGATAGAGTAACTCCCATTTGATTCAAATTTTAAACTTGCCCTTTTCATAAAAATAACGTTTCCTATATTTGCTCTGAATCTTAAACTGTTTTCACATCGGATTGCTTTTTTTTTGTTTTCTTATGTTATTTGTGTCTCTAGATGCTCCATACATCCTCTGCCTCTCCGTTTGTACACGAAAACATACTCGTCCACCTCTGTCTCCCCTTTTGTCACGCATCTGTCTTTCTTTCCACTTGTCCTCATGTCCAGATGAAACTGATGAAGCTGCTTCAGCGTCTCCCTGCCAGCGTGGTGCGGCGGCTGCACCGAGAGCGCTACAGAAAGCCCTCGTGGCTCACACCGATTCCAGACAGTCACAAACTCACGGAGGAGGATATCACAGACTTTGTGCTGAGTATGATGCAGCCAGTTCTGCTCGCCATGTTCAGCAAGACTGGGAGTCTCGATGCAGCTCAGGCTCTGCAAAACCTAGCTCTGATGCGTCCCGAGCTGGTCATCCCCCCTGTTCTTGAGAAGTAAGTTTGTTCTCTACCTTCAGTTTGCAGATTTTGGTTCCAGGTTTTAACTGGTGAGAGGTGTTTAACCCTCTGTTCTTACGTTTACAGCATAAATCTAAGGCTTAAAATCACTTGACAATAACAAAACGTTGATTGTTTTCCCGTATCGTAGGACGTATCCTGCTCTGGAGACCCTAACCGAGCCCCACCAGCTAACAGCCACTTTAAGCTGCATGATTGGCGTAGCACGAAGCCTGGTGTCAGGCGGGTCGCGCTTCCCTGAGGGGCCCACTCACATGCTGCCCCTGCTCATGAGGGCTCTCCCTGGCGTGGACCCAAATGACTTCAGCAAGTGCATGGTGCGCTTCACTGTTGTTCATTCGACCTTTCCGCTGAACTCTTGTGTTGCTCTGACGATTTTCTTTTTGTGCTGGGCAAAAATCTGAAATTACACCTAAAATCTTTTCTTACAGATCACATTCCAGTTCATCGCTACGTTTGTGACTCTTGTGCCTTTGGTGGACTGTTCGTCTGCCCTACATGAACGAACGGATTTGACGGAGGTCAGCTGCAACAACATATCCACCCTCTCTTATAATTAAATCCGACGGTGTACGATCATTGCAAAATGCCTTCTTATATTTTTGATTACCTGTCAGGTTGAAAGGGAGATGTGCTCTGCCTCAGCTGAGTTTGAGGACTTTGTGCTTCAGTTCATGGACAGGTATGATGTCACTACTCACACACAGCTGCACACACTGCCCTCTTTACAAATCTCACCAATCCTACAGATGTTTCAGGTGTTTTTGGATCTTGTCCCGCCTCCTGCACACCCACTTTCTGTCATAAATGGTGAACCCTAAGCAAGTTATAGATATCCTGCATGTACGTGAGCTGACTGATTAGTGGTATGTAATGGGTGACCAAGAGGCCTGAGACTGAAATCGATGTGCTTGTGGGCGACATAAGGCATGTTTCCACTATCGGAACCTTCCGGCATGCGTGTGCCTCCACTTTACCAGGCAGGCTGAACGGACCGTTTTCAGGGTCATTTTGGAGAACGTTTGGTTAACTCACGCTGATTGGATGTAACTCGGTAGGAAATGACATCAGCAGACGTCCAAAACAACCAGCATTAGTCAAATTAGAAGAGTTGCAGAAGCAAAAGAAAAGAAAAACAAATTGCGCTGCTTTAAAATGTCAAATTACTCGTGACAAAAATAGCATGAAGTGATCAGTGAACAGTGCAAGGTAACCTGTGTGCTCTACCAAAACACAACTCATGGTGGTGTTGCTGGACTTTCTGCTCAGTTTCATGGCTTTTTTTCAGACTCTGAACCAGAAAATAGCTGCAGGGAGTGAAGCAGCAGGCAGAAAACTGGAGCAACCAGTGACTCCGCCCCCTAGCCAATGAGCGGCCACAGTCGCAATGCTGGCCCCGCTCAGCCTTGCCAGGAACCTCAACAGGGAAGGGACTAAAAACTGGGCAAAGATAGCAGGAAAATACCAAACTGAGCTCTTGGAAAATGTGGTCGGGCTGAGCTGCACCGATCCGAGTTACTCTTGAGAATTGCCCTTCAAAAACTACCCATAGAGCGCTGTAAAAAACGGAGCTTCTTCTGGTCACTGAACGACACATTTTACATCATGCAGCTGTTCTCGTCTTTTGAATGGATGAAATGACGCTGTGGTTTGAAAGAATCAAACTTATATTGTTATCGCTGTTGCTGTTGACACTTTTTGGCGCTGATCAGTGATGTCACTCGCTGCGGGAGCAGTCGTGAGATCTCGTAGGCGTGGCACTGTGCTGCGCCACGCCTGAGCCTATGCAGGGGAAACGCTGTCATATCAAACAAATGCCTGCCTACCTGTTGGCTAATTCTCCCTTTTTTCTTTAAATCACAAAGTTTGCATCAGAAGAGACTTGTGCAACCTTCAGACCGTGTTTGTGCACAAGCACGCATTATGAATGAGGTCCCTGGTTTCCTTGAGTGAATTTAGACATAAAAGTGTTTAAATTGATTGAATTTTAAAGCAACAGGTCTTTCTCCTTTCGGTGATACCTGAACTTTTGTTTTCTGTTTTTGTACAGATGCTTTGCCCTGATAGACAGCAGTACTCTAGAACAAACCCGAGAGGAGACGCAAACGGAGAAAATGACTCAGGTGGAGAGTCTGGTAGAGCTCGGCCTTTCCTCCACCTTTAGCACCATCCTCACCCAGTGCTCCTTGGATATTTTTAAGGTTGTGTCTCATTTTAAAAATGTTCTTATCATGTTTGTAAACAGATGTGTGAACACCCAGACACCTGTGTGACATCTTTGCATTTCTGTGTTTGCACAAGATTATGTACTTTTATTACCCAATGTTATTCATGTTACTATGATGTGACTGTAGGTGGCTCTGGAAAAGGTGTTCAACTTTGCGACAACCAACATCTTTGAGACGCGTGTAGCTGGACGAATGGTGGCTGACATGTGTCGAGCTGCTGCCAAGGTGAGTCTTCCTAACTCCCACTTGTTTTGTGGACTGAGAAGCTCTTTTAGGTTTTTAACTTGCTGCTCTCTTCTTCTGTTTCCAGTGTCACCCTGCAGAGTGTCTCAAGATGTTCGTGCCGCATTGCTGCAGTGCTATAAACCAAATAGCTGTCCGTAAGTTATCGAAACGCATGAGAGGAGGTTTCCAAACGTGACATACTTCGTCTCGAGGCTGTCATTTGTCTGATACAGTTTTTTTCTTATGGACAGACGAGGAAGTGTTGAACGAGGAAGAGCTTGATAAAGAGCTTTTATGGAACCTACAGCTCCTCTCTGAGGTGACCTAACGCAGCTTCCTGTATCCGCCTGTTCTTCTTAGCTGAAGTTCATCTTTATACCAGGATGTTTGATGTGACTTCAGGTAACTCGGGTGGACGGTGACAAGCTCCTGCCGTATCATTCTGGCCTGGTCCAAATTCTGCAGTTAACTCTCCATCTCAAGTGTAAACAGGGCTATATTCTAGCCTGCAACCTACTGCACCACATCCTCCGCTCCACTGCCCTGATCTACCCCACGGAGTACTGCAGTGTGCCAGGAGGCTTCCTTCAGCCAGTCAGCGACTACCTTCCTATCAAGGTATTTATACTGATCCCTGGGGTGTTTGATAGGAAACTTGAAACGACATTGTCACCATCCATCAGCAGGATACGGTGTCTTAAAGGTAAAATAAGTAGGAAACAATCACAAAACATTCAAATGTCTCAATCGTGTTGGAAGGAAGGTTATATGTGAAGCAGATTTTCTTCTCCGCCAGCTGGGGGGTTGTCAGCTTTTCTCCTTAGAAAAGTTGAAGAGGGACATGTATAATCGACGAGTCTGCAAGGTTGCCAAGTCTTCAGCACTAACACTGCGCTGGCATTCGTAACTCGACACCGGACGGCAAAGATCAGAGTATATTTGTGACCAGAATGTTAGTAGCAGGAGCGACCCAGAAGTTATTTCTTATAACCCTAAGAAGCCACGACATCTTTTGTTTTACTCTAATATTGGGTAAAAAAGGCTAGAGGCCAACGTTGAGCTAACAATGCTAACAGTGAATTAGAAGAAAATAGTCGGTTCTAGAAAAATCTCAAGTTTTCAAGCTCCAAAAAGTCCATATTACAGTGAAATCATGCTGTGTTGAGTCGTCTTCACTCATCTAGAGTCTTCAGGTGCTGATCCATAACTGGCAACAGAAGGCGTTGATGCATGGCTGTAGTACCCAAATGTGACCACAAGAAGTGCACTTATTTACATTTTACTTTATGTTCCTGTAAACAGTGAAGCATTTGACACTCGGAGGCACTTGGGCATTTCTTTGGCTGTGATTTGCAGGACTGGGGTCGGCCGGGGGACCTGTGGAACCTGGACATCCAGTGGCACGTTCCCAGTGTCGAGGAGATCTCCTTGGCTTTTTATCTACTGGACCTGATCCTCCAGCCTGAACTTCAACGCCTTCAGAGATTTGCAAAAGGAGAAGAAGACATGAGCAGGTAATGAACTCTTGTGTTTCTGTTTTTATGTTTTATATCTTCAGCTGATATTTTTTTATTATTATATATATCTTTAGAGACGATGTCCTACAAAGCCTCACCATCGTTCAGCATTGTCTTCTGGGAGCAGGAAGTTTGATGCCTCCACTGAAAGGAGAACCCGTACCTGAACTGTGAGCTGTTCCATTCAGAAAACAAACTTTTGTTTTGTAGAAAACGTTTGGATTAAAGGCCATCGATTCTGATTTTTGTCACAGGGTCAAGAGCATGGTGAATCTGGATGAGACCACACTCTTTACAGGAATGGAGTACGGTACGTGACTCAGATATGTAACAGTAGCAAAAAAAAAGAGGGGAGAGGAAGACGATGGAGTAGGACGCGAGTCTGGGAGCTCCTGCCGACTTCGATTAAATTGATATTCCTTTGCGCTTTTTTGACCATATTTCTTGTCCTAATTCTGATTTTTGAATTATTTTGTTGGGACGTTTTAATCGGCTCGGCATAAAATGGCAGCAAAAAATGTAAAAACCCGCAATGCTACTCAAACACAACTGAAGCTTGGTTTGCAAACCGCGGCCACACCCTCGAGTGAGCCGCCGTCTCCGGCAAAGTTTCCCTTGGGCCAAGCTAATCCTGATATCGAGGCTCTCAAGGTCGAGTTGCTTGCTTCGTTGAGGAATGATATTGCTGACATTTTTAAAAAAGAACTTCAGGACACTCTGGGTGATGCTTTGTCCACCATTAAGTTCGACCTGCAGGCTGTGAAGACGCAGCTGGCGATCGATAAAGCTGCCAATGACTCTACCATGTCCGAGCTAAAAGGTACGGTCAAGGAGATGGAGCATGCACTGACTGTTTGCTCTGATGATGTTGCTGAGATGAAAACTACTATCAAGAGCCTCACTGCTCATGTAGCCAAGCTGGAAAACAAGTGTGAAGACTTGGAGTCCAGGTCGCGGCGCAACAATGTTAGGATATTAGGAGTACCAGAGGGCCCTGACACGTCCACCACTGCTGCCGTAGCCTCCTTGCTAAAAGAAGCATTCGACCTGGGGAAGGAGCCGCTTTTGGATCGTTCACACAGGACCCTCCAGCCTACACCTAAACCTGGCGACCGACCACGAGCTATTATATGCAGGTTTCATTACCACACTGATTGTGTTGACATTTTACGACGTGCTAGAGAACGCCGACAGATTAAAGTTGGAGACCGAACCATCTCAATCTTCCCCGACTACACCGTCAAGGTGGCACGGGCTCGTGCTGCATTCAACACGGTCAGGCAACAACTCCGTGGCATTGAAGGTGTCCGGTACGGCCTGCTTCATCCAGGACGACTCCGCATCACATACAAGGGTGTTGAGAGGGACTTTGTCTCAGCAGAAGAGGCAAGTGATTATGTTAAAACTTTGATCTCTGGGTGAGCCTGAATAGCCTCTTAGTTTGATGCTGTAATGTAACTAAGTGCTTATGCTCTCCTTAGGTTTAACGCCACCTGTGCATTGTTTTCTTAGACCGCTGTGCCAGTTATTATACTGTTGGTGTGCTGGTTCCTTTTATTTTCATTGTTAACTAATGAGACTGAATTATATGATATACTCTAGAGAGTTCAAAGGACTAGGTGGTATGTTGTTAAGCGCACACTGTTATACTGTAGAGAAGTTGGCGAGAGGTTGTGGTTCTTTTTTTTCTTTTCTCTCTCTTGTTCCCTCTCTCGCTTTTATCTTGTATTTAGACGCCAGTTAGTCCAATCACTTCTGTGAACCATTGTTTTTGCTACTTTGGGGTACACTGCTGTCTCCTTTGTTTTGTTTTGTGGAGACTTGGGGTGTGTTGGGGGGGGGGGGGTTGGGGGTGTGTTGGGGTTGGGGGGGTTGGGGGTGTGTTGGGGGGTGGGGGGCTGTCCCACTTGGCTCTTCATGGCCACCTGCATCTTGGTTTTGTCTTTTTCTTTCTCCTTTTTATGAATGGTTAATGGTAATATAGACCCCAGCATTGCTGGGTCAGGTATGCCTCTTAGGTTTATTAGTTGGAATATCAGAGGTATGGGTAACCCTGTTAAGAGATCTAAGGTTTTCACTCACTTGAAACGTCTGAATTCTGACATAGCCTTTTTACAGGAGACTCATCTCCGTATTAAGGATCAACATAGGTTATATTGTCCTTGGGTAGGTCAGGTTTTCACTCAAATTTCAATTCAAAGGCTAGAGGAGTGGCCATTCTCATCAATAAGAAAGTTAAATTCTCTTCGACCAATGTTATCGCTGATGGGAACGGTAGATACATAATTGTTGCTGGCACCCTAATGCAGAAAAAGGTTTTGTTGGTAAACGTATATGCCCCGAATTTTGATGATGCTGAATTCGCTAATAGATTACTAAGTAACATCCCCTTTCTGAATACACATTTGCTTATTTTTGGTGGTGATCTGAATTGTGTTTTTGTTCCAAGCTTGGATCGTTCTGGTCCTCGTAATTTGACTCCATCATCTATGTCTAAAACATTTTCAGATTTTATGATACAGAATGACCTTGTTGATCCATGGAGACTTCGCAACCCTACAATCAAAAATTTTTCGTTTTTCTCCCAGGTCCACCAATCTTATTCCAGGATTGATTATTTTTTCATCGATAGAACTCTCAATTCATGTGTTACTAACTCCGACTATTCTGGTATTGTAATATCTGATCACTCTCCTCTGCTATTAGATGTTCAACTCTCTACATATAAACGTAGTCCTCCTCTTTGGAGATTTAATTCTCTCCTTTTGGCTGATAAAGAATGTTGTGAATTTATTTCAAGCTCTATTGACGAGTTCTTGTTGTTTAATCGGGATGATTCTGTTTCATATTCTCTGCTGTGGGAGACTCTTAAATGCTATTTGAGAGGTCAAATTATTTCTTATTCTGTACGTACTAATAAAAAGATTAATGCCAGGCTTAAAGAACTTACGGTGGCAATTAGTAACTTTGATCAAATTTATGCACTGAATCCTTCTCCAGAATTACTCAAGCAGCGCCTTGATTTGCAAGCCGAATTTGATCTTATGTCAACCAAAGAGGCTGAGCACTTATTACTACGCAGTCGTGGCTCATATTATGAATACGGTGACAAGGCTAATCGCTTGTTGGCGCATCAGTTACGACGTCAGGCCTCTTCACGTGTGATACCTGGTATTAAAAACTCTTATGATAATATTACTACAGATCCTTTGGAAATTAATTCTGCCTTTAAAGCATTTTACTCTTTGTTGTACAAGTCAGAATTTCCCACGGATAAAGCTAAAATGAATGAATTTCTTCAGTCTCTTTCAAACCCGGTTATCGGTACTCATAAGGCCGGGCAACTGGACTCCCCACTATCTGCTGATGAAGTATTAAAAGCTATTACAGCTATGCAGTCTAATAAAGCCCCAGGCCCGGATGGGTTTCCTATTGAATTTTATAAAACATTTATTGGTAAACTGGCACCTTTGCTTTTGTCTGTGTTTAACGAGTCCTTGGAATCAGGTTCATTACCTCCTACTTTCACGCAGGCCACCATAGCGCTCCTTCTTAAAAATGACAAGGACCCAACTTCCTGTAATTCTTACAGGCCATTATCTCTGCTTAATGCCGATGCAAAGGTATTGGCTAAAGTAATTGCGTCTCGCCTTGAGGATGTGCTTCCTCAAATTATCTCCGAAGAGCAGAATGGCTTTATAAAGGGACGGCAATTATTTTTTAATACCCGTACACTCTTTAACGTTATTTACTCAAAGCATCTATCTCAACTTCCTGAACTTGTGATTTCTTTAGATGCTGAAAAGGCTTTCGATAGGGTGGAGTGGGAATACTTGTTTGCAGTTTTGAAGAAATTTGGTTTTGGTGATAAATTCACTTCTTGGATTCAGCTTCTTTATTCATCCCCTAAAGCCAGTGTTCATACTAATGATGTTTATTCTGATTATTTTGCGCTGGGTCGTGGTTGTCGTCAAGGTTGCCCTTTGTCACCTTTACTCTTTGCCATTGCCATCGAGCCGCTGTCCATTACATTAAGATCTTCTTCTGTATTCAAGGGAATCCCCCGTAATGGAATTACACATAAAGTATCATTGTATGCGGATGACTTGTTATTATATATGACTGACCCTGCTCGCTCCATTCCTGCTGTTTTAAGTATTCTGGAGAACTTCAGCTCGTTTTCAGGTTATAAATTAAATTTAGGGAAAAGTGAGTGTTTTCCGGTTAATACGGCAGCACGTCAACTCCAACAGTCCGATCTACCCTTTCGTCTTAGTCCCTCTGGGTTTAAGTACTTAGGGGTTAACGTGACTCGCTCTCTATCTGGCCTTAAATCAGCAAATTTGTCTCCTCTTTTATCTAGGATCACATTTGATATTCAAAGATGGGGTAATCTCCCGCTTTCTTTAATCGGTAAGATTAATGTCGTTAAAATGAACATCCTACCAAAATTTTTATTTTTATTTCACTCAATTCCCTTATTTTTGCCTAAACATTTCTTTGCTTCACTGGACAAGATTATTGGTTCTTTTATTTGGGGAGGGAAGCCGCCTAGGGTTTCTAAAACGTTGCTGCAGCAATGCAGATTTAGTGGAGGACTTGCATTACCTAATTTTCTAGCTTATTACTGGGCCGCTCACATTCAAAAACTCTGCTACTGGCTAAAATCTTCTGGTTCCTCGTGGTGTAAATTGGAGCAAATATCATGTAAGGGCTCCTCTTTACCAGCTTTGCTCTATTCCTCTTTACCCGTAAAACCCTCTTTGTATACTGATAATCCGGTGGTTCTTAACACACTCAAAATCTGGTTTCAGTTTAGACGACACAATAATTTTGTAATGCCATCCTCTTCGGGTCCTCTAACCAACAATCATTTGTTTCCCCCTTCACTTTTGGACACGACATTCTCAGTGTGGTGTGACAAGGGTATAGGACAGTTTAAACATTTATATGTGGATGGTGTGTTCGATAGTTTTCCCAATTTGTCTTCTCGTTATAATCTCCCTATTACCCATTTGTTTCGCTATTTTCAAATTCGAAATTTTGTTGCCAAGTGTTTCCCGAATTTCCCCTTTTTACCTCCAGAACAGCGGTGGGAAACTATGTTAAATTTTATTCCTCATCACAGAGGAACCATTTCGAAACTTTATGATGCTATTCTGTCTCTTAGTAACCACTCTAAGGTTAAGCTTAGGGATATATGGGAAGGAGAACTAGGAATTGGAATACATGAGGAGTCTTGGGAACAGGCTATAGCAAGGGTACGATCTTCCACCTCCTGCGCTCGTCTTGGACTTATCCAATTTAAGGTCATTCATAGGGTGCATTTCTCTAAGTCTAGACTTTCTGAACTGTATCCGTAAGTGGAAAATAAATGTGATAAATGCCAGGGTTCTCCTTGTCACCTTAGCCACATGTTTTTTTTTGTGTCCTGAGTTACAACGTTTCTGGACAGGGTATTTTGCTATTATGTCAACTGTTCTTGGGGTAACTCTTCATCCTTGTCCTCTGATTGCGGTATTCGGGATTCCTGACCGCTCACTTATACTGGACTCCACACAAAAGGATATCATTGCCTTCACATCCTTATTAGCGAGACGTTTGATATTGTTACATTGGAAGTCTGCTAAGTGTCCTACTGTTTCCCAGTGGCTTAAAGATGTCATGTTTTTTTTTAAAACTTGAAAAAATTAAATATACGCTGAGAGGGTGCACGGCCAGTTTTTTTCATAAGTGGCAACCCTTTATCTCTTATTTTACTAGTTTAGAGGTATTACCTGTTTAATTGTACTTCTGTTATTGTTATATTCCGGTAATATGTTTGACGGTTGTGTTGATCTGCGTGGGACGGGGGGGGGGGGGGGGGGGGGGGGCTTTTTTTTTTTTTTTGGTATGGTTTTTTTGTCTAATTGTCTTGTCCCCCCCCCCTTTTTTTTGTTTTTTGTTGTTGTTCTGTCTGATTGTTGTTATTTACCTAGAAAAAATGAAGAATGGTTAATTGTATTTTGGTAATTGCAAGTACTGTTGTTTTCTTCTTTCAATAAAAATATAATAAAAAAAAAAAAAGATATGTAACAGTAGAAATTAACTAAAGTGTTTATGGATTTATCACCTCAACCCTATGAAATCATCTCTCACTACAGATCAGACCAGAGAGAACTACAGAGACGCCATCTGTAGAGTGATGAGGCAACTGCTGCGTATGTGTTCACCCACTTGGAAATGGTCGTTTCCTATCACTTGATCATAAATATAAAAACTCTTGGTGTCATTGTTTTGCAGATTACATTTTGGAGAACTCGGAAGACGACACAAAGTCCCTGTTCTCCATCATCAAGGTGAGCAGGCAGGAGGAATCAGAATGTAAAGGTTAACCATTCTCAGGGTGTCCGAATGTCTCAGTGGAGCGCTGACTCGTGATTCGTGTGATTCTTTTCAGATTATCAGTGACCTTTTGCACTTTAAAGGTTCTCACAAGAATGAGTTTGACTCCCGTTGGAAAAGCTTCAACCTTGTTAAAAAGTCAATGGAAAACAGAGTAAGATTTTGATTCAGATTAGGACTCTTTGCTTAATTTTACATATTTGCACCAAGCTTGAAGAGAATCAAGCCTTGTTTTTATATCTGCAGCTTCATGGCAGAAAGCAGCACATCAGAGCTCTTCTCATCGACAGAGTCATGCTCCAGCATGAGGCAAGTCCTAGATAAGAGACATTTCTTCATGCACGACTTGACCAAGCAGTCAGATTTCTTTGATTAAAAAGGCAATTATGTATTTTTGTCATTCGTCAGCTGAGGAAACTGACTTTGGAAGGATGTCAGTACAGGAGCGTTCACCAGGAACTGATGGGAGATCTGCTGAGGCTCTCCACTAGCACATACAGCCAAGTGAGTTCCAAGCACTTTAAACAAAAGGTTTGAAGTTATCTACTGCTCGCTCGGTCCGTCCATCCATTTTCGGCCACTTATCCGGGGTTGGGTTGCGTGGCGACAGCCTAAGCAGGGAGGCTCAGACTTCCCTTTGCCCAGCCACTTGGGTCATCTCTGGGGGAATCCCAAGGTGTTCCCTGGCCAGCCATCAGACAAAGCCTCTCCAGCGTGTCCTGGGTCTTCCTTTGGGTCTCCTCCCGGTCGGACTTGCTCGGATACCTCATCAGGGAGGCGTCCAGGAAGCATCTTGACCAGATGCCCGAGCCACCTCAACTGGCTCCTCTTGATGTGGAGGAGCAGCAGGTCTACTCTGAGCCCCTCCCGAGTGACCGAGCTTCTCATCCTATCTCTAAGGGAGAGCCCAGACACCCTGCGGAGAAAACTCATTTCGGCCGCTTATATCCGTGATCTCGTTCTTTCGGTCACTACCCAAAGCTCGTGACCATAGGTGAGGGTAGGAACGTAGATTGACCGGTAAATCAAAAGTTGTGCCTTCCGGCCCTGCTCTCTTCACCTCGACAGGTTGGTTCAACGCCCGCATCACTGCAGATGCAGCACCAATCCGCCTGTTGATCTCACGCTCCATCTTTCCCTCACTCGTGAACAAGACCCCGAGATACTTAAACTCCTCCACTTGGGTCAGGACCTCCTCCCTGACCTGGAGAAGTCATTCTTTTCTGACTCAAGGTAGAATTTTAACTCACTCTAAGAAAACATATCTAAATGGTGACTTTTATACCTTCCAGGTACGCAGCAGAGCTCAGAGTGTATTGTTCACGGCTCTGGGAACCTATAACTTCTGCTGCAGAGATCTGATTCCCCACGTCCTTGACCTTCTTAACCCAGACAACAGTAGCGTCAAGCAACAGCAGTTCAAAGTAGGACAGCCCTCTGCACCACCAGTAACTCTTACATAGACGCATTGGGGAACTCCTCTTCACTTTTAACGTGCATTTATCTCCAGGGTGCGCTGTACTGTCTTCTCGGGAATCACAGTGGAGTATGTCTGGCTAATCTTCACGACTGGGAGTGCATCGCTCTGACGTGGCCAGCCATCGTACGCTCTGGCCTCAGCTCAGCCATGTCTCTAGAGAAGCCCTCCATCGTACGACTCTTCGACGACCTTGCAGACAAAATCCATCGGCAGTATGAGACCATCGGCATCGACTTTACTGTGAGTCCGAGCCTGAAAAGCAGCACATAGTGTATAGGAAGTGCATCCATCCTTTCTTATAGGACTTCATGTTTTACACAAGCTTGTAGTTTTAACACACCGTGTACTAGGGCTGGGCGACGTGGGGAAAACGCCCGTCATGATGATAATAATAATAAAAATATCAGTCAGTCATTATTTTAATCAGTAAGGTTCTTCTGTACCCTTAAATGAGATTTTAAGATATCGGGTTATGTTTGATGGGATTCATTTTCAAATGGTGAACATATCAAAATGTTTTGGATTAAAAACAGAAGTTTGTTTTAAACTAAACGCTTCCAGAGGAGAACAGAACAAAATATTGTGCTGTTGATGTCAGATGAATAAAATAAGCATTAAAAATAGATGATCCAAACCTCTGTTTTAATTTTAGCCTCTTTAAGAATGAGCAAAACATGTATATATAAAAAAAATCAAAACAATTGTTTAATGTGAATGTTGGCATCTTTCTAAGGAAAACTCAGATTTTGGGTTCGATATCATTTGTAGTGAGCGCTGCTTTTCTTTTCTTTAGAAAGAGAGAACGTGTCCTCGCGACTGAACTGCTTCGGCCCTTTATGTCAACGTCATCGTCGACCGTGTCCTCCATCTTTTTTTTCTTTTCGGGCGTTCGTTTATTCCTGTTTATATATCAGCGATGTCACGTTAGCTAAGAGGCTGTAGCTGCACAAACTTTAGCCATTAGTGTGTCTGGTAGCTACTAGATGTAAGAAAATATCTATATGGCAATATATCGTGATATGTTTTCCTGCGAGATTATATCGATATTCAAAAGCCGTGTATCGAGTATTTGGAAGAATTTACATGCAAACATTTGTGTAACTTCTTTTCTTTTGGCGCAATTCATAGGCCAACCACCAGCTGGCAGCAGTGTGCAATGGGTTTTCCACTGAAATGTAAATATTATGATTCAGATACCTCATGATAAACATATATCAGTTTGGACTGTTTATTTAATTTTCCTACAATAAATTCAGTCTAAAAAAATCGCTAATATCGTCTGGCTGAATGTATCGTGATATCGTATCATCTCCCCAGTATCCTGATGCGTGTCGTAGCACCAGAATTTCACCAGTACACAATCCTAGAAGCTACTGTATGTCTTGCCTAGCTACCGGCGAAGCTTGAATGAAAAAGAAACAAAGATTTTTTTATGGAACTTTTTATTGATCTTTTATTTCTTTCACGCTACACGTCTATCGTTGGTATGAAGTGAGGAACAGAAGTATTTTAATTACCTGCGATTTTGCATGTTCTCTCATTTAGAAATCATAAAGGGGTCTGAACTTTACATTGTAGATGCATTCCCACAGCGAGAGATGGCCTTAAACAATTCAGCAAGTCACATTGTGTTAGAAGAGCATTAATTGCTCTGCTGAACATAAGTATATAAACACCTAAGACAATCAGTCCGTGTTCAGTGTTGTTACTGAATTAACGTCTAGCCCTACCGTGCACCGACGCTATGCGTTTTCCATCCCTGCAGATCTCTGGGGAGTGTTGCTCTGTGGCTAAACAGCTGATGATGGCAGGAAGTCCTGTTCCTAAAGAACTCGTTCCCACTGAGGAGGAATCTGAGGAGGGTCTAAACCGACAGACGCTCAAAAACTCTGAGGCTGTAGAGTAAGTTTTACACTAGTAAACCCAACCACTCCTTAAAAAATGACACCGCAAATAACTTGGATTTAATGTTTATTTAGGAATTACAAAGGGCTCGTGGGTGGTCTGCTGGACTGCCTCAGCAACAGAAACATGTAAGCTCTGATGATGGAGACATCTGCAAGCTCGGATTCACGTATCACTGTCTGACACCTGGTTTCTTTTTAATGTCAGGCCCTGGAAGTTTGAGCACATTGCAATCGGCTTCTTGTCATTGCTGTTGAGAGACGATCACCAGCTCCCACCTGCAGCCGTCACGTTCTTTGTGGAAAGTCTCAACCACGACTCCCTCTACGTCCGTAAGGTGTGGTACGAATAGTGCAATAGTAGTGTAGTGATAATAGTGTTGTTGTTTGTCAAAACTTCTTGAAATATCACTTTTTCACCATTAGGTGGCGATATCAGCTGTGGCTGGAATCATGAAACAAATAAAAGTGCCACATAAAAAAATCCCCATCAGCCCCTCTGAGCTCTGTGAGGACTAAGTTTTTGCTTTATTTTATTTGAATTGTTTCCATTTCGTTTAGGCTTGAGGGTTTTTTTTTTTTTTTTGCTGCTGCTGTTTTAAAAAAATCTGCTCTGGTTCTTGGCAGGTGGGGTAATAGAGGACAGGATTGTAGCGGGGGACCGTCCAGACAACCAGTGGCTCCAGTATAACAGCAACAAGCTGCCACTAACACAGGAAGACTGGGATTGTTGTGCGTTTGTGGAAAAGACTCACTGGGGCTACTACTGCTGGCCAAGGTAATTATTCTAGAAAATGTCACAACGTCAGTTATTATTTAATGTTAATTTGATTGTCGTTCTGTAGGAAACTGATGATGTACGCCCCTCTGGAGGAGCAGCCCAAACAAAACCTGAGCAAAGAAGAAATGACGGAGGTTTGTGCACTAAAATGACACGCTTCACATAAATCCCCTCTACCCTATTTGATAAGTCTTATTTTTAATATTTTGCTCATTTTTCCAGCGAGAGCAGATCATCTTTGACCATTTCTCAGACCCAGTATTCATCAACCAGTTCATTGAGTTTCTGTCTCTGGAGGACCGTAAGGGGAAGGACAAGTTCAGCCCTCGGAGATTCTGTTTGTTCAAGGTGGGCTCAAGTTTCATCAAAAAGGCAAAAAAGCTGGAAAAGCACATAATAATCCCCTCTTTTCTGCTTTTTCAGGGATTATTCCGCAATTTTGGCGATGCCTTCCTACCTCTGTTGCGTCCACACATGGAGCGCCTGGTGGCGGACTCGCACGAGAGCAAGCAGCGGTGTGTTGCTGAGATCATCTCTGGACTGATAAGAGGCTCCAAGCACTGGAGCTTTTCAGAGGTACGGATTTGAAACAATAATGATTATGTATCTCAGTTTTTAATGCCTCAGTAACCGAATAAAGCATTTAGTATAATGCTTTTGTTAGTTGATTCCATTGTCATCTGATTCAATTTCCTTTGACAGGTTGAGAATCTTTGGGAGCTGTTGTGTCCTTTGCTTCGTACCGCCCTGTCAAACATCACCGTAGAAACGTATGCAGATTGGGGTACTTGCATCGCCACGGCGTGTGTAAGTGCTGTTAATTCATATATTTCACCTATTTTAATTTTTGTGACTCCATCCTTTAAGTTTACTTTTTTCTGCGGCTTTTGCAGGAGAGCAGAGACCCGCGCAAACTCCATCGGCTGTTTGAGATGTTGATGGAGTCTCCGGTCACTGGAGAGGGGGGCTCGTTTGTGGATGCCTGGTGGGTAAAGAGAGACTCCACATACAGTTCTGCAGAGTGCCATCTGATGTTTGTTTTTCATAACACTAAAATACAATATTTCTATGACCTCATATGATGTGAGAAAGTTTAACTTAAAAAAAATACGTGTTTGTATTGGATAATCACAGTTAGCTTACTGTTGAGGTGTCTAGTGTAGCACACCCAAAAGTCTGTTCCATCTCAAACCTGCTCTCCTAAATGAATTAGTAATGTTGCAAATGGCCACGCAGAAATGGTTCAGTCTGAGAAAAGCTGGTCATCAGCTTAGACACACCACCTACAATCTGCATGTCCCACCCACTTCAGTGTTTGTATTACGTAAACACTGGTACCAGTAATGCCATCTGCAGAACAACGCTAGCCTGATCTATTGCTAACACTAGCCTGAGCTACCAGCAACCCAAGCTACTGTCAAAGCTAACTTGAGCTATTGCCAACAATAGCCCAAGCTACTGCCTGATCTATTACACTAGCTCTATCTATGGCTAATGCTTGGACGAGTGACTTCTAAGCCTTTAATGCTGGCCTGAGCTACTGCTAACCCTTGCCTGAGCCACCGATAATGCTAGCCTTATCTACTGCTCATGCTAACTTGAGCTAATGCTAACTCTAGCCCAAGCTACTGCTAACGCTAGCCCAATCTATTTCTAATGCTATTCTGAGCTACAACAAACCCTTGCCGGAGCTAATGCTATCCTAATCTTCTTTTCATGGTAACTTGAGCTACAGCTAATGTCCTTGTTGGATGAGAGGAAAACAACGAAGAAGAATTTAAAGGCACTCATGTTCCAGGATGAACTGGGAACATCCAGATAGATCCACTGCTTTTAGTCCTTGTCCTCTTCCGTGTTTGTTTGCACTCCTGTCCGCCTCCCCTCCACGTACATCAGCTGGACCGACGATCATTTCCTAGTTCCTTTGTCTGATGTTGCCTTAAATTGCCCTCAGTTAAAGCACCCACTGATAAAATGTAAAAAGAGCAATTTTGAAGACTTTTTCCTTTATTTTTTCGTCCTTGTTTTAGTCGTCTCTATGTGCTGCAAGGAGGCCTAGCCCAGCAGGAGTGGCGTGTATCGGAGCTTCTGCACAGACTGCTTCAATACCTTGAGCCCAAACTCACACAAGTGTACAAGAATGTACGGGAACGTATTGGAAGGTGAGGTCATCCCTAGTTCACATGACTACTATTGTTCTTAAAGTTATTTTTAATCATTTTTCTCCCGCTGTTCTCCTCTGATTGTGTCTCCTTCCAGCGTGCTCACGTACATCTTCATGATTGATGTCAACTTGCCACTCACTCAGCCAACCACCTCCCCGCGAATCTCAGACTTCACAGAGAGAATTCTGTTGAAACTGAAGCCCCTAACCGAAGGCGATGAGGAGATCCAGAACCACGTGGTTGAGGAGAACGAGGTGGGGGAGCAGGATGAAAGGACGCAGGCGATTAAGTTACTGAAAACAGGTGAGTCGGTCTGTTCCTCTGATTTGGGGTTAGGATAAAAGCAAAACATTTTTAAAAACCGATATTTAATCATTTGCAGTGCTCAAGTGGTTGATTGCAAGCGCTGGCCGCTCTTTCACCACCGCTGTTCCAGAACAGCTGCGGCTGCTTCCGCTGCTCTTCAAGGTAAGTTACACATTCATCCATTTCCTTTATCATCCATCTTTAATGATTACAGACTAGGGTTGTCACGGTGTGAAAATCTAACCTCACGGTTATTGTGACCAAAATTACCACAGTTTTCGGTATTATCGCAGTATTTTTTTAAACGTGTTACATTTTCAGACAACTAAATAAACCCTGTATATCAGGAAAATATTGTCCTCAGTTTGTGTCTAAAATTTGCCTAAAATGTGTTATTTTGTAATTTTGTTGTTTATTTGTTTACATTTTTCCCCTTTAGTCTTTAAAATACCAATATTTGCCCATAACTTCTTATTTTTTGTCTGTTTGATGTCATCATTTTAAAAATATTAGATCAGATGATACTCAGTACTCAAGTAGCCTTCTAATCAGATACTTTTTTACCCTTACTTGAGTAATCCGTATATCAGGAAAATATTGTCCTCGGTTTGTGTCCTTCCAGTGAGCTTTGCAGATGTGGGAAAATGTCATCAGGCAGTAATCATTGTTAAATTCATAATTATTCTCGGAGAGAGACCAACTCTTATCTGCCCCTGGGAGCCCCGTAATGCATAGCGTCATTTCAACATGGAGGTGTCCGCGACACGGTTTATATGCAGGTAGCGGCGCTGCGGCTGCTTTATATAGCAACTCGTTGCATTCTCCCTCAACCCAAATCCTCGGATCACACATTTTAGCTAAAACGCTAACGTTAGCTTGCCTTGCGTTGACTGTAGAGTTGTGGGTGATGGTCACGCAGATGTGTCATGAGATATGAAGCGTTGCTGCCTTTCACAGACACTTTTTCTGCACGTGCTGCAAACAGGATAGCCGTCCGTCTTCTATCAGCTGTCCCTCGGCATTCTTCAAATATCTAAAAAATGCCCGTACTTCCGACTTTGTCTTCTTTGAGGGATAATAAATGTCCTCCTGAACGCTGCCGTCTCCTCCTTTGGCCATTATTTCAGCTTTAGCTTCAAGAAAGTTTTGGTTGTAAACAACAAAGCGCGCATGTGCCGCCGGCAACTTCAGCAGATGATACGGTGGCTGGTAAGGGTCACCGCGCCTACACCGCAGCCACGGTAAACCCACTGAGATAATACAGTTTTTACAAACAAGACGGTCATTATTATTGTCAACTTTTTTACTGGGGTTTACCGCTACACCGGTTACCGTGACAACCCTATTACAGACTTGTATTCTAATGTCTTTCACTACTCACCACAGTAGGAACGACCATTCACTCTTTTGATCTTGTGTTCCAGATTGCTCCAGTTGAAAATGATGACAGTTATGATGAACTTAAGAGGGATGCAAAGACCTGTCTGTCTCTAATGTCTCAGGGACTCCTCTACTCAGATCAGATCCCCATGGTCCTCGATGTCCTGAAAGAGGTGAGTCATCTGGAAGCTGCAGCTGGCGGTCCTCGCCCTGCTGGAATGCCAAAAGGCTTTTTACAATGGCGATGCCAAATGTGTGTTCTAGATTGCTGGCAGCAGCTCTTGGCACGCCCGCTACACGGTGCTCACGTACCTGCAGATCATGGTGTTTTACAACCTGTTCACATTCCTGAGCGATCGGAAAGCAGTGCATGATGTGCGGGGACTGGTGATCAAACTGCTGGAGGATGAGCAGCTGGAGGTAAGAGGAGATTCTCATTCGTTTTAACAGACAATCGACATTTAAATGTAGTGATTTAATCAGTGCTGTGTAAACAGCAGCTGGCAAAGGGACAAAGAAAACATCTGATTATATAAAACTGATCTGTTGACCTGTAGGAGCTCATTCATGCTAGCAGGCACTTGCTGCGTCTTTCAGCTTTACTGTAGTGATTCAGCACTCTGCTTCTGGCTCTCGGCTCTCCTCTCCCCTCCCTGGTCCTTTTGTTGTTTCTATGGAAACCACTGGCTGCAGTAATCTGTTGCTATGGAGATAATGTTCAACTTGAAGGAGGGCAAGAGGGAGAAGGAAGGAGCACAGACAAAGAACGTGTGTATGAGAGCATCCATTTTTGTTTGACCTTTCAGCGTAACCTGTGGCTTTATATACCTTCGTTTCGTAGATCATGGTTTTATCTGATTCATGGGGGGAAGAGCCCACTGAGACCACATCTCTGTGCACAACACCGGTATCTTTTTGAGGATTTTATAAAGATGATTAAAATGGGAAGCAAATCATAGAGAAAAGGTCTTCTACGCTCATTATCTTTATTCCCCAGCTAGCCAGTCGGTACAAACTGTGCTGCATTAGACTGAATAGATGGCAACGTGACATTCATATGTACAGCAACAGAATTTAGTACCATGACTTGTCTGCTTTCAACCACAGATAAAGGTTGTAGGGTTAGGGCTTTTTCTTCCCGGATGAACGAAGATTAAAGTGGGGGTTTACCGAGAAACGTATGAGACTTCTTTCTGAAATACCGTCAGACCTTCACATGCGTTTAGAGCGTGTCTTCTCGTGACATTTGAACTCATTTTTGACTTGTGACCACAGAAGGCTGAGTTGATTTTTTTTGTGCCGCCAGAAGAGAGCAGAGCACTCCTCTGCTAGTCGAAGCTAACCATTAGCATTAGCAACTCCTCCACATCGCAGAACTCTTTCAGGCTTGAGTTATTCTTTTTAAGATGCAACCTCAAGATTGGAGCGTGAAAAGAGGAAGTGGAAGAGGTGTGTTGCTTATAGCTAATTAGAGGTGAGATGTTCATGAATATGAATGAGTAAAACTCCAAATCCTACCGTTTTCTAACCCCCACTCTTCCGAATAACTTCTACTTTTTGAAATAGGAGCATCAGAGCTTTTTTCTACAGAATGATTTACTGCGTTTATTTAAGCTAGAGAACACAGCAGTGTGTTTGTGAATGGATGAATGATGCACTATAGTGTAAAGTGCTTTGGAGTCCTCTGACTCAAAAGGCGATATACAAGTATGGGTCATTTAGCATTTACAAAGTGAAATAACGAGTGAGTGGGAGATTTAAATAATCTAGTGAAAGAATACAAACACAATCCTTAAACACGAACTTCCTTTCATTTTGTTTTCAGGTACGAGAAATGGCCGCCACCACTCTGAGTGGCTTCCTTCAGTGCAACTTCCTGTCCATGGACTCCCCCATGCAAGTACATTTTGAATCTCTCTGCAAAACGCGCTTGCCTAAGAAAAGGAAGCGGGAGCTCGGCTTCGTCGTGGACACGATTCCCTCTGCTGGTGAGAAACTTGACTGATTATTAGCCCAGAGTTGCTTTGCTTTTGCTGTTCTGTGCTCCCAGCTCTTTTTGAAGGTGTGTTTCATGTTTTCATAGATCTTGTTCGCCGCCATGCGGGTGTTCTTGGTCTGAGTGCCTGCATCCTGTCCAGTCCCTATGACGTTCCTACCTGGATGCCCCAGCTTCTGATGGACCTGAGCGCCCACCTTAACGACACACAACCCATTGAAGCACGTATGATCATCTACGGGTTTCCCTTCAGCGTGAGAAAGAAATGATTAAAATAACTGTTTTCTTCTTTTAGATGACCGTAAAGAAAACTCTGTCAAATTTCCGACGGACTCATCATGACAACTGGCAGCAACACAAGCAGCAGTTCACGGATGATCAGCTGCTGGTCCTCACCGACCTTCTGGTGTCTCCCTGTTACTACGCCTAAAACCTGGTAGAACATTTTAACTGAAACGCCTTCATTCAAACTTCATAGGTATCCGGAAGCCAGAGTTCTTACTTTGTGTTTCTCCCGTTAGCTTTGGATGTCACCAGACTGCACACGTGTTTGCTTGCTTTGGAGTGGACGCTGTGGTTCCTGAATGAATAGAAACACGGCGTCCTCGCGGAGCTGGGAGACGAGACGTGACCCACCGTGGAACTGCACTTTGGCTCTCAAAAGGATTAAAAACTTTTTTATGTGTTCAACTCATTTACATTTGAACTATACTTAATATTTAAGGATGAATTATGGCAGGGAGGAATGACCTTCAGTTTGTAACATTACTGTACAGAGTTGTATTTAATTTTATCCTTTTCTTTGTGGCTTGTTTGCCCGCATGTGAACAGGAATGCGTCCTGAGCATGATTATGGAATGTTTTAAGACATCCGCTGTTACAACACAATTCTCAGGATTTCTCCGCTCTGCGCCACAAGCCACAGAGAACTAACAGACCAATGGAGAGTGGACTCTTTAGGTCAGACTGAAACATACAACACACAATGTTTGTGTGGTTGTTTGGTCTATATGTGATTGGATGCATCGTGTGTGTATCATCAGCAAATGTGCACAAACTCATTTATTTTTTTGAAGTGCTGAGTTTTATTCCTCTTTTGATAGTCTCTACCTGAAAATTTGTAGACGACTGAGCTGTTTGCAACAGAGCCTACTTTCAAAGCGGGAGAGTACAAAGCTCATTACTGCTGTGATGTTTGTTGTGAGGACCTGAGCATAGTTGGAGCAACATTTCATCTGTCCGTGCAAGAAGACGAAGAAAAAAAGCCAAATTGCCTGTCCGATCCTGGACCTTCCCTCAGATATTTAACTGATAACCTAGTGAGAAAACATGTGGTAACTTTGGTTTGGGGATGTTTTCCTCTGATGACATGAAACCAGTCTAAGCATCAAAGCATTTAGTACCTCACTTGCATTTAGCGTAGTGCCAAAACTGCAGTGATTTTTTTTTCTTTTTAGATTTTTCTGAGAAAATAAATTGTTTGTAAAAAAAAAAAGTTAGAATCTCATTTGTTTTACTTGTAAGATAAAAAACAGTTGTGTTTTTAAATGTGAATAGTTCTTTAGACCACCTTAAAATTGAGTAAATATTTAACAAAGAAAAAACATACATATATATAGATATATATCTATAGATAAATCTATAAATATCTGTAAATCTATATAAAATATATATTTGATAGATCTATAGATACATATATCTATATAGAGATATCTATATATGTGTGTGTGTGCACATAAGTTTTGGTATTTTAATTTTTTATGTTATTCTCAGTAAACTGGTCCCGCGTGCATACTGGTCCTTGCTTTAAATATGGAGTTCTGAACTCTGTTGGTGCTGCTTTTAATGACGGCAGTAAAAAACCGGAAAGGTGGGTATTTTATCAGTATAATTTGATTTGGCGAGTTTAACAGACATAAACCCTTTATGTAATCAGGGGGCGCGTACAAATGTCGCATTTTGTCTCGTTGCTTTTATTAAAGGCTTTAATATAAGTGGCCATGGCGAGATAACGTTAAAACAAATGACTGCAGTGCTGTAGCGCAGCTTTTTCTAAACCTAAATTCGTGGCTAGCTCTTTGTAAAACCCGCGCGCTCCTGCGGAGCAGCGAGGTGCTTTCGTTCAGATGGAGCCCTTTAATGCAGTGCGGTTACGTTCATGCTCGGAGACGTCGACGGTGACTTCATTCTCATTCTTCAACGCACGTCCAGCCGTCGTCGCGCCTCAGAAATGGACACCGCCGAGAAAACCAGCTGCGCTATCGTCCGTTAGCGCAGAATGAGCCCAAACCCAGTGCAGGTTTGCTAACGGAAACGTGTATTTCTACCATTATGCGTTTTATTTGGCTGTGGACGAGCAGCTGCTGCTGGGGACGGTTCCTCTCCTCAGTGCAGACGTGCATTCACTTACCGTGATTCAAACAGAAGGGCAATTATGATCATGGACGCACGATCGATTACAGGTAATGTAATATCCATTAATTTGTTCCAATCCTTATTATAGGATGTTAATCCAGTTTTAGATTCAATATGTGCATGTATTTTCTGAAGATTTCAGCTTATGCTGTTGCAGGGTGTGTGTGTGTGTGTGTGTGTGTGTGTGTGTGTGTGTGTGTGTGTGTGTGTGTGTGTGTGTGTGTGTGTGTCAGGTACGATTGTGAAATCAGTGGATAGCATCTTCTAACATGCAGATCCATAAGGAATTTCAATGTTTTGACATCAGTTGAAAGTGCACACCGCATTGCTTTCAAATAAATCTGATGCACCATAAATAATAGAGGTGCTGGAAAAAAATCGATTCAAGTCTGAATCGGGATTCATATTTATAAAGATTCAGAATCGATTCCAAGAACTCATATATTTGGCATGTTACAGGTTTGAGATGCACTTTTTTGATCTTTGTTAGGAGAGTCAGTACTCCGTTTACTTTTGTGGTCCCATAAATTGAGATGATAAATGTTTGAATCTGCTGATAAGAGGGCACTTGAATGTCATTTTTTCCATACTCGTTAATTTGAGATATTCTCATATTTATTTTCTAAGTTGATAAATGAGTACTCAGGATTACTTATGTAACTTGTTTCTACACATACTTGAAAAGTATTTGACCGTATTACTTTCAAAGCTACTGTTAGGTAACTACAGATTTGTTATATTTTACAAGGTAAGCAAAAATAAATGTTGCCTTTTGGTCAAAAGATTGCTTCTGTTTACAGTTTTAGAATCACTTTAGTTTACATTGTAAATTTGCATTTTTGGAGCATGACTAGTTTAAAGTCAAATAAAAATGTCCCATAGCTTTAACCAACTTGTACAACAAAGTAGTTAATCCTGGAGCTGACACTCTGGTAATACTGATTGTGAATCAATTTAAAGTGAGAATCGAGAATCGATTCTGAATCGAATCGGCACCCCAAGAATCGGAATCGAATCAAATCGTGAGTTGCTCTAAGATTCACATCCCTAATAAATAACATCTGTCTTTGTGTCTTTTAGCAGTCTGCCAAGGTGGAGGCAACAGATGTGGCGATCATCATTCTCTCCTGCCATGTGGAGGAGTAAGGCTAACATCACTGAAAGCAGAATCCATGTAAACTGCCAACAATACAATGAACAACACTCTCCCACCCTCTGAGCTGCTGGACGTGCCAGTCAGACATCAGAGCTTCAATGGCACCCCAGACGTGCAGACTTCCTCAGGTTGGGCCGTGATCCACACCGCTACCTTGACCTTCTGCTCCCTCCTCCTCATTTTCATCTTCTTCCTGGGCTCTTACGGCAACCTTGTGGTGTTCCTGTCTTTCTTCGACCCGGCCTTTCGCAAGTTCCGCACAAACTTTGACTTCATGATCCTCAACCTGTCCTTCTGCGACTTGTTCATCTGCTGTGTGACTGCACCCATGTTCGCACTGGTACTCTTTCTGGACGCAGGTGGAGAGCATGGCGTGTCGAAAGGTTTCTGCTTTGCCTACCACTTGGCCAGTTCGGCCTTCATCATCATGTCCCTGGAGACGGTAGCGGTCATTGCCTTGCACAGGCTTCGCATGGTTTTGGGACAGCAGCCCAACCGCACCGCCTCCTTCCTCTGCACATTGGCTCTTACCGCTCTGTTATGGACATCCAGCTTCACTATGGCAGCTCTCCTTACCATGCGAGCTTACCCACGTAGAGAAGGTCCCTGCTTGCCCCACTTTGGTCTTGGAGGTGGACAGGCCAGGGCTGTGTTATATGTTTACCTGGCAGACTTTGCGTTTTGTGTTGCTGTGGTGTCTGTGTCTTATCTGATGATTGCCAGGACACTGAGGAAGAATGCACAAGTGAGGAAATGTCCCATCATCAGTGTAGATGCCACATGCCCCCCACCCCCACTTCCTTTGATTGCAGCTGGCTTTGAGAGTATGCAGTGTGCTGTTCAAGGCCCTTCTCTGTATCGTAACCAGACTTACAACAAACTCCAGAGTGTGAAAACCCACTCGTATGCCAACAGGATCAGCCAGCCTGTAGTTCCAGGAGCAGCCCAAGGAGCCACCTGCTGTCAGCTGGTCTCTTCTGTCAACTTGGCCACAGCCAAAGACTCCAAGGCAGTAGTCACCTGTGTAGTTATTGTGTTTTCCATTCTGCTTTGCTGTTTGCCGATGGGAACTTCACTTGCGCAGGATGTTCTGTCACCAAAAAGTAGCTTTGCCCATTACCAGTTTGAACTATGTGGCTTTGTGCTCATCTTTCTCAAATCGGGCATCAATCCTTTCATGTATTCGCGCAACAGCGCAGGCCTTCGCCGCCGCGTGCTGGGTTGCATACAGTGGGCAGCGCTGGGCTTTTTCTGCTGCAAGCAAAAGACTCGCCTGCATGCCATGGGGAAGGGCAGCCTGGAAGTCAATCGCAATAAATCTTCCCATCACGAAACCAACTCGGCCTACGTCCTGTCACCCAAGCCACCCAAGCGGCTCGTGGACCAGGCCTGTGGGCCCAGTATTTCCAGGGACTGCGACAGTAGCCCAAAAGCCACAGCTGTCCGCAAACCTCGCCTCCCAAGTACCTCCACTCCAATGAACACCCGCATCGAGCCGTATTACAGCATATACAACAGCAGTCCCTCTGCAGGACCCGGCTCCCCCACCAGCCTGCAGCCTGTGAGCTCCCAGACGTTTGCTTTTGCCAAGTCTTACGTTGCCATGCACTACCACCCACACCAAGATGCTCTGCAAGACTTTGACAGCACATCAGCACACCAGATTCCTATTCCTTCAGTGTAAAGTACGAACTCAAAGACCTGGGCGGTCTTACAGTGGCTTGAAATCAAATGTGAACCAAAAGACAAAAACAGTTCATTCGATGCATTTGGAAAGAAGTATTAACCTGTTTGTTGTCTTTTACTGTAGAAAAATGTTGCCAGAATGATGAGCTTTGCCAGGGAACTAGTGTTGGTAGGAAAATGTCTTATTCAAACAGATTTTTTTTGTTTGTTTTTGCTCCTTCCGATGTTTTCTGTGAAATTTCCATAAAATTTTGCAGGCATGTGTCATCACATCTGTACATCTTTTTTTCCACTGCAGTCTCACACCTCAGCTGCTGATTTCACTTCTGGCCTGAAGTCATAGTGCCGAACCTTTGAAGGGGGCTTCTGTGCAAATGTTCAGAGCAATTGATAAATGTTGTTAACAGATCTTTGATCAACCTCGTTTTAGAGAAACGGAGATTGTCAGAACTAGTCTAGAAAGATAGACAAACCATAGCAGCAGCAAAATATTTCCCTCTGCAGGTGGGTCTAGCCACGCTCTGTTAGAGCCTTCGCAGGTCTCCCATTGGCTGAGCTAAATTTAGGCCGGCCCAGTCACAGTGCTCTGTTTGTAGACATTGGGTGGGCTAAGCATCATTACAGCAGAGCTTTTGTGTTTGTTTGTTTTTACCATGACTGTAGAGCTGCGACTGAGCAAAACAATGATGTTGATTGCTCAGGAACGGCGTTTGCAATAACCAGTGTTGGGAGTAACCATCGACATAAATATACTGGACATCTCCTTTCCATAGGCTCCAATAACAAGTTTTTGTACTAAAATGGGAGGTGGCCACCACCGCCATTTTGACCGTGTCACAGGTTCCGTCTAGCCCAGACAATTCCAAAAAAAGGAAGAGAGGAGGAGCTGAGGGTGGGGGTGTAAGCAGGGTATCTGCGGGTCCTTAAAAAGTCTTAAATTAGCTTTTCCAAATTTAAGGCCTTAAAAATCCTCAAAAATGACAAATAATCCTTAAATACAGTTTCCAGAAGTCTTAAATTACCAAAGACCCAATAAACAAGATTCTTTTATTTCTATAAAATTTTCGTGAATTTCTAGTTAGTGTTCAGCATTTTTTGTGTACGATGTTGGCGTAAGTGGAGCCGTACACATTCAGTTGGTTGTGAGAGGGGGCTATTTTTAGATGAGCACGTTAGCTGGTTAAGCTAGTGGGAGATTGCGCCATGGGGAAGTGCAAGTTTAATGGTAACTGGATGGCTAATCCCACGATTGCGGTGTGGTTAGTACCGGTTCCAGGCAATAGCTGGAAATTATAGCTTAAATTTAATTTTTAAAAACAATGAATGACCCGCACTTGTATAGCGCCTGTCAGAGTAAGGACTCCAGAGAGCTTTACACTACAGTGTATCATTGATCCATTCACACACTGATGGTGATGAGCTACGATGTAGCCACAGCTGCCCTGGGGTGCACTGACAGAGGCGAGGCTGCCGTATACAGGCGCCATCAGTCCCTCCGACCACCACCAGCAAGCAAGGTGGGTTAAGTGTCTTGCCCAAGGACACAACAGCAGAATTCTCTGTCCGGAGCGGGATCGAAACTGCAACCTTCCGATTACTGGACAACCCGCTGAACCTGTTGAGCTACTGCTGCCCTGCTTAAATAGCTTAAATTTGGTCAAAGCGGCCTTAAAAAAGGTCTTAAAAAGTCTTAAATTTGGCTTCCTTAAACCTGCAGAAACCCTGTGTAAGGCTGGGATCAACTGATGACACCCGGGCGAATTAGCTACAAGCTAACCCAGAGCTAATGCGGAGGTGGGAGCCAAGCTAACGGATGTAGCCACCTAGCTACAACCGGAGCTAACTCTGTGGAACACCCATCGACCGCATGGAGTTCAGGTGGAAGTTTGCGGCGCCTTTTCATGAAAAGTACCTTTCTGTGAATAAAAAATATTAAATCAGTAAGTTTATAAGTTATTTCCGTAATGAAAATATATTTTGATTTGAGCAAGTTTTCACTATTTTTAACGTAACGTATTTTCCGGACTATAAGTCGCACCAGCCATCAAATGTATAAGGAAGAAGAAAAAAACATAAGTCGTATTTTGGGGGGAAATTTTATTATTTTTCTTACAAAATCTGAGACCAAGCGTTTCACATTACAAGACAAATACCGGTAACTAACCGAATAATGCGCCGCAGCAGCGCGCCACAGTCTCCAGCAGAGGAAGGCAGTGTTTGAAACCCTCCTAGCGGGACAGGGGAACTCATTGTTGGGTCGGAGTCGGCCCGCAGCAGCGCGGTGTAGCCTACATATTTTGTTATTTAAGTCGATCCGGAGTAGCAGGACCGGCCAGACTATGAAAAAAAGTGTGATTTATAGTCCAGAAAATACGGTAATTATTAGTATTTGAGATAAATTAGCAGGCTAAATACATTTCATATATTTCCAAAACGTAATACTTGTTTGTATCTTGTACAGCCAACTAGCCTTTATTCTGGACTCAGTACAATTCACCAAAAGTAAAGAGACATTATACAGATGAAGTAAGCACAAGATAACTTACTGGAAGAAACAGAATTATTATCATGAGAACCAGAACAAGACAGCCTGATAACAGTCATGTGAAAATAACAGTTAAAAAGTATGTATGTGTAATAGAAATAAAAATATATTAGAATTAGTGTAACTCACTGTGATCCAAACAATAAATCAACCATAGCTGATTAGCAATCATGAAATGAGGTCTGGGAGTTTTTAAGTTTCATTCTTTTATTACATTTTTTTCTGAGATCTGTTAAAAGCTCACCATGGCAGCCTGTGTCTCCAACATCAGCTACACAACGCAGCAAGTGTAAGTTCCAAGTACCTGTCTTGACCACTTCATGTATGGTTTTGTACTTTAAACAGCTAGGCCAAACCTGCTATTTTTTTCTCCATAGACATTTGGATCATTGGAGACACAGCTGAGTGAGGCAGGGTGCCCAGAGAGCTGCAGAGACCCTCAGACAACCTTGGCCTCCCTGACGTCTGTGTCTCCAGGTTCGGTTGGGGCGGACTTAGGTGGAAAGACATTCTCCCCTTCTTTTTCAACTCCATGCATGGAAGAGCAGCTCCTGATGTCCTTCTCATCCACTGTGGCGGCAATGACACAGCAGTGTGAATCTGGTGAACATGATGGAGGACCTACACCGGCTTCACCTTCTACACCCTCATATCACACTGTTGAGAACTGTTCTTCCTTCACAACCCAATGTTCCACTCACTCTGCAGCTCTCTGGGCCCCTTTTATTATTTGAAGTATTTTTTAAATGTCCCGACACTTTGTGTCCTGTTATTTTATAAAATGTGATGTAAAAAAATAAATGTTTTTGCTCAATTACTGGAATTTCTTTGGTTAAGACAAAAAAGGAAGGAAGAATCATTTATGCCAAGTTGTTTCTACAATAGGCCCATTTTAAGTCCAACAGTTTCTTAGCAGCCAATAGAAATGTGTTCTTTACTAACTTTACTTGGTTTAAAAATCTTACTAAAAACCGACACCGTATTGCAAAACCCATTCATACTTGTTATGTAAATATTAGCTTTGTAGATATTTTTTACAGATAGATATGTGGGCTAAAAAAACCATAAACTTAAATAATTTGTCATTCTTTATTGAAAAACAACAAAATACAGATGAGTGACTGGCCACCAGCTGTTTTTGTTCTCCTGCCAGATGAGATGATGGTTACAGGTGTGAGGATGCACCTTCTGTTATAGCCACATTAGAGGAGTGTAGCCTGGCTGAGGAGGAGAGAAGGAAAAACCACACAGAGTAGAATACTAACTAATAATTACAATTTCTTGTTGTGTAGCTCACCTTACGTGCACTTTAAAACCTGGACCTGTGCCTGCTCACAGCATTCCGTTTGTCTGGTCTTTGGAACTGCACAGAGAGGTTTTGGAACAGGAATTTCGTCTGAGTACTCCTGATATGGGAGAGGATCCACCACCACAGAGTCGAACAGCAGGTCCATAAGCTTGTGCAGGTGGAGCTGAGAGTGGGGCTGTAAGGGGATCAACCAAGCCCCCACAATGCGGCTTTAAAATTGAGTCAAACCCGGAAGTAAGAAAACTTGCTGTTCCACCCTCATCCGCTGGGGGCTGGTGTCAGAAGCGAACAAATCCTCATTGACTCCCATGTTAAAAATACCAATTTCACAGCAGAAATAAACATATTTACAGCCTGGTTCCAAAACATACTTTTTGTTTAAATGATCTAGTTTACACTCATGACAACTCTGAGGGGGGTGAATTTTTTTCTCACTCTTCGGTTTAAGTGTATTAAAAGCCTCAAATTCTGTGAGCATCCGACACACGTGACCACAGAGCTAGCTCCGTGGAAAGGCCTCAGTAGAGCCTCGGTCTGGCTTGGAAAATGCTCCGGGATTTTGAGTCTCTGTGTTTGTGCATTCTTTTTTGGATATTTTTTGCGGGCAGAGAGGTAAGACTCCTTGGACTAATAGAGCGTCCAAGGAGTCTCCACTTCATTTTTTTGTTAAGTAAAATTATATTTATGTATTTTAGGTCACTGCCGAGCTGAGCTTAGATTTGAACATGTACTGTTTAACCATGAAATTTAAATGTAATAGGGTAAAACCCAGCGCATTTAACATAATGCTGCACTTTAGAAAATGGGTTGAAATATAACATGTTGGTGGAGCTGGGTTCCGACTATCGGCTTGTGGAGCTCTCGGGAGACCGATGTTTTCCACCCGGAATGCCGGCTGTTTCTCCCCGTAGCCCGGTCCATCTCTGTCTGATCGCGGCTCCTGTAAGCTGCGCGGGCTGACGGCTGGTTCTCCCAGCAGCTCGGTGCATCGCTGTCTGATCGCGGCTTCTGTGTGCTGCGGCGGGCTGACGGCTGGTTCTCCCCACAGCTCGGCGCATCTGTCTGATCGCGGCTTCTGTGTGCTGTGCGGCTGCTGGCTTGTGGAGGTCTCCGACACCTGGTCTCTGAGACCTCTGTGTTCCACCCGGTTTTACCCAGCGGTCAGCCCGGCGTATCTCTGACTCAGAAGCTCTGATGTTGTGCACAGTTAACTCCGGTTGTAGCTAGGTTGCTACCTTCGTTGGCTTAGCTCCCACCTCCGCGTTGGGAGGTGATGAAGCGTTTGCAGATGCGCTTTCTTAAGTTTAAATTACTCAGAAATCAAAAGACTCGGGACGAGTCTGCGTTAGCGGTTGTAATTCAGCTATCCTGTCTGGCTTGGCAGGAACAGCGTGAGGGGGGGGAGAAAAGAGCCGCAGCCCCGTTCCCCGTTGGTGTTGTTCACAAGTCCTCCCTCTTTCGTTGTCAAACACCGAACTGAATCATGAACTGAGACTTACCAAACCCAGTTCTCTTCTCAAAGCAAACGTGTGCGTCAGAGCAAATGTGTTTTGGAGTTTACTGTGAGTTTGTGTGTGTGTGTGAGTGTTTGAGTGTGTGAAGGTCGTTACCAAACATCCTCAAAACATTACTTAATTAAGCATTGCCTCATTATAGTGATTATGATTAACCAAAGCATAATAATAATTCATTTGATTAAAATACATTTATAATGAGTAAAATGGTAAAATGATTATTTAGCATTAATAAACAAAGGAAGTTTGACTTTATGTTATGACTACATCCATGAGAACAACATCTTCTGGCACTGCAGGTGTTCAAATGTTATGGTTTGCAGCAGACTCTTGCAGACTTCATGTCGGCAAAAGTGGGTTAAAGTTCTGCGCGACCCAGCTTTAACCCAGCCGAGTCAAATGAAACCTTTGGCACAGAAAACCCATATTTCCTCACGTTACAAATACATCACGTTTGTTGCTCTGATTGGTCCTAGCGCTGTCCAATTGTAGTTTAAAAGACAATCATAGATTCGCCCTGCAACTGAGCTGTCTGTGGGTCGTATTTATTTACATAAAATGGCTTGCCAGACTGTCAAAATAGTTGCCTGATTGAACATGCTAGTTGTTACCCTGCTTCAACAAACCTGATTTGAATTAGTAGTGATGAACAGGCTTCTGCAGAGCTTGATGACCTGCTAAGCAGGTAATGAAGCCATTGAATCAGGTGTGTTGGGAGCAGGGAAACAACTCATGATGGATAGGGGCTGTCCAGGACCAGGGTTGGGCACACCTGGTTTATAGTAACGTTATTTCCTTAACCTTTACAGCACAATTTCTTCAAACTGCAGCTCTTCAGAAAGCTACAGCAGGTAAGATTTCGTAACCTTTCTACAAAATCCCACAACAGATCTGAACTACAGATTTAAGTCAGACAGCTGGGTGTTCAGGCAACTAAAACCCTGCACAAATCCACACACAACTGTCAGAAACCTGTATGCACATGAATGGATCTGTGCCTGTGCCTATGATTGTGAACTTCACACACTTTTAACACGTTTGCTTATATCCCAGCACATGCTGTTGTATGTTAAATAACTGTTTCAGAACTTCTTAGAGCCCCCTGTCCAATTTTAGACAACGGTATTTTGCTGAACTTTCATGATGTGCTGTCTGTCACACCAAAAGCTCCCCCTAGTGGCCACATACACAATAACATTCCCATTGGTGCCTGCACCTGAGCACACCTTTTTATTCAGAAGTGGGAATGCAATGTCACAAACCAGGTGGCATATTTTAAATGTACTTTATTTGTAACAAATGCATTGTTTTTCTTCCCTCGCCATACAACAATAAGGCTCCCAGTGCGCATAAAACCACAGAAAACCTCCTACATGAACCGCAGACCTGTTAAATCTTTGAGATTATCTTTTCCTCAGTAGCCTCTCGCGCATAAGTTACACTCACTCATCCTGCAAACTGACACAGCACACACTCTCTTTGCCTCTTGGAGCAGTGACAGTTCTGTCATCTCTCTCTCTCTCTCTCTCTCTCTCTCTCTCTCTCTCACTCACTCACTCACTCACTCACTCACTCACTCTCACACTCACTCTCACACTCACTCTCACACTCACACACAATAAAACAATCATAAACAAAGCTGATTCCCCTGATGATTACCAAATCCCCTGATCCATCAGTCCTTGCAGTTTATCAACACAAACCGAAGCACTGACATGGAGTTCAGGCAGTGACCTCACTGTCCAGCCGGGTGAGGTGCGACTTGTCCCGGGTTTGCGCCTCAGCTACAGTCCAGCCGTACAATCTGGTTTCACCTTTTCAGCACAGCTTTATAGGTGACTCTTCCATTTACTGTGTCCTCTTTCTCCTTCACACACTTCCCCTGTTACAGGATCTAACTGGAGATCGACAGAAGTCCGTGTTCATCAGCGGTGTCCAGAATTCTGCAAATGACCGGAGACTCGACCTAAAAAACCCAAAACATGTCAGACACACGAACATCTGGAATTAAAACAGGCTTTCTTTGTTTTACTCCTTTGTGTGGTATACTTATATAAGACTAAGTAAAATGCAACGAGTTGGGTCTTTCAGCAAATTTAGTTTTGTCAAAGTAAAATTCCATCTATGTGTCCATAACTGCATTTAATGTACAGTTATCTAAAATAGGAAATCACATACAAGATACAGTAAACTGTAAAAAGATGGATTCATATCAAACATACTGTAGTTTATTTTATATCAAACTACAAATTTAGAACACTGTTCCACCTCCTACACACCTATTGGCACACCTGTTCAAGTTTTTATCAACATAAATATTATTCATCTAGACATGAAGACAACCTGCCCAGTTTCATACCCGGAGAAGAAAGGAGCTTTAATTCACTTCAGATGAGAACATTTTACTGGGATTTTACCCCTCAAGTTCACCAAAAACAGTCAGAAAATTTCCATTGAGCGGCAGTTGTGTTCATGAAAATTTCCATAGGAGAATCAGATTTTCCCTCTTATTATGGAAAAGGTGTGAAATCTAACGAGATGAGGTCTCTGTGGGATCCTCATGGCCGTAGCCCAATTACGTGGAATGGCTTCATGATTCTCATGTTTCTGCAGATTTCCAACATTTAGCATTCTTGATCAAGAGTCCAATACTTTTTCCACTGGAGAGTTCATAAGGTCATGAAATAAAAACAATTATGTTCTTAAAAGAATCAGAACTCATCGTCTCCTTACAGGATTTCCAGGTGAAGCTGAGGAGATCCGTTTTGGTGGCTTAAGGATCAGGTCTTTGCTCTTTGCAGACGAGGTCCTGTTGGTGTCAGACCGTGATCTCCAGCTTTCGCTGGAGCGGTTGGCAGCCGAGTGTGAAGCAGCTGGGATGAGAATCAGCTCCTCTAAATCTGAGACCATTACAGCTGCCATCTGTCTGAACCAGGAGTGAGCTGGAGATCGGCACTACTCCACCTTCAGCACCACAGACAGCTCTTTCTCCAGCTCCACTCACTTCAACATCTTGGTCAGAGGCATGCCAGAAAGTGGCCCTGCCCTCCTCCCTTGCTGCAGCAGACACAAATCAGCTCGGGTCAGTCGGAGGACATAGATCTGTGCTATTGTCCCATCGCTGAACCAGCGCAGAGGAGCTTTTGATAATTTTGTACACTCTTGAGTGGAAAAAAGGTAGAATGCCTTCTCCGGGTCAGGGAGGAGGTCCTGCCCAAAGTGGAGGAGTTTAAGTATCTTGGGGTCTTGTTCATGAGTGAGGGGAAGATGGATTGAGAGATGGACAGGCGGATTGGTGCTGTGTCTGCAGTGATGCTAGCGTTGTACCGATCGGTCATGAAGACAGAGCTGAGTCAGGTACCGGTAGATCTACGTTCCTATCCTCACCTATGGTCATGAGCTTTGGGCGGTGACTGACATAACGAGATCGTGGATACAAGCGGCCGAAATGAGTTTTCTCCGCAGGGTGTCTGGGCTCTTCCTTGGAAATAGGGTGAGAAGCTCGGTCATCCGGGAAGGGCTCGGAGTAGACCCGCTGCTTCTCCACATCGAGAGGAGCCAGTTGAGGTGGCTCAGGCAGGAGGGACTATGTCTCTCGTCTGGCCAGGGAACGCCTTGTGATTCCCCCAGATGAGCTGGCCCAAGCAGATGGAGAGAGGGAAGTCTGGACCTCTGCTTAGGCTACTGCCCCCACAACCTGACCCCGGATAAGTGGAAGAAGACGGATGGAGAGAGAGCCGTTTTACAGTGATTCAGAGGTTTATATAAACTCTTCATTCAGCCATCACTTACTCCATTTGGGAACTCTGTAATAAAGCACATCTCTTTCCACTAAACCCAGAAATTAAGGATAATTCAACAGCCCTAACGAGCCAGGAGACAAAACGCGTGACATCACCGGGGTAGTGACACCACTAAGACCTCTGATTGCTTCTTAGCATGACCTTCTTTTGAGTAAGGGGCTCAGTAAACTCACCCCGAGGATGTACTGACAAGTCTGAGGCTCCAGCATGTAGACCGTGACAGCATGTGGAGACTCGGACTCCTTACACCTGACAGAGAGGAGAAATCAAGAGTCAGACTAAAAGAAAACCCAAAGATGACTCGTTTCCCTGGTTCACTCACTTGAGCTTGACGATGACCTGTCTTGGTTTCCCTGTCAGATCACACACATCCCCGTGGCCGTAAAAGTGAGAAACCCACCTATAACGGAGCAAAAGGTGAACTTCTGACAACAAATCCAACTTTGTTTCCATCCAGGTCACATCCTAGGCAATCTGGTCGGCCTACTTGACTTTCTGCACCCCGTCCTCTTTGAGCTGAAAAGAGCGGACGACGTTCTTCTTGGCCCAGTCAACGTGCTCCTCAGCATTCCAGTTGCCAACCACCACAGTGTTCTTTCCATGCTCTTTGTCCTGAAACGCAGATGTGAATTTTAAACCACAAAGCAGTCTAACGCAAAAAATCTGTCAAAAAACAAAGAATTAAGTCAACATTTGTGCCACTTTCAAACTAAATGATAAATGACCTGAACTTGTATAGCGCCTTTTAGAGTCAGGACTCCAAAGCGCTTTACACTACAGCGTATCGTTCATCCATTCACACACACATTCACACCCTGGTGGTGATGAGCTACGATGTAGCCACAGCTGCCCTGGGGCGCACTGACAGAAGCGAGGCTGCCGAGCACCAGCGGGCAAGGTCAAGTGTCTTGCCCAAAGACACTACAGCAGACGCCGGCAACACAAACTACTGTGTGCTGGGACTAGCGTGAGTCATTTGATTTTGAGCATCAGCCGATACCGAGTCCTGATCTGATTCTTCAGCAATGCTCTAAAATAAGCAGAAAAAAGAACACATCCAGGTTTTCATTAAAGAGCAAGTCACCCCCAAATCAACTCTTTTTTCTGATAAACTATATACAGGGTTTCCCTTACAGAGGCGTAGCCGCCACGGCTGAAATCCCAGCGCCGCGCTTACAAGATCCCAAGTTTTATTGATTTTTTTTTGCGCCATTTCGCGAAGAAGCAGCAGGAAGTACTCTATTGTTGCTTGTGATCACAGCCGGCAGGCAGCAAGGAGGAGGAGGCAGGGCAGGGTGGTTACAGCTAGGGATGAGCCGGATACTCATTTCAGACGAGTATCTGGTACAGATAAAGAATTTTTGACGAATACGAGTAAAACTCGTAAATATCTGTAATCGTGCTGAAGGAAAATCCTCATTGGGTAACTGACTGTCTTCACGCTCTGTGATTGGCCAGTCACATAGAGCGCCCGCCCCTCCCTACACACAAAATTGCAGCCGGGAGCTCAGTCATTCCAGCCCCCCACCCTGCCTGTTTATTATCTTCCTGCATCTCCTCTCAGTCCTAAAGAGAAACTGCTACCTGGGTTCATATATATTCACCTTATGAGTTACCTTTGAACTGCAGTTCTAAAAGATCTACCGACCGCAAAAACAGCGGAGTGCTCGCTGCTTGGCGGCCGCATCAGTGATCGGTGCGTCACCGGATGACAAGTTGATGCGCCCCGCTCCACAGCAAAACGCCTCAGGCGCAAATAAAAGACAGAAAACATCAAAGGAAATGAACAGACATGAACGATCGCGTGTTAAATAATTTGGCAACACCTGATTGTTACTGTGGCCGTGCTCAGGAGGCAGATTACCGACCGCAAAAACAGCGGAGTGCTCCCTGCTTGGCGGGCGCATCAGTGATCGGTGCGTCGGAGGACAAGGTGATGTGCCCCTCTCCACAGCAGCGAAACACATCAGGCGCAAATAAAAAACAGAAAACAGTAAAGGAAATGAACCGACATGAACGATCGCGTGTCAGTACCGACGCTCTGGCACAGCGCGTTGCCCCCCCCCCCCAGCGCAGGAGCTTGTCACCTGCTGACAGCAGGCTGCTGTCTTTTCCGAGGGCTGCATCTTGCCGGTAATTATCACGTGACAGCGACTAGTCGATGACAGGCATAAAAAGTCACTATAGTGAAGTCGACTAGTTCATACAACCCCTATTGCTCCCCAGTGTTCTGCAGCGCATGTTCTCTTTGAACTTGATATCAAATTTTCGCCTCCTCTTCGTCTCCGCTCGGTTAAAGTTACCCTCACGGTCTGTCACTGTCAAATCAAAAGTGAGACGATGACACAACCGCCCCCCGTACTTGCTTGTTACCACATTCCACCCGGCCACAATAAGAGACCGGCCATTATTCACCTCCGCCGACTCCGACACCGGCCAAAATTGGAGACCGGCCTGTATTAGCGGATTTACGGTAATATACTGATGTAAACCACACACACTCATTTCCAAATAATAAATAAGAGGAGCATTAATCTGTGTATCTCCTTTGATCCGCATTAGTGATATTCTCAGCACCAAAACAATGAAGCAAAGAAACAGATTCCTGAGTTTGTTAGTAATTTTATTTATTAGGTGCATCTGACTTGTTCTATTTTTCTCGGAAATGAGATCAAATCAGTGCTTCTATGGGTCGTCTCCTCTCTGCACTAGAAAATTTTACTTTATTATAATGTTCACTGTAATGCATCTTGATGTTCTTAACAAATAAATTAAATCAAAGATATTGGTCAATAATGCCAATTATGTAAATTTGTGTTTCAGTCATTTTTATACTGGCTTAAAAATACTTCTTTAAGTCTACTAATTACTACATTGTGAACATATTACACCAGTCCTACGTGCCTTGCATTGGCTCCCTGTTTCTTATCGCATCAGGTTTAAGGCCATCCGGTTTGTGTTTAAGGCGTTAAACTCACGGGCTCCTAAATATCTTTCCGATGTCATCCACCAGCATGTCCCGGTGCGTTCCCTTAGGTCAGCTGACCAGAGATTACTAACTGTGCCCAGGTACAGCCTGAAGCTTCGTGGGAGTCGTGCCTTTTCAGTACTTGGACCAAGTCTCTGGAATGAGCTGCCAGCCGATGTAAAACAGGCCAAGTCATTAGAAACCTTTAAAGGAAGACTTAAGACACATCTGTTCTCGCTGGCGTTTGGACTTTGAAGTTGGGGGAAGTAGGCCGGATATTGGACTGTGAACTTGCACTCAGGTTTTCGTATTGTATTTTAAATGGATTTCTTATTGTATTATAAACAGATTTATTATTGTATTTTTAATGGATTTCTTATTGTATTTTAATAGTCATATCTCTGTCCTATTGTGGTGCTTTTTATTGGTGTACAGCGCTTTGTTTGTCCATTTTGGCCACGTGAAAGCGCTCTATAAATAAAGTTGATTTGATTTGATTACTAAGCAGGGGTGTAGAAGGACAACACCTGTCCCCCTCCAGCTCGGCTGTGTGACTGCACTAACCTGTCCTGTGTGACCCTCACCAAGTAACCCTCATGTCCATGCTGTCTCTGGAGGAGCAGATAGGAGACAAGATCTCCTGTAACTTAAGATGAACCAAAGTTTCCTCCCAGTTTCTCTTTAAGCTGACTTTAACATCAGTTTATCATCATGAAACAAAAGAATAAAGTGGAACAAGAACTTCTATCTTCTATTTCTCTCTCCTTTTAACTTCTCCGTGTCCCTAAATAAAAGAGACAGTTGATTACGCTGCAGCCGCCGTCACTCACCCCGCTCCCTCCCCAAGACCGGATCTCCCGACATCACAGCACTCGGTCTGACTGAGCGCTTCCAGGAGAAATAATTACGAAAAGTTTCCTACCCGGTAAATGTGGAGAACACCACTCTGACAGATGTGGATGCTGCGCTGGTGCCGCCGTTAAAATAACACAACTACATTCCACTATAATTGATTATGGTACTCTTCGATGATGCAAAACCGTTTATGCCCACATCTCATGCATTGATTATTTGATTATTTTCCTCAGCTCTATCCTAAACCTCCCGGTCGGCCGTCGGGGGGTGGGGGGTGCGCGCGGGGTTTGGGGGCCACACTGCTTTAGATCATAAACACAGCTGGTTTGTTTAATTTAGTGATGAATCACTCCTCTAGACACGTCAGCTGTTAGATTAAGGTGTTAAAAAGACCAACGCACAGCAAGGAGATAGGTTTTGGTTTTGCTTCTAACACTAGGAGGTGCTAAAAGCAAGCAAAACTGCTTAATATCCCTTTAAGTAGCCTCACTGCTCATTTTTCAAATAGTTTAAAACGGCATGCGGCTGTATCGAGGGATGCGCGTTCCCGTGACGGCTTGCTCTTTCCTTCCTGTGCAACACCTGTAGAGCTGCGCTGTGACGACAAAGCAGCTCATACCGCGGCTCCGGGAGACGGCAAAACCTGATGTTTGCAACTAGACAGTCATCCAGTGTGATAAATATACAGCTGTGACCCGCTGTAACCCGCTGGCAACTTCTTTTTTTTTTAAATGTATTTTTCAGTGTCGTTCAGTTCTGTGTTTTCATCCAAGTTTCTGCAGTGAACTCGGAGAGTTATTAAAGCCAGCCGTTTCCTGATCAGAAAGCCCCTGACTGCCAGTGTTTGAGTGTTTCTACTGTTTTTTTAAGAGTCACAGAACATTGATCATGATATGATCGTGTAAACACCAAAACTACAAAAAAAAAGAAAAAAAAAAAGAAGAAGAGTAAACTCACTTCTTACAGAATCTACGTGTTTGTACTTTTTTCGTTCTTTCACAATCTGTCGAAATGTGAGCAACAGAAGCTTTTCCGGTTAGCGGCTTGCTTTTTTCACAACAGCGTCCCAAAACAATCTCCTAATTCATGGATGTTCTGCTTCCTGATCACATGACGTGTGACACACACGGGTGAAGATTAGCTTTAAAGCTGTGATGTTTACTCTGACGGTGCGGGGGCTCGTTCCCAAACCCGCCCCGTTAAAAAATGCAATCGATGACTTTAACCAAGGAGTGCGTGGACAGTGAAGGGCAACATATAGTTCCACCTCTGATGGCGCCCTCTGAGAAGAAAAACTCTAGATTTCTGCAGATAAACAGAGGAGGAAGTGACGCCACCAACATCGGCGGTGCTCTGAGGACGACTACAGTGTTGGCCAAGATTTGTCAGCTAAAAAGGGCAAAAACAAATCAATATTCTGTGTTTACAAAAGAACCAAACAACGGAGGTTGTGTTCGTTGTTTCGTAAGGTTATCGCCGACCTTTTCCACCCGATTCCGGATCCCTTGAAAATAACGTGATTAGATTGGAGCATATTTCCGGATTTAGAAAATTTAATCTCTTGCATCTACACGTTTAGGATTCAATGTACCGAGCTAGAATTCTCACCTCGTGGTACTGATGGACATGTTTTCCGTAACAGAATTCGTACTTCCACCAGCCCACTCCCTGAAACATAAACGTTGGGGTCAACAAACATCTCAAAGTAGTTTCAGCAAGACCAACAAGCCTCCCTCACCCCATGCAGACAGTATGAACCACTTAGGAACTCCTTGATCAGCTGGTTATCTGTCAGACGAGAGATGTGTGCGGTGCCGACGGTGACCTGAGTTAGCCCTCCCACGGTCATGGGTCTTTGAGTGGAGGAGAAGGCTTCTTCCCTGACTGGAGACGTGTCCTCCTGGAGGGTGATATGAGGGATGCATTAGTTTGAGATGACAGTGGCAACGTTTCCTCCTTGTGTGAAGGTCTCACCTCTCTGTAGTCGGTGCTGAAAGGCGGTTTGAGCTTCTCCTCTTGCTCCTTGTCCAACTTGATGAGCTGTTGAGGCTTGAGAGGAGAGCCCTCCAGAGCCTGGCAGAAGATGGCATTCACTGGTGAGGTCTTAAACCTGCAGAAACATGGATGAGGAAGCAGCTGTGTCAATTTAGCGACTACCCATGGACTTTCACTGTGAGGTTTTTATTTATTTTTATATTTGATGGACTTACCTGTACTTTGGGTGTGCACAAAGCAGCGGAGTCAACACCACAACCTCGTACTCACAGGTAGTGACCTCAGCCACCGACAGGATCTCGTGCTTGGCGTCGGGATGGCACACGTACAACACGGACGTGGAGCGCGGCTCGTTCTGTTTCAGCACACACGGACTCCCGTTCCCCATCTCCATGGAGTAGTAAGGTGTCAGCTGGCCTTCAATGTTTTTAGTGGGCACCTGCACACCCAGTGGGAGAAGGAAGGACACATTTGTAAAAACTTTAAGCCAGTCTGCCACATTTCAGTCACTTACTAAAATGTTCTTACTTCTGAATGCGGTGCAGCTTTAGCATTTTCTCTCTCTTCACTTTCATCTGGAAAACAACAATTCTGCTTTAAAAGCACACTGTTATATGATGAAATGAAAAAGAAACTCACCCTTATCTGCTGACTGGCTCCTTTGTGCCTTATTACCCAGAAAATACTCCTGAACACTAATCCTCTGTAAGAAACACTCGATTACCTTCAGCTCACACTCAAGTCTGCGCATCTGGACTTGGAATCGCCCAGCCCACTCACCTGACCGGTCTCCTTCTCTTCGTGATACTGTCTTATATGCTTCCCGTGGCACACTTCATATGTCCAGTATGACTCGATCTGCAAGAGTTATTTATGCAAAAAAACAAAACGAAAAAACAGGTTTAATTAGGCTCGTGGTTCGTTAACGTTGCGTGAATTTCGGTTTCAGGCCTCACCCTGTAGGAGCAGCTGCTCCGTTTGAACAGCGGATCTAGCAGTTCACCTGGACTGGGACCTGTGTAGCCTTTATCATCATCCTAGCACATCACAAAAGCATCCAGCAAACACAGGAAGAGTCAGTACTGCAGGAAATACAGTAGCAACACTAATGTGATCAGGGAGTGATGATCTTTTGGATCAGATTGTTCTGACCTTCCTCTAAGTTTGTTTTAATACTGAAAACCCGTCTGAATGTACTATTAATGAGACACCCACCTCGTCTCCAGATGTCAGAGAAGGCAGCAGACATTTGTACTTCTCTTTTTCTGTTGTTGTCATAATCACGAAGTCATCTTCGCTGTAAAGCGCGCCTGACGTTGGCTGGAAAGCAGAGACAACCGTTTAACGGGCTAGGCTTGTCGCACGGTTACAGGAGCTATAAAACACAATGTTACTGAAGCGGGAGGAATACCAGCGTGAACTCCGCGCCAGGCCAGGTGATTTTAAACGGAATCTCGTCGGTGAAGTAAGGGTAGCCCCCTCGGTTGGCGGAGACCTCCAGCAGCCCGACGAGGAACACCAAGAGCAGGCGAGCCATCACCTCTAGCTGTCCGGCCGCCCGCTCCCCCCTCTGCTCGGTAAAATAAGCCTCTTCCCTTCACACCTGCTGTAAAAGTAACTCAAAAGATACATTAAAACTCCGAGGAAGTCAGGTTTGGTATACGCCAAATCTGCCTGCGAGCCAGTTATCAATACAGCTCTAAAACCGGAAGTGAACTGTCTGTTTGCCACGTCGTGTTCCGGTTGAGCGTGTAATTGGAATAGCGCCATCTGGTGGTGATAACAAATATTTTAAAATATTGGAATTCAAAGCGATGTTTTCATCGAAGGGTAATAACAGGTATTTTTTTCTGCTGGTGAAGATTTTTAGGAACTATTTGTGTTGCATTTGCTGCATAAACAGAACGTAGTAAATGTTTATTCAGGTTCCCATTGATGCATGAATCAGAAATAGTCAACCATGATTTTTTAAAACAATTTTTACAAGCATCTTTAGGTGTGAGCGAAACAAATTTCAACAAACATTTTTTGTAACTTTCAACAATTTACAAATAATTTATTACATGTGGACAGCATGCATTCTGAACACAAAATATGTTGGTTTGACTTACTGAAGTCCAAATGGAGGGGCTCAAATACAATAAAGTCTTCAGCAGCTGTACTAATAGAAATAAATAAATAACAATTTTGAGTACCTGTCCACTGTAGTGACCACTATGCGTCAAAGGGTTAAATATAGTCCCCCCCCCCCCTCTCTGTCTGTGTGTGGGGTAAAGCCGTTATAAAACCCTAGAACGTATATCCAATACAGGCAGTTTACCGTTTAACAAATATTAAATTTAATTCGTATTAATAATTTGCTTTAATTAATCAGTTTCTTTATTTTCCTCAGATTGATGCACACAGTGATTTCCGGCTCCTGCTGTTCACAGCCGAGTATGAAGCAGCTGGGATGAGTATCAACTCCTTTGGATCAGGGATGAGGTCCTACCCGAAGTGGAGGAGTTGAAGTATCTTGAGATCTTGTTTATGGGTGAGGAAAAGATGAAGCGGGAGTTCGATTGGTGGACTGGTGATGCGTCTGCAAAGATGAAGGTGTTGTGGTCACGGTCTTTGGATAGTGACCGAAAGAATGAGATCAAAGATACAAGCGGTTGAAATGAGTGTTCTCTGCTGGGTGGCTGGGCTCTCCCTAAGATAGGGTCAGAAGCTCGGTCATCCGAGAGGGACTCGGAGTAGACCCGCTGCTCCTCACTTTCGAGAGGAGCCATTTGAGGTGGCTCAGGCATCTAGTTAGGATGCCTCCTGGACACCTCCCTCGTGAGGTTTTCCAGGCACGTCCAAGGAGACCTAAAGGAAGACCCAGGAAATGCTGGAGAGACTGTTTCTCATCTGGCCAGGGAACGCCTTGGGATTCCCCTGGAGGAGTTGGCCCAAGTGGCTGGGGACAGAGAAGTCTGGGCCTGCTTGGGTTGCTGCCTCCACAACCTGACCCCAGATAAGCGGCTGAAAATGAATGGGTGAAACACACAGGCTCATAATTTAAAGGTTTGCTGCTAATTTTAGCATTTTTGTACTTGTAATAAAATAAATACATGAAATTATTAATTCATTCATTTTTTTTGTTCTTCATTATGCACAGAGTTATAAGGGTTTGTTGTTACCTTTATTATTATTATTATTATTATTATTATTATTATTATTATTATTATTATTATTATTATTATTATTAATAATTAGTAGTAGTAGTAGTATTAAATTGTACTGTTTTGTTGTAAGTTTTTAGTCGTCCTTAGAGGCCCAAAACATGTTCTTGCTTGCTGAAGCTGAGTAAAACCAGACCAAAACAAACTCTTTTTAGCAAACCCATGTTTGCAGGGCAATGCCCCCTAGCGGCCTCCCTGTGGACAAATTAGCAAATGTTAATGTATTGAAAAATAAATAATTCTCAAAATTCTTTAATAAACAAGAATATAGCTTTATATTGAGACATATCTTCCTGGAATTTAAAAAGTACAACTGCAATCAGTTTTTATATTTTTGTTCATCATATTCAAACATTTGCTGAAGTCCTTATCATTTCACTGTGACTCGTTTGATTATGCACTGATGTGTGCTGGTAGACAGAACGCAAAAGACTCTGTTGTAAAAGAAGAGCTCCACCATTATAAACACGGCTTTGTGCAGAGACGCTGCCTTGGATCGGATTTAAAACAGACAATGCAAACCTGAGAGGAACCTTCTGTGTTCGGCCTGCTGGTGGAGCTGTTGATGTGAGGATGTGCTACATGTGAGCTGGGAGAAAAGGAATGAGATCACAAGAGAGATCCTGGGATTAAGATGGGGAGAATTAAAAATAAGGGGGGGGGGGGGGGGGGGTAGAGGTACAGGTAAGGATACAGCGCCTGCAGGACTCTCCTCTGCTGCTTTACAAGAAAATATACTCACAGATGATAGATATATATAGATAGATAGATAGATAGAGGGATAGATAGATAGATAGATAGATAATCTGAGATGTCCACTCTGAATGGAGCTTTTTCATTTATTTCTCCGTCATCTGTGGGGTGAACTCGATTAGCATAGATACCTTCCATACACTCTCTCCCTATGCATAATTGATACAACTGTCATCTCCGCTACCATAATAACATCATTCCAAAGGGAGCAGAGAGAAATGAATCTTGGCATTTGAAGGTCTCGAGCAAAGATTAAGATATCTCCTGAGCTGTCACCCAAAAATATACATAGAATATGTCAGACATCAAATCAATGCGGGCGCTTTTTTTCATGCAGGATTTTTCCAATGAGATTCAATATTGAGCTATGCAAAGCACTTCTACCTGTTGCATAGAGCTGCCTTGTTAAATAGCACTTTTGCTACATTTCCAAGCAGCTTCTTTGATGAATTGCTTTGGGTTTCTACACAAAGGCGTCGATTATTGCAGTACATTTGTGAAATCTGTCGGTAGAGTTTGTCTGCTTTGCATGGACAAGTCATCAATCACATGCACCTTTTGTGTTTTAACTAAACCAACCTACAACCTAAAAAAAAAAGATTTAAGCTTGCCAGGGAATCAGATTGCTGCTCTGCACATCCCTGCAGAGAAGGTAATGAGAGTTCTTTTGTTTGGATGTCTGGAGAGGATCTAGATCATCACAGAGCTTGCCCTCTGCGATTTTTGTTCCCGACTGAGAAACTTTGTGAGGGTTCAGCAGAACAGAACATCTCTGTGTTCCTAAATGCACTAAAAAGGCCCAGAACATAACCTGCCTTTTGTCTTCAGGTCAAAACTGACTTACAGCTGAGTTTAGGAACAGAGAAAGTCCCTTAATAAATCTTTTCTTTAAACATCAACCTCAAGTGACCCATCATTAGCCGTGCACCTCTTGGGCACAAAGACTTTCTTTGGGTCATTTTGAACCTGGCAGTTTAGACTAGAAAGAAAACTGCTGATTTATCCCGTTCACATGCCAGGTTTTTCAAAACATAAGAGATCCCACATATGGCAACAAAAACAATCATGAATTAAAAAGTTTTGTTCCTTCTGTGTGTGGTGTCTGGCAACATGGGAAAAACAACACATTAGCTAATTTCACATACAAACAGCCAGCATAGGTGGGCCTCTTATGGAATATTTCACTTTCCCTGCACCCACCCACCCCCCTCTCTACCGTCCACTCCTTTGTCCCCTCCTCTCCATGATTGATGTCAAGCTGTTGTTATTGTTGTTGTTAGCCTCAAGGGCAACATGCTGATTATCACTTGTAAGTCGCTTTGGACAAAAGCGTCTGCTAAATACATAAACATAAACATATTTATGGTCAAACCATGTGGGTTCCAACAGGGTAGCCCCAAAAATTTTATTTCCCACATGTTTGAGTCAAACCCTCTGAAAACCCATGTAGAGCCAATAAACCTTCATGTGGGAATACCCTTGTGGGGCCACCTTGGAAACCTCAAGCAAACCCTGTTTGGACCCGCACGATTTGCCCATATATATATATATATATATATATATATATATATATATATATATATATATATACCTCATGGGGCCCATATTCCCTAGTCAGACAGGAAATCAAACATGACTTTAGAGTAAAAAAACATGGCAGAGGAGAAGCATGCAGCGTGCTTCTGTCACCTGGCTACATGTCACATTCAACAGACAGCATCATTATTTGACCTCGAAGATCAGATAGACAATCCAACATGTTCGAAGTCTCAATGTATGGTCTCAACGTGCTTCCAGGCAGGTTACAGAGTTCTTAACACACCACATATGGTAGGTTTATCTGATAAGATAATCTTGAGATCCATTGCATTAATTGGGCATGATCATAAGATCGAGGATCAGGTCAAAAATCACAAATGTGAATCGGGCCATAGACACACCTGCAATGTTCACATGCAGACATGTTCCATCACCTTTCCAAAACCCTTCAAACTATTTCAGAAACAACCTTCAAGATGTTGTTTACGAAATACGTCCTTATTCCGAGTCTCTAAATGTGCTCCAGGTGGCAAAACCCTCAGTTCTGTCTGTGCTGAAGTCAGGAGTGCAAATTTTACTTCTGAACAAGTCGCTCTGTTTACTTTCATCAATGGACATTTGATTTGGAAGCTGAGGAGGATTTCTGAGGAAGAAGTACAACCTAGATGCATCTTCTTTGGATGAATAAACCCCTCAAGATGAACAAGAATTAGTTTATTTATTTTATTTTTTGTGTGGTGGCAACCAGGGCAGGTTGGTAGCACAAAATGCCATAAAGAGGACCCTGACTCCCACAAGATATGCTGTTTCCCATGGAGACGATGTTCTAATGTCTCACCAACTTGTTCCCACTCGATATTCTCTCAGATCGTTGGTTTATGCTGTTCACATTCAACTGTTATTGAATGTGCCTTAATTTACATTCAAAACTATTTTCTTAGCATTTCTGAAATGTTCTTGCGCTCTACAAATATTGTATCTGTACATTCTGAAATATTAATAATAATCTATAAAGAAAAATTAGGTAACAGTCGAGTTGAAAGAGTTCTAAACATTGAATGATGCAGAATTCAGCACCATGAAATGCAAAAATGATCAATGAGTTGTATATCAAAAGCCCATCCATCTATTCCTCTGCTTATTCCGAGTCAGGTCACAGGGACAGCAGCCTAAAAAGAGAGGTCCAGACTTTGCCCTCCCTAGCTACTTTGGCTAGCTCCTCTGGGG